TCTCTCTTTTGCGCGTTTTGTTAATGTTAATGGCCTATTTATACAAATTAATTATAAATTGATTTTGCCCAGGCACGCAACCGAAACAAAATGCCAAAACCTCGCTTAAAAGTGTACATTTTTCTTATTTACACATACAATTTCTGGCATATCAGATGAATTCAAATAATGAAGATGTTGCTATTAAGTTTAGTAAATAGTTTAAGATCAACTACCAAATTGTATAATAGTTGCTATCTTTAAGGATTCGCGTAGTGATATAGCTTTTGACCGATTTTGAAGCTGTGTAGCCTTGAAATGAATTCGCAATGAACGCAACTCCCCCAACTACTTTGCTTTTGTCACCGTTGTGTCCCCGATTCTCCATCCATCCACAGCACACCCCACCCCACCACACCGTCCATTAACACACAGCTCGATTCGGATTTGGATCGACTGCATAGGCTATATGAGTATGTGGTCCTGTGCCAACGCAAAGTGTGAACAGCCTAAAATTAGAAACACTTTGAAGTGTGTGCAAGACATGGTTCGGTTTTCGGTTTTCCTACCTCTTGCTGCTGTTTTTTTATTTTAGTTTTTACCCTGCAAGTGTGTGTTTTAGTTTGTGGTGGCATTTTTCTATTCATGTATTTGCTGTCACAGTAAATATATACAGCTGGGTCCAAAATGATGGCAGTGGGCGTGTGAAAAAGCTTAGAGATGGCAATAGTTAAGGAAACCTAATCAGAAAACAATAGCAAAAGGTAAAGAAAACTAACTAATATATATAAAATAAAACACAATAATTTGCTAGCTTTGGCTACTATTATTTGGGCCTCAACTGTATGCATATGTGAGTAAAAAACCAGCACAGGGTCACCCTGTAAGTTTCGAGGAAGAGGGAAAGGTAAAGGGAAAAAGCGAAAACTTTCACACTCCGCACAATGAACAATGTAACAGCAACAAACAAAAAAAAACCTAGCACCCCAAAATCCAACCGATTTACCTGTCTTACTCTCCCCCTTTCCTTGATTTCGTTTGATTTCACTGAGAGAAATAAGATATACCAAAAGGCTTGGCTAATGTTCATGTAAAAAGTCATTTAAACTCGTTTGGTTTTTTCATCTTTCTATTTGTTTTGGGATAAACCCAAATTATAATATTTTTTGAGCTATTTTGATTTAGAAGTCATTAAAGAGCATTAAGTAGTCTATAGGATCTAATATAGCTGCAAGTTGCCGAAAATTAAGTGCGATTGTGGAGCGCGATGTGGTTGAGTGAAAATACGTGTGAACGAACCTTAAAAATACAAAACAACCGAATAAAGACAACAATAGCCGTCGAAAAGCAGCATTTCAAATGGTAAAACTGCTTGGGAAACCTGATAGCGCCCTGCTCCCCCTCCCTGGGTCCGCCCTTTAATTGGTATTTTCAGCTATTAAATAGTATTTGATTAGAAAAACAGTTAACATAGATACTATAGGTTTCGTTAGCTTGCAGAATGATGACCCAAATGTTAACTTCTAGAGCTCATAACTGGTGGAAAGATGGCTTACCTCAATCGGTTTGTGGTGGAATTCCTTATTATGATCAATCAAAAGTTCAGGATAAATAGAAAGATATCTCTTAATTACATGAACAATATCGTCAATATGAAGTTTGCTACCTCTATTGTCAGTTTAAAAACTTGGGTCTCTATAACGACACCTTCATAGCCTCACAATTTTCCATTTCCCTTTGAATGCCATTAAAAAATATCTCCAATCGTATTAGAAAGTCATTTCATAGTGAATAATAGCCTCACCAAATAATTCATTTCCTATGAAATTCCAATATCGTGGCAGCCAAAACTCAGGAAGAGAGCCAAAAAATGCAAAGCATTATTATCTAAAAAAAAAATACAACAAAAAAGAAGAGAAAAACAGTCAACACACAGCGTGGGCGAAACGAAGCCAATTGAGTGAAAATATAAAGGGGGAAGTGAAGGGCTGATGGTAGGGGACACTTGGCCAGTTTGACTGGCCACCATCATCATCATCATCATCATGGACGTCATCATGATCGGATGGCTAATTTGTGCGGCGCTGATTCATCGGCTGGAGACATGAATTTATCTAAGTACACACAATTAAAATTCATTAAAATATTTCCCTTTCATCATAAATTTTAATCAACAAAAACTGTTGTTTATTTTCAATTTCATTGCTTTTTTACCCTAAGCAAATGGCTTTACGACTTTTAAGCAAAAGTTTAGTTAAAGTGCTAGTTTGCCATCGTTGATTAATCTAATTAGAATATTTTAGGCTGATCACTGACACACTGAAGATCACAAATAACTTATAATCAGAGAAGACAAAAAGAGTATTTAAGTCTTCGGCTCTTGAGGCATTCAACGACCCCTCCCCAATTGTTATTAAATATGATGTTTGTCCAAATGATGAGCTCATGTTTCGTTTGGTGGGGCGTTTTTCGAGACTAAAACTGCTAATTGTCGGACATGTGAACATGTGGCACCAGGCCCCGCATTCAAATACTCACATTCGACTGCCCAGCGGCTGGAAGTGGCACGCCTCTAGCCCCGAAAGATAACAATAGTGCCCCCGAAAAAGAGTTCGGGGCACGGTTAAGATAAGTGGGCAGTGGGTAGATCCCATCTCCATAATACATGAAGCCCGTAATTATAATTGCCGATGGGTGCGTGTGAGTCTGTGCACTAATTGCCCGAGTCGATGATGGAAACTTGTGGAATGCCAATGGAACGCGGAGCAGTAGCCAATGAGTTGGGGCTGCAATCTGAATTGGTTGTCAGCGATAAGGAAATGAGCTCTGCAGATGAAGAACTGGGAACTCAGAGAGGTTCTTCATAAGATATCAAAGTGAAAACAGATTGATTTTTCCTTGTAACTAAATGCAATACGATATAACATATTTCTTATTAAGATATATGGGGAAAATGTTCTAAACAAGGTCATAGCCCATTATTTCTGAACCCCTAACGATGCCAACTCATCCGCTGTGACCCAAATTCTGAGACTGAACGGCCAACACAAATTGTGATGTGTCAATTTTAGTGCGTATAAATTCACTTGATACCCGGTCGGTCATTCCATTTCCGAGTTAGATTAGCCGGGTCCGGCTGTCCCGTTGTCCGGCTTTCCTGAAAGAGTTGTTGTTCACTTGGCGGAGTGAGTGCTCCGTAATTAGTTCGCTTTGATGGCAGTTTAAATATTCATTCGTAATCTGTCCGCCTCTTCGTCTCCGCCGACCAACACCATTGTGTGCTCCAAAAGTGTTGCCCACATCACTGGCACGTAGAGAGATATATGTATATATATATAAATTATATAGCGGCCTCGACACATACCGAACAGAGATACAGCCCCTGCACTAGACAAATTCACATATTTATTAGTGTGGCTGTACGCTACAGTCCGTTCCAAAACTGTATGACTAAGCTATCACTTCGCTTAGATCTAGACAGATGTTGACTAATCGCTTAAGTTGGAATTCCAAATGCTTGCATTCATAGTTTTGCACCCGAGAACAGATAAATAGTGATGCTCATGAAACGCACTGTCTATATATGCTAGTTTACCTGACGCAGTTACCTCTTAGGCCCCGCTGAAGCCCCTACCCATACCCCCGGCCCATAACGATAATCAGCGCCCCCCGCGTGTTGTCACGAACAATTTCTCTTAGCATCTGTTTTTGTTTCTTGTTTTATTTGCCTGCTTTTATTTTCCAATATTTGCAAATGCAGAAATTCCTCACTGTGCGTCGCAGTGGTTGTTGCATTTTTATTTTCTTGTTTTAAGCGAAAAAATCAAGTGAAATATGAAAATTCATTGGGGCATTGTGGGGGAGAGGTGGTGGTTCCATAAAAATGATGGCTGGAATTTAAAAATAAATTCCCATTGTTGTCATAAAAAACATTTGCTCTCTTCGTGCAAAATGATGCACGGAAGTTCGTTTGCCCTATTTTTTGGTTACCATAAAATGAAGAGTGAAATGCAAATCTGGCTAACTGCTGCTTGACATACATTTCCAAATTGATTTTCCTATTGTTTACCGAAGGTTTCATATAGTATTAGACCTTTTGGCTGATTCTAGATTCTAGGCTAGATTTTCCATCAGCAGAGCAGTAGATTTCCACATTCCACTTGGCTTTCCTCGCCTTAAGTGACCGACTCATCTTCAACTAATCGGCAAAGTGCAGTCAATTGCCTGGCAATGTAGAGCATGAATAATTATGGGGAAAATCTACTGAGAAGTGGAAAATCGGTGGCCAAAGTGGGGGAACAGCCGACGGGCAATTAAATGATTGGCAATGATCATGAAATTTGATAGCAAATGTGCCAGCAAACTCGAAACAGACAAACTGTCTGAAAAACTGACTAACTCTTCTGGCAATAAATATGGGCTCATTGCCAAAGGCCAAGGGAATCCAAAGCGGAGGAAGGGTAATGATTGCAGTGACAGATAATCTGAATATAATATGAAGTGCCACTGTATGTTTGTACGCAACTTTCCCTTTGACATTTGCCTCTCAAAACCAAGATTCCACTGCATCTGCCTCATTATCTCCGGGAATGATGTGCATGATTGCCTGCAAGGCAATTTGTCAGTTGCTTAGGCCTCCCATAGAAAAAAGCCACCAGCACTTGGCAGTTTATTGCGCCAGTTCTATTCCACGCCAGCACCACCCACCAACTACACTAGCACCACCACGCCCGCACGCCCGATAAGTACAAGCTCTCGAGTTTTGTGGTCCAACTAGGCATGCCTCCAGGGCGGGGAAAATGTGGTGCAAGGAGGTGCAAAGTGCTATGCAAAGAATGAGATGATGATGAAAGGAAAAAACTCATTACTGACTGCCAAGGCACTCCAATAAATGGCATTTCTTTCGCTTGCAACGTAAATCTTAAAGAAAGCCTTGAGCTCAGGAGTCCACTTTCTTGGCAGAAAAACTTATTCAAATTGTAGTTTCGATATGGTAATACATTTTTGCTTTCTCCCTTCAGAATGTGGTGGACCATCACTGGCAATTTCGGCAATATTCTGCCCATCGACTGGTCCAAGTCGTACACCCGTCAGATGCACATGCCCACCTTGAATCTGGGCCAGATCCCAAACTCCAAGAAGCAGCAACAGCAGGCGCGCAACCAACAACAGCAGCTGCACCACCAGAGCCAGGCATATCCACACAGTAACGGATCAGGCTCCGGATCTGGATCAGGCCTGGATGCACAGACTCCAGGCGATGAGTTCAATGATTTGGCCAGCGAGGACGAAGCGGTGGCCAACGACCTAGACATGCATGCCCTGATCCTTAATGGATTGAACGGGGATATGGACGACCAGCCGATCAAGACGGTGGAGGAGGTCATCAAGGAGATCGACGACATCATGGACGAGGCCGAGAGCCCGCTGGACGAGCCGGAGACCTGCGATTCAGAGGTCATCGAGAAGGCGCGGGAGGTCCTGGGAGCGCCCCTCTACGCGGAAAGTAAGAACCCTATTCCATTTAGATATACCGAAATTTTGATCTAACACTTCTTTGCAGAACTGCAATATCTGACCACGACACAATTGAATGAACTGTACATGGAGATGGAAGTGCTGATCCAGGAGCTCAGCGAGACGCTCATCAACGAGCTGGCCCTGCGCGACGAGCTGGAATTCGAAAAGGAGCTGAAGAACTCTTTCATTTCGCTCCTCCTGGCCGTCCAGAACAAGCGGCGACAGTACCATGTGGAAAAGAAGCGCGGCAAGTTCCAGGGTGAGTTTCGTGAACCCATCAAGTTCAGAGTTGCTTATTTAATGAAACCCTTTGTCCCCATTGTAGGTCCTGAGCCCAAGTACTTGACCACTGTCATTCCGTATCACCTGGAGAACGGTACGCCCAACAACCAGTCCCTGCAGGTCCTGATCAAGAGTAAGTATTTGGGAGAATAATTTTGAAGACGTTCTAATACCAAAACTTCGATCTCTTACAGTTCTCAAGGCCATCAACGAGGACAGCCCGACGGTGCCAGCCCTTCTCACGGACTACATACTGAAGGTGCTCTGCCCCACATAAGCCCATCAGCCGTAGTATCAGCCGAGGATTAGGAACCCTAGCTATCGCTCTATCTCTCTGTCTGTGTTTATACAATTATACCGTACATCTATATAGAACTTGCATATACACACACCCACACACACACAACACACATAATTTAATGATTAGTTTGTACTTTAAATTATCGTTTAAATGCAATCTGTGTACTCAGGCGAAGCAATTGCCTGCCTTCAGGAGGAGCAAGATTTCCAAGAAGAAGGAGCCCGAAATATCTATTGCTTTGAGATCATTCCTATGAGTGTCTGATATTTTGGACACCAAAATGGGAGTTCTCTTTGGAAGATAGTGGATCTTCTTTGCCGATCCCCGATAGATCAAAAATATGCAACAAAATACATACATATAATACATATATAGACACACATATATATCTAACGAAATATTTACGGAGAGCGCGCTATAACGATTAAGCCAGTCCTCCCCGTGGCAAAAATAATACTCACATCTCCGCCACCATTCTTTCTCCCAAAAACTTCGAAGATGATATTTATACTAATGAGCATTCGTATTGTTATAGAGCTGACTCCAACTCCAACTAAGCTTAATATATATATATATTAATGATAAATGCATCTGAAGCCAGTTGCAAGGCTCCCAACCAAGACGGTGGTAAAGCTTGAAATATTTCATCTATATGTGTAATATCCAGATCGAAAACCATATAATACTGCTTGCATTATGTTCGCTACCCAGCTATATGCAATCGAATAATCGGGCGTATCTGCGCGTTCGGCAGCCAATCCCTAGTGTGTACAATAAGTAACTTGTATGTAATATATAACTTGATTGTAAGAGGTGTATGGCCAGCCCCTGGAAGATCCGTCATGTGTTCCGAGTGCAATTTATATCATTTGAGACGGGCATCAGAATTGTTTTCGCATCGCTTTAAGTTTTACTATACCTAATTTACTCATTTTTATTGTTTTGCGAGGCCATAAAATGCGTTCTGTTTTTTTTGTTCAAAACAATTGTTTAATGTAAATGAAGGAAACACAAATTTAATTTTAATTTGCATACAAAACGCTGTGTTATTTACTTTTACCAAACAAGCATAAATACAATTACAAATAACTATAAACGAATAAAATTAGCAAAGAGAAAAAGAAACAGTCAGGCGCACAGTGCTCTTCTTTTTATTATGATTACCAATGAAAAAGTACCCCTTTTCTTTACCTTTTAAGCTACCAGTCACACTAACAAAACAAACCTAAAACGTTAAGCAATTAAGAATCAAATATATAAAGTTGCATCAAGTCAAGTCCAAAAAAAGAACCACACTAATATCATGTTTCACATCTCACAAGACATACAAAAAAAAACTAAAGGAAAAATGGAAAATGTAGCCGGAAGAGGTCGGCGTTTCCAGGCCATTTGATCGTCTCTTCGAATAAAGGATAATTGAATCACATCTAATGCAAATCTTAGGTACCTTTGTTAGTAAACGATATGCAAGACATACCCAAAAATGGAAAACCTATATAAAAGACAAAATACACACACACACACACACACAAGAGTAACTGCATACGTGTTTACGACTCTATATACAAAATATAAATGTATATCAAATATGGTCGCGCTTTATATAAATCAAATGAAAACGTATTTACTAAAAAGCATAACTTTAAATGGAATATGACTTTTTTTAGGTCTCTGCAAAGTAAAATAAAACAAAAAGGAACAAAGGCTATATAAATCATATAATATGATACAAAATTAAGAAGAAATCCCTTAATTGTACGTGTATTTGTAAATTATTTCAAGAGTCCATGTTAAAGTCGAATGAAAAATAAATTAATGGCAGCCTAGAATGGAAATTATATTTATTTGATAAATTAGTGAAAGGAGAACACAAAATAAATAGTTCTATGTACAATGGACAAACCCGAAAAACTTTTAAATTGCTTGAATAAAAAGAAGAAAAACCTATTAACTTGCAGTTGCTACTTTGTGGGATGAATTCAAATTATTTTCTTTATTTTCAAGTTTTTTGTGTTGTGGTTTTACCAGGTGAATTGCTCACCCAATCAATAAAAAACTCTTCTAATAAAAGTAAACCTAACGGAAATTTAATTGAAAGTAAATTCTGCAGTAACGGTATATTCGTGTATTTCCATTTTTGAAATCAAGCCTTTCAGTACGTACACGTTTATGGTTTGTGACCGCGCTAATAGTTTACTCAAGCTCCTTACCAACGTTGCCTCGCACTATGTGGATTTTTTTTGCATCGTCTGGCCACACCGCACAGCCCAGTAAAAAAATAGTTTTTTTTTTGTATCCAACCAACCAACTGTAAAAATAAGTTTAAACAAAGCATCTACTCATAAGTTTCATTTTTTTCCGTTAAGTGTCACCATTATTTATTTTTTAAGTGTGCATTCAATAAGAAAATGTCATCGCGAAGGTAAATCCAATAGGAAATTTGACAATGTACCGCACACACACGCACGCAGTTGCACACACACTCACACAAACACACACACGCACGCTCCGCTCCCAACTGGGCTATTTACATATGTATAAGTAGATACAAAGCAAAGGCAGAGCGAAAAAAAAGAAAAACAGAAACAAAAAACTTTTGAGATAAAAAGTGCAATAAAGTGATGAACGAGGGAGTCGAGGAAACAGTGGATGCAACAAAACCGTTACCGCTGCACAGCTACAGCTGTTGCCGACCGAGTAAGCATTGTGGTAGCCAGTGACAGTTTACCAAAAAGCACTATACTGCTGCACCTGCCACAGCCACTGCTGTCCACTTGGTAACCAGTGCAGGAAACACTGGATGTTAATAGACTAAGCGACATATCCTTCTCTGTGGATCCGTCAGCTGTTGCCAGTGCGGGAACCAATGGCATTTGACGTATCCCAACGATCAACCAGCGACCACTTACTCAATACCACCTAATCTGTATATCCTCCATCCACAGATGGTTCCACCCAACGATATCTGGCATCGAAGCTGAGAAACTGCTGCAGGAGCAGGGATTCGACGGCTCCTTCCTCGCCCGCCTCTCCTCCTCGAATCCGGGCGCCTTTACGCTCTCCGTACGTCGCGGCAACGAGGTGACCCACATCAAAATCCAAAACAATGGCGACTTCTTTGATCTCTATGGCGGTAAGTGATGCGATTTCCCCTTCCCTTTACCACGACTAGGTCAACTACTTAAACCCCTCGTCCGTTTTGCAGGTGAAAAGTTTGCCACACTGCCGGAACTGGTACAATACTACATGGAGAATGGCGAGCTGAAGGAAAAGAACGGCCAGGCCATCGAGCTGAAGCAGCCGCTGATCTGTGCCGAGCCCACCACAGAAAGGTGAGTCCCGGATAAGAGGACCCATATGGTCATATGAGAACTAGTATATAAGAACTTACTCTAGAACTTTTTAAAACGGGTACTTACCTAATCGTATATTGATTTGTTGCTTTTTCGGTTTAGTAATAATTGGATATAAGATCAGAGAGTGATTCCTTCTGTTTTCCTTCCCCTGAGCCATATCAGAATTCTGAAAAGATATAAAAAGGTGATATCTTTCAGTTTAGGATACGTTTTCATAATATATTGTCATCCTTTGCGAAGTACTTTCTATTACATATCCGCCATGACTTATATATTCGACCAGATTCTAAAATAGCCTGAAGATATTGGAACTGACTTCCCTTTAAACTGGGTCACCAATCTGTTCTCATGGAATTCCCATGACCCACATTAGTTCCACTCCACTGTGTCCAAGGATGAATCGTGTTTGTTTGCTTTCGGGTCGGATTTATTATTTATACACCATGTTTACAAACGATCTTGTGTGCGAGCACTTTAAAGTCTAAACATCAGTTTTCAAGCAGTTCGCTTATCAAGCTTTCCCCAATTGTTATCGGGGTTTTGGCATCTGAAACGGAATTGGAATTGAAATTGGGGCAAGGCCACTATTCGCATCCCTTTCGCCATCCCTCACTTCTCCTTCAAATCGTATTTTATTATTGTTTGGCCCGTGAACAGCTGTTAGCACTGGATACAGAACAATCTTATATTAATAAACATTCGGTGAGTTACGATTTTTTTTTTTTTTTAATCCCAGGCAGAAAGCGTGTCTCAAGTCAGATAATATTGTGTAACTTTAGAACAAGAGATAAGCAGCAAAGATTAAGCATAAATCATAGATCAAGGATCAAGAGAGTACCAACCGACTTGTGGACTCTCAGGAAAATGTTTAAATGGACATTTGTTAACCTTTCCCAGATCTACTTACTATATATGTATATACTTTATAGCTTATATAGATATTAATAACAAAAGTAATACTAACTGGCAATCCTATAGATTTTGATCCATGTGGGATCAATGTGACTTGAAGAATACTTGAAAGCTTTGATTTCCTAATCTAGTCTTTCTATTTGCTATTTTGAATTGTTTTCGTTTCGCTGAGCTTGGCTTTGCAGCCTATTTTCAAGACGAGATGAAATTTGTGGGTGAATAATTTCTAATTCCACTTAAACCGGGCACCCACACACCTGTTGCTCACGCAGACACCCACGCCCACACCACTAGCACCAGGCGGTGACCATACAAGCAGTGCATTGTCTTTGTTGTCGTTGTTATATTGGCTTTTACAGCCCACACGCGCGAAATATTTTCGTTATTTATTGTATTTATTGTATTTGCTGCTTATTAATATTTCTTTGCCCGCTGTTCTACCTACCAGGCCATCAAATATTTTACGGCCCCCTTTCTTTCGTTCTGTCTTTCTTGTTTGTCGCCTTGTCTCGTGTCTTATTGTCGCTTCTGCTTTTGGACTTGCTTCGTGCGGTGCATTTTCCGCATCCTAACGGGTCAGCCACCTTACCTGGCCGTGCCCACCGCCGCCCCCTCTAAATTTGGTGGCCAGTTGAGAGAAGAATGTAAAAGCCAACTTGATTTTGAATCTTAACGGTGCTAACGTGTGCTCGCTTACAGCTGTGGTCAAAAGAATAGGCGTAAATGAAGGAGAAATTCAAATAACAAATGAAAGGGAAAGAAGAAATAATATAGCTCTGGATTCTAAAGCTGTCTCGTTGAAACCAGTTTATTAGTGTATTTCATATCAAGCATACATATATTTCTATAAGATCCACTATTTTTGTGAACGTAGCTGTTCGTGGCTGACGTTTGATTTAACCCTTCCTTAACCCCCCAATCAGGTTTACCAGCCCCTCAACCACCAACCACTTATCCTTGACTGAAGCTCGTGACGTTTATGCTTATTTTCGATTCTGGTTTATTTTTAAAGCTCCTCGATCCGAGCTTCGTTTATTTTTAGCCTGAGAAGGTGTCGTATGGCTTATAATCGATCTGCGAGTCGCTAAAAATCATTTGATATGCGGTGACGTCAAACAAGGGTTGGGGTCGAAAGCAATCATAATGATATTTTTGGGGGTTGGTCAGGGGGTGATTTAAATTAAGGCTGAGAACGTCAGTAGTCCGCAAAAGTGGGTTTATTATGGGATGTGGAAAATTTACGCGGTCAGTTTATTAATAAACCTCTGCTTAGTTTTCGAAATCAAAGTAATATGCATACAATGGAGCTTTTTAGTTCCATCTACAGCTGGGAAATTTGATTAGTTAAAACCGTTTTGGTCTGGACTAAGGCTAAACTCCAGCAGAAAGGGATTATCTAAGGCCAAAGAGCGGATTTTTAAATCCCAACTTTACACATACTACTTGAGGATGCCATTTGGAAATGTAGTTTCCCTCTGGGAGACACACACTCTGAATTGCCAAGACATTCTCCAACCTTCTGTTGACCAATTTCCCCGCAACATTTCACCATTCGATTGCATTCCCATTTCTATTTGTCGCCGCTGATCTTGACCTTTGATCGAGTCAGAATGGCGATTGGAGTGCAACCGAATTGCAAATCACTCGATGCAATGCAGTAAGGTTGTTTTTGTTTGCCTACCAGCTTGCTTTGCCCACTTAATCGTTGCAATTAAAGACGATAATTGTTAATTGCTTTAGTTTCGCGCACTTTCTTCTGATTCCAATGCCTGGGCGATCTGTCAAGGAGCAACTCAAATCTGACAATCGTCAATTAAGCTTTCAAATTGTTTGTGTTGGATAATGGATAATGGATAATGGATATTGGTGAATGGTTAATGGCATTACCCACCTACCCCACAGGCACTTCAGCCCCAGTTTCCTAACCGTTTCCCTTCGCCTTGGCCCTTGCCCATGCCCATCCAGCCATGCATCACACTCTCCAGTGCCTGAAATGCTAAATGCTTTCAATTTTCGCCATTAAGACAAGCCTACAAATGGTTTATAAATTATGCCGTGCACGTAGCTTTAGCTAAAGCAATAGCTGTATCTGTATCTGTATCTGTATCTGTACCCCAACCTCCACTTGTATCCGTATCTGTATCTAAGGCATCAGCCGTAACAACAGCAGTAATAAATTTCTATAGAACGGTGCACGGGGAGAAAATATCATCCAAATTAGTGATCATAAATGGTTTAAAAAAAACACTTATCAACGATATTTATCTAAAATCAAATCAGATCTGTAGATCTTTAACCCTCAGGCCACCATTTAACAACAGTAGCTACTTGGAATTAAAATAACTTTATAAATATTGTTCTCTGTGCACATACGTAAATAAATTGAATTGTACAAACACGCACACACACACACACACCCTCACACATGTATTTGGCTGCAGGTACTTTACCGCCCATCCACCCCCACCGGCTGCCCCTCTAACACAGTCTGTGTCTGTCAGTGCCCTCGATCGTGTCATCCGTCACATACTCCACACAAACTGTTGACTTGTCGTCCCCCCGAGGAATTTATCCACTATATCGCTTATGTGGAACGATCTCATCCCCCGGTCAAACAGCATCATCGCCAGATTCGCCAGATGCACCCGATCAAGCTGTCAGCTCCTGAGCTGACGCTCTGATTACAAAGTACAGATCGCCGGACGGCCTAATGGTGCCGCTTGATGCAGTCACAACTGTACTTGGCCAACCAGACCTACTGCTTATATAATAACAATCTAATTATCGTAGATTGATTGAACTTTAATTGTCGACATCAAATATTAAACGCTTAACTAAATCTGGCTGCTAAACTGCATTTAGAGCTGCTTATTTGATGATCACGATTTAAGTTTTGATTTTGATATTATAAGATTCTGATGGCCCCTTACTACTTAAAGTGTTTTCCTTTTGTAAATCCCAAGAACTAAATTAAATTTTAAAGGCACGTTTATATAGGAATGAACGCAAATTAAGATGATCGGTCATTATATTTGGTATCCTAAACTGTCCAGCATACGACAATTTAAAGCTCCCGGCACGAACGGCAAATGCGTCCGTAACGCAATTATATATTCAGGTAAATCCCTCGCCAAAAACTCCATCAAAACAAAGAGCCACAAAAAAAACAAGGTGAGATCGGAGGCAATTAATGGACATGGGGATGGGATTCGTCGGAACGAAAAAGAAAATCGAAATTCTGGGGGCCAACGAACGAGTCGACCGAATATTCTTCTTCCTTCCAAAACCAAAACCAAAAGGAAAACTTTTCCGCCATTAAACGGCGCGTGAGTCCCCGTCTATTTGCGGATGCCGAGAGCTGATATGATTACAAAAACAAAAAGATCGTTATCGTTACATGAACGTGCTCACTTAGTATTCCATCTAATAATATAAATTATGACGATGATCGTAAATCTCGGAAGATATTTTGGGTTTGTAGAGCATGCCAAATATGAAACAATATCATAAATCTCCCTAGATATAGGGGAATTCACCTAGTTTTCGCTTAAAACTAGGCTTGTCTTTCTAGACTTAATGCCTTTGACTCACCTATCTTACAGTAGTTCACATTCTGGGCTTATATAAGAAGGATTAAGTATTGCTTTCGTGGCAGTCTATCGATGTTTGAGATTCATCTCATAGTAACTAATATTTGATCTGTGTAATGCTACGATTTAGCACACGCCCACTGTCAGTGGCTGCATGATCTGTGAATTATTTGTAAATAATATAAGTAGCTCCCTAATTGCCTTTCTCCGTCGGCTCTTGACTTGCCCCTTTTTGGACGGGATTCCAAGGCACACATTTCAAAGTATATATATATATATATAGTGAGCTATACTCAGCTCACAACTGTCCGATATTATTGCCCATAAACTATATTTGCGAAAACAAAACGCTGCGGCGATCACCGCAAAAAGATCTGTTGGCTTTCGGCTGATTTAGTGCTGGCACGTCCATAGATCAGTCCTTGCACCGACACCCAAATCGATTGGCGGGCATTCGGCCTGCCACGCTTCACCCACGGATTAGGTCTTGGCTTCTCACCTGGCTTCCATTCCGGGATCCCAAATCCCAAATCACAAATCCCAATACCGAATTCGGAATGGCGAACAATTAATGATCGGCTCGTGATTATGTGTCTGGCATATCAACTACACCTCCCTTCGCCGCCGATGAAACAACAAAATATGAACAATAAATTATGTTTATTTCATCCCCACTCCCCTGCTCGCACCTACCAATTGGTTTTGGCTTTGCCCAAATGCGGTCTGGGTCCAGCAACGATTTCGGGATTGCCAAGGTCGCAGAGCTCTCGGGATTGGAGCACCGATCAAGATTGCTCCTAGGTTGGGCAACCGCTTGTAATCAGTCTATAGATATTCCGATCAAGTTAGATGTCAACTGTGTTTTATTTTCAAAGATATTTTCAAATACATCCCAAGCTGGCCTAGCTCTTTTCGAATCTACCTTGGGTTTAGCTTGTTGCTAATATGTACCCAAACAGGTATCTCCAATCTTCTCGACTCACTTTCACTACGTTGCAAGTTTTCCATTGCAATGAATAACTAATATTCTTAACTGACATTCGAACTAACTGGCTAATAGAACCCCCTTGCAGTTTTCCGACGAATCTGGTCCATCTGGCTTGGGACATCCTGTTTGCATTGATGCATGCAAATCTCCATTGGTTTTCCCCTTACTGGATTATGTTTTGCATTTTCGATTTGTATTGAATTTATTTTAAGGCATTTTCAATTGATTTGGGATTGCGTTCTAGTTGCGTTCCAGCGAAAAACCTATGACGAAGTTGTATATATAGTCATCGGGGGAGGTATGAGTATGAGGTTGGTGGTTGTTAAGTGTTGCTAAGATCGCGGATCGCAGTTCGCAGGCCGACGCACGTCTGTCGATTTTGTTCTGTTGACCAAAAAATACATATTCTGCGCACGTTCACACCTCTGACGTCTGCGCCTGCGCTGTAAGAGAGCTTTGGCACTACGCGCTTCTAGCTGCCCACCTTCCACCTTCCCGCCTGCCTCTCGGCCAACCAACTCCTTGCCTAGATGGCCGCCACAATTGTGACTATGTGTGTGTGTGTGGTTTCAGTTTCATTTCCGGTGGCAGGCAACGGACGGCGCTAAAAGCGCCTTTTTTATTTGTTTGTTTTTTCTTACAAACCAGCAACAGCAACAACAACAACAACAACAACATACACTCGTATCACGAAATTACCATTTTCGGATTGGCATTAATTTTCTGTGTTTGTTTTTTGAAATGTATATGATTCGGATTCTGATTGCGATGAATTCTCAGTGATTCATCCAGGAGTACAGTCATTACTCACAAGCTAGGAGGGGGCGCGTTTATCTTCAGGTGTTAGTTAGTGATTGCCTAGCACTATCTCTTAATTGCGAACAAGGTGAGAAGTAAAAGTGTTTCTTAATTAAGAAGTAGGACTAAAAAGCTAAAGTGGAAACTGCTTGCTCTGAATAAACAAGTTGTTGGAAAACGGTACTGAAAGCAGTTTAAAGAGCCTGCGATAGGAGCCAATGTAAAGCAGTGCACACCCACAACAAATCAATGTTTTGATTGTTTCGTTGTTTTCGCTGTTTTTTGTTACTTCTGTCTTGCTGACACTTAATTAAGCCCATAAACAAAAACCCCCTCTTTCCCACGAGATCGTCAGGAAGGGTTAACCAGAGCGGCGGCTGTATTTAAAAACAAAAAGCGTCGTCCACAGCCAGACAAGATTCAGATTCATTCATACCCCAGCGCTTAGAACACCGCCAGCCCACAGCTCCCGTCTGAGAGATATACCCACTAAGCGAGCGGAAGAATTGAATCGCCGAGAGAGAGAGAAGCCGCGCTGAGACAACGTCAAGAATTCGATTCCGAGTCGAAATCCGAGGCAAAAAGCTTCAGACCCGGCAGCAGGCGCTTCATTCTCGAGTTGCGGTCCAACGGGTTAGCAAGCAGCTCACTGCTCACTACAGCTCGCAGCTGCGGCAAGCAGTTCATCGTTTGTTTTTAGTGACGACCAACGAAATTTTGTGTGTTTTTGTTGTTTTTTTTTTTAAAAAAAGACCAAGGCGCGAAAATTATGCCTTCAGCCACATTTGTCCTGGAGCATTTAATGGCGGCACAAACGCGTCTCAACGAGCAAGCCGCATCGCCAGCAGAGGTCAAAACCATCAGCAGCAGCAACACCATCGTGGCCAAAGCCCCCAAAGTCAAGTCATATGAGAAGAAACTGTTGTTGGCCATCAAGAAAATTGTGCAATAATAAACGAACACTCTATTTGAAAACAAACTATACACATTTCACCTTAATCGAGCTGACTAAGATCAATAAAAAGCAAACGGAAAACAGAAAGCAGAAAAACAGAAAGCAAAACAAACAGCGGCAAAAACAAGAATTCTAGTTTCTGTGTGTTTCAGTGTGTGCCGCCTGGTTGTGTCTTGTTGTTGTGTCTGTAAGTGTGTGTGTGTGTGTGGGCAAGTTGTTACATAAAAACAAAAAGTAATATAAAAGCCGAACCAAGACGCATTTTCCCACATTGGAATATTCGAATACTGGAAAATAACTGCCTAAGCTGTTTTTTTGTTTTGGTGTGTGCGGAAAAACGAGAGTGAAGAAAATGCTGTTCAACAAATGCCTGGAAAAGTTGTCCAGCTCGCTGGGCAATGTGGTAAATCACAAGCTGCAGGAGAAGCAAGTCTACAACAACAATAATATTAACAACAACAACAATAATAATAATACAAATAATAATAACAATAATAATAGTAATGTGAATAACAATGCGTACAATAAGCAGCGAAACTTTGAATACGAAAGAGCCATACAGGCGCACTACGGAAGTAAGGGCAGGCGGTCGGACGAGCGAGAGAGGAGCGGCAAGTTCAAGGCCGGCAAGCGTCAGAAGTCGAAGGGCACGCCTCCGGAAACACCGGAAGTCCAGGAAACGACTTGCAAGAACTGCATGACCCACGACGAGCTGGCCCAGATCATTAAAGGCGTGGCCAAGAGCACTGGCCAAAACGCCAGTCGCCTCCAGAGACGACGTCGTCCTTTGTCCGCTCAACCATCTGCCGCTGCCTCCGCCTCAACGTCCACGGAATCCCTCCACCGTCTCACACCCAGTCCCCAGGCTTCGTATGCCTCCTATCCGGCCACGCCCACCTCCTGGACAGCCACCCCGCCCCAGTTCCCAGCTGCCTTCGGCGAGGCCAGCTGCTCGAACAGCACCCTATCCCTTTTGGCCAACATGCGCGTCCAGCTCCATGGTTACACGTAAGTTCCCGACCATCACCAAAAAAAAACGATCAAATTCAAACCAGTCTAGCAAAAAAATCGAATTAACTGATTTGGGACGCGTGCGAAATTAAGCGTTAATTGTTATCAAAGTGCAAATTAATTATTTTTTGGTATGCGAATTAAATAATACCCTGTTGAAACGGATTTGGGTAAGGATTAGGCTTGGAGAGTATTTTGGTTATAAGCAGTTTAAGCTGGTAAAGAAAGGTGATCAATATTTTAGTCAAGAATCAAAGAGAAGGCAATCTAAATATATATCCATCATCCGCCCCATGGGCCAGTCACATGTCGCAGCGTAGAAAATGATTCGAGAGAGGTCTGGAGCCAATCTGGTGCCCATTAGCATTAACCCTAATAAGGCAGGCAATCACAGCTATTTGACGCCGAAATAAACAATAACAAAAACAAATTGTCATGTGTTCAAAATTGCCACGCAAAATGAGTAAATATTTACACAGAGCATTCGATAACAAAAATCAAGCAATCGTGCAGATGAGAAAAAATAAAAAGGCAGTCGTAAATTGACATTCTATTATGAATGAGTGAGTGTCCGGGGAGTGAAGGGGCTGTAAGATCGCCACTCAAAAGTGGTATATAATGGCATATCAACCCCCTCACACAATTAACCCATTGTCAAGCCAAATTTCGATATTGATTTTAGCATTTAGAGTCGAAGATTGAGTTGTGGGTGAGTTGGGCACTGAGTAATAGGCTTCTAAGTGCAATTACGCACTTGTGAAACCGTAGAATTGGATAGAGTTCGTCGAAATGGCCACGGCAGACATGGTATCTTAGTCCACTGCCAGATCAGAATTATCTTTTCAATTCTCCTAGAGAATGTTTACCCATGTCTCTGGTGTCTCACTGGCTTACTGTCTCACTGTCCGTCGTCGTCCACATTCCACATTCCCAAAAAGATTCCATCCCACTACCTCAGCGATCTCCCATAAGTGTTTATCTCAGCGACTTATGCCATGTGCCATCTCTGTTTGCCTGTGTGTGTATCTCAAAAGTCTCGATTTGCACATTTCCCCAGAATATGGTATATATGGTATATGGTATGTCCCATAAATAATCTTTGACTTTTAGTTGGCTTTGAATTGGTATTATAGTCAGTTTTGGTCCGTTGGCCCGTCTCTCTGTCAGTTATTTATGTCGATGCCTATCGGAATTGATTCATTATGGGTGAATGTGTTGATTGGCTTGTTAACTTGATACTTTGCAGTTCTGCCCTTTGGGGCTAATATTTGATTGACTTCTAATATATGCAAAGCTCTTCTTTAGTATTTACTATTAGCATATCTTATATTTGCTGGAGAAGTTAATAATAATAGTAATATTATCTCCGACTGATTCACCATTAGTTGTGACAAAGTAATCGAGGCGATTTCCGGTCCTCGAATCGAGTCACGCGTCGAGTCTGTCACTTGTCACTGCACTAGGTCAACAATGGGGGAAGGCCCCTCTTTCACCCTTTCTCCTCATTTGGCAAGATGTTTGTCTTCGACCCACTATTAATCTTTCGATATAGTCGTATTTTTGTTTACCTCGCCATAAGGCTGATAAACGATTTATGAAATTGCATTTCTCGTAATGGCTTTCCATTGCTGCCTTCTGTTTTGCATATTTCCGTTTTTTCCGTTGCACAACCATGTGCTGCTGTTGATCAAATAAAATCACTTTAATTTGTGCAAATTCATGCAACCGACCGACTGCAAGATGCTCTCAGCTTTCAATGGAAAGACCCAGATGTAAGGGGGAAGAACTGCACGGAAAGTTTAGGTTTCCAGCCCAATATTTCCCTTGTCAGTGGAGTAGAGAATCTTTATCTTTATCTTTTCATAATTATTTATAGGCTTTTGTACTATTTACCAACCCCAAGGAAAACTATATTTATATTTAAAATATGCCACTGGATTCCTTAGCTAGACTAAACTCTTCTGCGTGGGTGGTTAGGGTATGGATAAGCAGCTTATTCACTACCTTTTCGAGCTGAGAAGTTAATTAAATGAAGGCCTCGTCTCCCTCATTCCCCATTTCCCATTCTCCATACCCCTCAACAACCCGTTTCGCTGCCGCCTTTCCAGGTGCGTTGGCACACAAAAAAATAAATAAACCTGTGACAAACGAAACGATTAAAACACTCAGGGATTCGGATATTGTGTACAAATCAGTTGCACATACTGATCGTACTCGTACTCGTATTCGTGTGTGCATGTAAATCTGTTTGTTGACCTTAGGCGGCGCTTTCATGAATGGCGCGCAGCTTTAGCTTCAGATTCAGCTTCAGCTTCCTTCGTATGTAAATATAACACATTCCCGCCTGCTGTTCACTGCTGTAAGTGTAACTGTAAATGATGCAAAAAGTTGTGAAATTTTCACTGACGTCCACCGGAGGTAATACTTCTGTTGATATTTTTGTCGACTGCGATTAACTTAAGCCCCCCTCCAGCCCCCCAGCCGCCACCACCAATCTGCCCGATTTAAATCGACTCCAGGGAGAGAGTAATTTGCGCTGTGTTATATTATCGTCACAGTGCTAAAATTAAAGTTCAACAGCGAAATGGGCGGAGGCAAGGTTTGGCTGAATGACACAAAGGATATTTGGGAGAAATATACTCGTAGAAGGGGAGATATGATCGATGTGGGGTGCGATAATTGTTAAGTTCAACTCGATTTCAAGGGGTCAGACGCCAGAAGGCGATGCGTCCCCGAATCTGAATAATCTCTACTCGATCTCTGATCGCAAATAAACAATGATCGGCCAAGCATTACTCTAATGTGTCTAATGATGTGGTCCCAAAACTGTGAATTGCCTTATGCAAATATCGCGAGAACCTTTCCATAAACAAAATCTGTGTGTGTTGATTCATTGGAAAGAATGCGCAGTTCGTAAATATTGACCAAAGACTGTGGTAAAACGGAAATTGCTTCTTAATAGAATAAGTCCAGATTTGTGTGTCTGGAAATAGCAATATAATGGAATCTCCATCTCTAGGCTGTGCCTCTGGCAAGCAGTTGCCAAGCTTTAGCCACAAGTCAAGCAGTGTTTTCCTGTCTATGTGCAGGCAAGCAGTGTCCCAAAGCACAGACTCGCTGTAATGGATTGCTAACTTCCGTTTTGCTAAAAATAAACCAATAAAACTCATTCTTATCACTACCAACCGATCGGGTTCGGGCCACCTTGAATCTGTAACAGACTTGCAAAACAGAGCGAGGAAGCGAGACGGACAATGGGAGAGAAAGACGGAGACGGAGGCACAGCATTGAAATGCACGACTGTGTTTGTGGCTCTAATGTAATGTTAATTGTTTCTACATGAATTTCTATTAATAGCCAGGCCAACACACACACACATACACATTCGCACGCGGAAGATGAATGATTTTAGCTGGCTAAAATCAATCAATATGCACAGCGAACATTTTTGTGAAATATAATAATCATAGGAAAAATCAATTATCTCTAGAAAGGAAGTCATATACTAAACTATGGCCATTTGAAAGTTGCACGTTTTTTGTTCTCTGTGTAGCGGCGGGGGGGATATCCGGGGGAACTGAGCTCTTAACACATCTATGCTGCCGCATAAATTAAACATGAGCTTTTTTGAGAGCCCCTTGCCATATTCCCACCCATATGCTCGCCTTCTCGATGACATTTTTTACGATATCTATGAACCCAAACACTGAGTTGAAACCGGCTTAAGGACAACTTACTGTTGTCAATTGTTTTTTAGATTTTGCTTGAATTCCGTACCTTTTTTTTTTATTCGCTCGGTGGCGACGAACTCGAAAGCGGGCTAAAAGATGGACAGTACAACAGCGGCACATGGTCGCTAATGGCATTCAAAGCAAGTTTTTTAAGTTAGTGTTATTTATGCAAAACAGTATAGGATGCCCGAGCAAAGCGAAACCAATAACCAATAACCCAAAAGCCGACAGTGGGTGGTGTGCAAAAGTGCTCGCTGATAAATTGATAAAATCTGAACGTATTATGATTCGATTTAGGTTAGTTTAGGCATCCTTTTTGTCTGTCTAAATAAGCGCTAGCTTTTCGAAGCTAGAGTTTTTGCAGTTCTCACTTTTAAGCCTAATTCAGGCGTTTTTTCTATGTCACATCGCAAAATGCAATTTCAATTGCCATGGCGATGACAATCTCAAGTCTGTCAAGTCGACCAGGCCGAGCAGGCCAGACGGGTCGACTTATAAGTCCCGGGCCTCAACCAGCTGCCTTCGATGCAACTTGCGCTTTTCCACACGGCGTATGCGTGTTTTTTTTTTTTGCCGCTGCCACTAATGCTGTTGTTATTGCCATTGTCGCCTTGCATTTGACTGTTTTCTTCGAATTTTTGCTGGTGTGTGCTTTAGCACATATATGTCTACAGTAAAACCTCTTTTGGTTGCTGCTTAAATATTTCAATTTCACGAAGAAACAAAGCAAAGTTCTAAATGTTTTTGTAAAAGGCTGAACTGTTACGTGTGGACTAAGCTTATAAAAGACTGTTTACTCAGAAGTTTCATGCATAGAACCTTCACTGTACCTATATTCGATTTGTATTTGCGCTGCTTGGTTCCTACTCGTATTTGCTGTTGTTGTTGTTGCTTTTTGCGGTTGCTGTTTTTGCAGTTTTAGTTGTTGTTGGTTTTGGCTCTAGTATTTTGCGCTTTTGTGCGCTTCTCGTATAGTTTGTAATTGCAGTTTGAGCGCACACGTAGTCGACAGTCGAGCACTCAGTCAGTCAGTCAGTCAATCGCTCAGTTCGTTCAGTGGATGCGCCATCAATCGGTGGATATATACAACCTATATACAATATATATATAATGCTTACATAGATAACCATATAATCCTAACACTAATGATTATCCTTCCATTTCCCCATTGCAGATGGTTTCATGGCAATCTTTCCGGCAAGGAAGCGGAAAAATTGATCCTGGAGCGAGGCAAGAATGGTTCGTTTCTCGTCCGTGAATCTCAGAGCAAGCCTGGCGATTTCGTCCTATCCGTGCGGACGGACGACAAAGTAACGCATGTCATGATTCGATGGCAGGTATGTTGACTATGTAACCACCGGACTAAACTAACCAGATATAACAACTCCCTACCCTTCCATACCGACCTGCCCCGCCTCCAGCAGGGTGCAAAATGCAAATGCAAATCGATGCCAGTATAGCAACAAAGTCGCACTGCCCATAAAGTTCCTCATCGCGCGACCTTGGCTCTACAGTCGAGTCATATGTGCATTTATTAACTACGCTGTGCTGCCTTTGGCTAGAACTTTGGGCCTTTTTAAGTGCATTTTCCCATGGTAGTCTTAGCCAAATCAAAATATAACTTATGTAAGCTTCCTAAACAAGTTTTAATACTTAAAATGTTCTAACTCGTCATTCAATCAAAATTATCGAGGGTTTACTGTATATAAATTCGAAATACTAGCCTGCTTGCCTTGGGACATGCAACTGCTTGAATCAGGAGCTTCAACCGGGTCAAGCAGTGCGTTTCCAGTTTCAACGTAATTCCCCCAAAACAATTTTTCCACTATTACTACTACAACAACAACAGCAACCACAACTCTAGCCGTGTTCGCGGTTTTTGCGGTTGCAATTATGCCATTTACATGTCTTGCTGGCCTTTTTCCCATTTGACATTGTAGTCACGTTTTCGATTTTATTAGCTAATCTCTTGACGCTCCATCGAACTCAACCCCCTCCACGTGCCCCGCATTATAATGCCCTGATTACCAATACTACAAAACTCAAAAAGCTAATTCTAATAACCGAAATTTCCCCGGATTACAGGATAAGAAGTACGATGTCGGCGGCGGCGAATCGTTTGCCACTCTGTCTAAACTTATCGATCACTACAAGCGTAATCCCATGGTGGAGACGTGTGGAACGGTGGTGCATCTGCGGCAACCCTTCAACGCCACGCGAAGCACGGCGGCCGGAATCAATGCCCGGGTGGAACAGCTTGTCAAGGTGGGCTATAACTATATAAAATCCGTTGATTCTTGGTTGTACTTAATCTGTGGTTTGCTATTCCAGGGAGGTTTCTGGGAGGAGTTTGAGTCGCTGCAGCAGGACAGTCGGGACACCTTCTCGCGCAACGAGGGCTACAAGCAGGAGAACCGTCTGAAGAACCGCTACCGTAACATATTGCCATGTGAGTATAGAAGCTACCGATGATCCAATGACCCAACTGCAATTAAAGTTCTGTGACTTGAAGATTGATTCATTTATCCTCATAAAGTATGCAATACAAAAGGATTATTACTAAGTTGAATTTAATTGATCGACCTTCGTAAGATAACCCACTTCATGAACCTCAGTTATCTGCGAAATCTTTTAGCAATCATAGAATAAACTAACTCATTTCCCTATTCGTTTCCCAGACGACCACACTCGCGTCAAGCTGCTGGACGTGGAGCACAGCGTGGCCGGGGCTGAGTACATCAATGCCAACTACATACGCCTGCCCACCGACGGCGACCTGTACAACATGAGCAGCTCGTCGGAGAGTCTAAACAGCTCGGTGCCCTCGTGCCCCGCCTGCACGGCAGCCCAGACGCAAAGGAACTGCTCCAATTGCCAGCTGCAGAACAAGACGTGCGTGCAGTGCGCCGTGAAGAGCGCCACGCTGCCGTACAGCAACTGTGCCACCTGCAGCCGCAAGTCGGACTCGCTGAGCAAGCACAAGCGCAGCGAATCCTCGGCCTCGTCCTCGCCCTCCTCCGGCTCCGGATCCTCTGGAGCCAGTGGTGTGAGCAGCGTTAATGGACCCGGAACACCCACCAATCTCACGGGCGGCACAGCCGGCTGTCTGGCCGGACTGCTAAAGAAGCACTCTAACGACTCGTCATACGGATCGGGATCCATAGCTGGATCCATGTCGATGGCCGAACGAGAACGGGAAAGGGAACGCGAAATGTTCAAGACCTACATCGCCACCCAGGGCTGCCTACTCACCCCGCAAGTGAACACGGTGACGGACTTCTGGAACATGGTCTGGCAAGAAAACACTCGGGTGATCGTCATGACCACAAAGGAGTACGAGCGGGGAAAGGAAAAGTGCGCCCGCTATTGGCCGGACGAGGGTAGATCGGAGCAGTTCGGTCCGGCGCGGATACAGTGCGTTACCGAGAACTCAACGAGTGACTACACGTTACGCGAGTTCCTCGTCTCTTGGCGGGATCAGCCAGCGCGCCGGATCTTCCACTACCACTTCCAGGTGTGGCCAGATCACGGAGTACCTGCCGATCCGGGCTGTGTGCTGAACTTCTTGCAGGACGTTAACACCCGACAGAGTCAACTGGCCCAGGCCGGAGAAAAACCGGTAAGTTTCATTGATTCCAAATGAAACTTGGACATGAAGTTTTAATATTCTTATTCCCCGTATTTTTAGGGTCCCATTTGTGTGCACTGCTCGGCGGGCATCGGACGCACTGGCACCTTCATAGTGATTGACATGATCCTCGACCAGATCGTACGCAATGGTAAGTTGGGCATTATTATAATTACTAACTTGCAGACGTCCTAATCGAAACCCCTAATACGATTTATCGCAGGATTGGATACCGAAATCGACATCCAGCGCACCATTCAGATGGTCCGATCACAGCGTTCCGGTCTCGTGCAAACGGAGGCGCAGTACAAGTTCGTCTACTATGCGGTCCAGCACTACATCCAGACCCTGATTGCCCGAAAGCGGGCCGAAGAGCAGAGTCTGCAGGTTGGCCGCGAGTACACCAATATAAAGTGAGTAAAATCTTTGAGAGACTTCCATGTGTGACCGAACTAACTGAGATTTTAAATCTACCCTCCAGGTACACGGGCGAAATTGGCAACGATTCACAAAGATCTCCATTACCACCAGCAATTTCTAGCATAAGTTTAGTACCAAGTAAGACGCCACTAACGCCGCCATCGGCGGATTCAGGCATTGGGTTGGGCCTGGGCATGGGCGTGGGCATGAGCGTCGTCGGCAACAAGCATGCCTCGAAGCAGCAGCCGCCGTTGCCGGTGGTTAACTGCAACAACAATAACAATGGCAGCGGCAATAGCAGCAACAGCTGCAACAATGGCAGCAGCAGCAACAACAGCGTCAGCAGCAGCAACGGCAGCAGTAGCAACAGCAGCAACGGCAACATCAACGCCATGTTAGGCAGTATCGGCTTGGGGTTGGGCGGCAATATGCGCAAGTCGAACTTTTACAGCGACTCGCTGAAGCAGCAGCAACAGCAACAGCAGCAGCAACAGCAACGCGAAGAGCAGGCGACTGCTCCGGCGGGAGCAGGTAAGATGCAGCAGCCGGCGCCGCCGCTGCGGCCGCGTCCTGGCATTCTCAAGTTGCTCACCAGTCCCGTCATCTTTCAGCAAAATACAAAAACATTCCCAAAGACATGATCGGCCTGCGACCGCCGAGCCATGCGCCTGCGTTGCCGCCACCGCCGACACCGCCGCGCAAAACATGACAAATGAATTTCTAAGTCGCGACGCCCCTTGACACGCCCCCTGACACCCAATCCCAAAACCCCGACCACCCAAACGCACACAAAACCCCACATGTGGAGTTCATTTATAATATCACCCTGCCGCCCCCTAAAAAAAAACCCAAAAACCCCAAACCCTTGTCTATGTTTTACTGTTGTACCACGTTCTACGTTTTTTTTTTTTTTTGTATTAATTGTAATCTATATACTTTTTTGTAATTGTGTGTAATGCTTAGTTGTACGTCATTGTCTCGCTTTATGTTGTAAGTGTTCCCTGCACACGCAAAGCAGTAACCCCACCACCCGAAAAAGAAACCCCAGAAGAACCCCACACCCCCAGGCATATTTATGTAGTAGTTTTTTCAGAGCCCCCGAACCGGAAGTTAATGATACAATCTGGGCGGAACTGCAGCAGATCCGCCAAAAAAAAACACACATTTTTAAGAAGAATCGCAGCAACAAAATGATTAGGTCCCGTTCCCAGTTTTAAAATCTCTTGAATTTGCCGGAATTATAATTAATTTCATTTCACTTTTTTGAAAATCAATAACTTTTGATTTGATCTTTGACTCATGCCAAAAAGAAAAGAAAAACGTAAATTTGTTGCGCTGGTTTCAAACCAGAAATGTTGACTAATTTCAAATATAAACTTTTTTGAAAGTATAATAGGTTCCCAATGAGTGGTTTTAAGCCATTTAAATTCTCGATTGCCGGAAAAGTGAAATCTAGTTCCGGTTTTCCCTTGTTTTTCCCCCCGAAATGATCGATTTTCAGACATAAAAAGAAATTCCGTCAAATTCAATTTGAAACGGTATCGGGTAGCCGGTTGGAGTGCAAATCAAGTTTTTAGTGTTGTAAGTGTTGACAAAATCGAGAGAGGAGGAGTTAGAGGAGTAACTAAGGCAGTAAGCACGTAACGATAATGATACAAAAAGCGTTGATTGTGATTCGAGTGACAGCGAGAACAGAAACAGTAACTGAAGCAGATGAGAACGGAGGCGAGCGAGATCAGATTCGATTAGATCAGACCAGAACAGGACAGCAGAGACGCCAACCGAACAGAACAGATAGGAACAGATCAGACGAGAAGAGAACAGAATAGAACAGATTAGCGGTAAAAATAAAAAATAAAAAGAACAGAAAAAGCTAAGAAACGCTTAAGCGTGTCGTCCCTAGGATAAGAAAACTAAGATTACAGCTCGCCAGATCCAGATCTAGATCTATATCTCTAGCAGCCAATTTCTGGTTTCCCCCCTTACCGCCCCCCCTTTCCCTTTTATTTAGTGATGATTGTATGTGTATGTTCTTAATTGTATATTGATGATTATTTATAAAGGTTTTCCCATTGTGTTACATTTCAAATGATCGAAGAAGAAAATTGTATTTAAAACAAAATTATAAATTGTATATTGATGATTATTTATAAAGATTTACCCATTGTGTTACATTTCAAATGATCGCAGCAAATTGTATTTAGAAATTTATAAATTTAGAAATTATAATTTAATTGCGCGTATGTGTCTCTCTATTCCTTTCTCTCTACCCCAGTCTCCCCATCTCTGTCTCTCTCACCCTCTCTCTCTCTGTGCATGCACGAGTGTTTTCTTTTTGACTAAGTTTATTATTTCAAACGCTGTAGCTGTAGCTGTAGCGGAATCAAACTATATATGCAATATTTAAGCACAGTAGCTCCTAAGGTAAGCACAGTAGCTCCTAAGGTACAGCTAAAAACGAAAAAAAAAAAAAACAAAATAAGAATCCACCAGCAAAATCAAAAATATACAATTTACAGGAAGGAATAACTCAATATAACAGCAGCAGCGAATTAAACCCATTAGGTTATTGTGCAAATCTAAGTAATATTTTTAAAATATACCTTTATTTTATCTTATTTTACCTTATGGTTTTGTAAGTGCTTTAAATTGTTATTCATCTTGATCTTGCGTAAAAAAAGAAAACAAAAAAATACAAAACAAAACTGAAAAACGAATACAAAACTAAAAAAAAAAACCAACACAAATTATATTTGTATTTATACATAAAAAATAAAACATTTTATATGCGATACACAAAAAAAAAGAAAGAAGCACATTATATTTTATTTTCCTTGCATGATTGTTGAACGCTTTTGCTTTTTTGGTTCTCAACTTTAGCGTTATATTATATTACAACCGATCCTCAACGAACTGAAACAATAACCCAAACACTTAGGAACTTACTAGCCTTACATCCATACATACATATATATATGTAATACATACATATATGTATACATAATCGTATATCGAGATGCCTCTTCGACCAAGACGACAAATTGAATTACAGAAGGGAAAAGGAGACGAAGATGAGGGAGTCGCATCCAGTCTCCCTCCCATTTAGAACAATAAGTAGTCATGTGTTCACCCCCACCACCCGAATCTGAACTGACCCCTGACCTTCCACCCACCATCTGAGCACTAACGGGTGAACCCGATCGGACGACGAACGTGCTTGTAAGTGCGTGATCTAGTACTTTATATAGTTAGCCTATGATACGATAATTCAAATGGAATATGTCGAAGCCTGGCTTCGACTGGGCGGCGACAAAGTGGCCGCCAAAAACGAAACGAAGGTGAATCCGTATGTGAATCTGTAAATCTGTGAGTCCCTCTTGGGGATACGATTTGTTTTGATCCTGAAATGTGGGACAACTCAAGTCCCACACTATTCTCGTGTTGAATATTTCTATAGCATGTAGACAGAGGTGGTAATATCGGAGCGGATATGAAGGATATGGAAGATATGGAGAACGCAGTCCAAAGGAGCAGCCAACGGAGGATGGAGAAAACGGAGAATAACAAAGCACAAATGCCAACACGCAACAAAACACCAATAGGCCTCATCGAAGACATCAAAGCACAAAAACATTTTGAAACAACGATGTTAAGATCAATAAGAATGAACATAAATCAAAATAACGAAGTGAATATTGAAGAGGGATAAGAAAATATTAAAGGAGAACCAAACACCAAAACAACAAAACACCAAAAACCAAAAAAACCAAGAGCAAAGAAACGCTTTAAACCTAATTAATTCTAAAATTGTATCTAGGCGATATCTAAATGTAAACCATACACCAACTATCCATAGTAGGAAGCGAACACCAAGATAAACTTGCTTAAGTGACTTACTTTAGATAACGATATTCTCGGGTAGGACCTAAGCCTCCACCCCCTTAAGAACCTCATACCTCAACCAAACGATCCCGTGCCCAAAAACTAGAAACCAAATCCCAAATTCCATTATTCCCGCTCCTCAACGTCAAAAACTTCTAAATGCTAATAACTACACAATGCAACCTCACTCCGTGTTCATAATCCGAAGGAGTTGTTCAATTTTTAGGGAAACCTCGGTGCGGTTTCGATGTTGCAAGAATAAAAAACCAAATGGAGACGTTTTCTTTGTTCAAATGTTGCCAATTTGCATAATACAAGTGTTATAGTACCATATACCATATGGAGTATGAATAATATATATATTTAGAGACGAACTTCAGGGCATTGTGCCCTGTGAAAATTCCAAAGAATCCGATGAAAAACGAATAAGCAAATATTTATCTATATACAACAACAAGAAACAACTAAAGCGTAGTTCTCTTTGCATATTAATTATTAACCGACCTACAAGCATTAGATATATGTGTAGAATACTGCGAATATTGTTGAACGATACGATGATGATGACGATGATTTAATTGGAACTATATAGGTAACAATCCAGAACAAAAGGTAAACAAGCCCACGACGCCACGAAACGCGATTAACGCAATAAACAAAGTTTTCGTAGCTTTCTAGATCGTAAGACGAAACAAATTAATTAAACGCAACAAATTTGATCGCGAAAATCAAGAAAACACCAAATAAATTATAGACAAACCAAGCAAAACACAAACAAGAAACAAAAAACAAAATCGTTGTAATGTTAAAGCAAATCTATATGTAAATCAATCTGCAAAACGCTACATAAACGTAACAAACGAAACATTAAACACAGCCACAAAATATTATTATATGAAATTAAATTAAATTGAAACCTTAAAAGGCATAGCTGTTCGAAACATTATACCGATAATAACGATATTGAAGATATATTCAACATTTTTATGTGTCTGCATATTTGAAAAAATGATATATTATTGAATAAACCATATTACAAATAACCTTTCGAGAAATCACATGGTTTTACTGCCTTTCGATTTTCAGACACTCTTCAGAACTGATCTCTCATCTGCAGTTAATGATAATAATACTTTAATAGTATATAAACCTCACTCCAATAAAACTCGATCGGAAGAATTCACGTTCATTAATTACTATACGGCGACAGTTTTTATTTTGTTCAGCAATAGGAAAAAAAAGGTTTTGTAAAAAAAAATAAGGTGTACAACCACGGAACTTTCAAATAATTTATATATATCTTATAATATATTTGCTCGTGTATGTATATGTGTAACCTAAGGTTAGCACTGTCGAACTTCCATAACTCAGATTAATTTCTTTTTTTTAGAATTTAAGGAGATTTCCTAACTATAAATATTCACATTTTGCGGTTATTGATTGTTCTTATTTTGGGGGATAGCCAGCCAATAGTTTTAAACGGATTTGTTATGGACAAAGAAATGGTAGTTGGTGGTTAAAATTTTTTAAAAGACTCGGACCACAAATTCGAGCTATGGAAATCCGACTGTATTTCAGATGCCCTAAATTAATCAATAAGTTACATGTTTAGGTTGTCGTATTCAATTCAGTTTCACTTAGGAATTACTTCAGGCTTCATTTTTAATTCTAACTATGTAAATACGTATTCCCAGCTTACCTCTAGTTTAAGTGATTTCTTTATGCTCATAGTGTAATGAATAATATCGTTTAAATAAATACCTTAGCGCTTAGGTGTAGTGATGAAGTTCTATACAAGTTGATGAATCGATGACTGGGATAACAGTCTATGCTTTATCATACATGTGGCGGCCTGCTATTTGAGCTACGCGAACACCCCGCTAGTTTAGTTTAGATTACGTACAAAAAGTTCTACAGCTCGCTTCAAGCGAATCAGATTCAGCTTGGGCGACGGACCTGGTTGGACCCGGTCCAGAGCTATGGCTCCTCCTCCAGCCGAAGGTCGTGGCAGAGTCGAGTGGTCAGGTCGTAGCACAGGTGACTGCCCCCGCTGCTATCTTCAGACTCTGGCGGAGTGCTGCCAGGAGCTGTGCGAGTTGGAGCGGTTTGACTGTCCATTCCCAGACCCACCGGCGAGTAAGGTGGCGGTGTAATCGAGTACGAGGGCGATGGCATCATTTCACCTGGCTCATCCCGCTGACACTATTGCGCTCCTCCGAGCGCAGTGTCCTTTATATCGCCTGGTGGAGGAACCTCTTTCATGGATTCAACCTTAGCCACAATCTTAAGGGCTGGGCCCAACTTCATGCCCATGGCATGCACCAAATGGTTCTCCTTTAGCAACAAGAGCGCCTGGCCGTCGATCTCCTGCTGTATAAAGTCGTCCACATAGTCCTGACATCCAGGCAGTTCTCGAATGAAGTTGCTAACCTCCTCCACACTCCAGCTGCTGATTGGCGGGCGATCCGATCCATTCACATTCACATTGGAGGATGGAAGTGCCACTGCAGGAGTGACCACTCCAGGCGGAGCTACTGCCATAGGTACAGGAGGTATTGCAACTGGCAACGGCAATGCCAGCGGCAACGAAAGCGGGGAAGACGCTGGGATAGCCGCTAGCACCGGCATTGGAATCGATGGAACCTCTGTTGGAGCCGCTTGGATGGGCAGCGATTCGGACATTGCCTGTAGGGCTTCTGTCTGCATTTTTTCCTCGGCCATAGCTTCGTCCAGTTTGTCCACCAACGCCATGGCGTCCACTCCAACAATGCCGCCTGTTCCAAGGCCGTTGGTCTCCCCTGAGCCCACTCCACCGATGCCATTCTTCGCCTGTCTGGCGCACCCTGGCGAACAGTAGCGCTTCCGTTTGAGCTTCGATTTGTGTTCCAGCTTGCCACACTGCTCGCAAGCAACCATATCCGCTGCTGGAGCCGACGCGATCCCACATGGCTTGATGTCTTCCTGCATGGCTGCCTTTTTCTCTGATGAAGCAAAAGGAAACAGGTAAGTTTGGGATTATATAAGGCTAACGGTGGCTTATACTTACTTGGCGGCTCATCGCTGACATCCTTGTCAGCATACCGTTGCCTGGTGACAGGGAATGGTTCGTTGGCCTCCTGTATGATAAAACCATCGATGACATGGGTTAGCACATTTGGCTTTATCATCGCCTTAGGCAGATCCTTAGCACCATTGGTATTACTCGTCGTAGTGGTTGTGGTGGTGCTGGTGCAACTTGTGGTCGAAGTGCTAGAAGTGGTGGTGGTTGTGGTAGCGGTGGTACTAGCTGTGGTGCTTCCTGTCATTCTGGCAATTCCAATCCCATTGCTAATCGTTGTCGTGGTTGGCGTTGAAGTAGCGGACGAACTGGAGGTAGTCACCTTGGGTTCCTCCTTTCCACTAACAGTGTTGGGAGTGGTGCTGCTGCTCGTCGGCTGAACTGCATTGCTTTGCTTACTGCTGGGAGTGGTAGGTGTCTTCGATGGCGTGGACGCCCGATCTGCGACTTCTCCATTGGGCAGAGCCTCACTCGTGGAACTGCTGGCCTCTACGGACGAACTGATATTTGCAGAAGCGGAGGATTTGGGTGTGGTGCAGATGTCTTGACCAGATACAGCCGTCATTGGCGAATCAATAGGCACCAGAGTAGCGGTGGGTGCTTTCGAATTCGCATCCTTTGTGGGCGTGGCAGGAAAACTTCCCCCGCTACTAGCACTGCTGAGCGTTACAAGCTGACCCGGCGATGGAGTAACAGCAGTGCTAGTCACAGAAACCGTCACCGGCGGAGCAGTAGATAAGTGGCCCACAGTGGCATTCATCATCGAAGTCATGGCCAGAATGGGATTAGTGGTGGGTGAGGGCGTTGTTGGTGTAAGTGAAGGTGGTCCCTGTTGCTGCTGTTGAGATGCTGCCGCTATGGTGGCATTGATTAGCTGCTGCTGTTGTTGTTGGATCTGAGCAGCTTGAGCTTGAGCCTGAGCCTGTGCCTGCTGCAGACTGGCCACTGTACTGCTGGTGACCAGGGGAGTGCTGCTCTGATTGGTAATCGTGACCACACTACTGGTGGGAAGCGATGAGGAACTGCAAGTGCCAGGCTTAGCTGTCTGGAAGATGGCGCCTGAGGCGGAGAGAGCTGCCTGCAGAGCACTGGAGGTAGCTATGCCAGCTGGCGTCGTCGTCGAAGAAACCGAAAAGGGCACGCTGCTCAACTGCAGCTGTCCGGTTTGCTGCTGCGATTGCTGCTGCTGCTGTTGGGCGGTCGCTCCCACCGCTCCACCCACTACAATCTGCTGGATGATGCTCTGCTGCTCACGCTGCTGTTGTTGCTGCTGCGCTTGGGCCTGCACTTGGGCTTGGACCTGTGCCTGAGCCTGTTGCTGCAGTTGCTGCTGGATCAGCTGGTTGTGAAGTTGTTGCTGCTGCTGGGGTGTGATGAATGAGTTGGGCGCCACCTGCAGGATCTGCTGAGTAGCATTGGCAAGTGCCTGCTGCTGCTGCGCCTGTGCTTGTGCTTGGGCAACTTGCTGCTGCTGCTCCCTTTGCTGTTGCTGTGCCTGGGCAACCGCCTGCTGTTGTTGCGCCACCGCTTGCTGTTGCTGGGCGTTTACCTGCTGCTGTTGTTGGGTGACTTGCTGCTGTTGTTGCTGTTGCTGGGCCTGAACAGCCGCCTGCTGCTGCATCTGAATGGCAGCGATCTGCTGCTGGAACATTTGCTGCTGTAGGAATTGCTGCTTTTGAATGAGCATCTGTTGCTGCTGTTTGTCCACTCCTGCCGCAGTGGCTGCATGGAGAGTCTGTCCATTCTGGAGGGTAATGGGAGTGCCTGTCGTACTCATCACAACCATTCTGTAGGAATTCGGGTAAGTAATAGTTAATATCATCATATTGATACTGCACATCAGAGACTACTCACTTATTGCCCGCCGCATTGACCACCTGCTGGAGATTCGTTGCCTGCTGTTGCTGCTGCACGGTGGTCAGGTGACCCACCACTTTATTTTGGCCTGCGACCTGACCATTTTCTGTCTTCAAGGTGGGTAGAGCGGGTCGCACGGGCTGCTGCTTGTTACGCATCTTGGCCTTCAGCAAACTCTGGTTTTGAGCTGTCTGTGTGGATACGGAACTGGCTGGACGCACTTGGGTTCCATTGTGAGGCATAATTGGAGCTCCAGGCCGCTGCAGAGTTGCTGCCGTGAGTTGCTGCTGCTGTTGCTGCAATTGGGCAGTGGCAACAGCTAGCTGCTGCTGCTGGGTCTGGTTAGTAGTGCCTGCCTGCTGCTGCTGTTGCTGCTTGGGAGCAAGTGCATCGAGTTGGGTGCGTGCCTTGGTGGGAGTCTGGGTCACATTGCACTGGATGATCTCTGTGGGAAATAGTGTACCTTAGTGTCTGAAGAAATGTCATTTAATATGTAGATATTCTTACGGTTCTGCTGCGTCTGCAGGGTCTGTGTCGCCGGTTGCTGTTGGATGAACATGCCCTGGGTCCCGTCTGGCTGGTTTCGCAGGATGATCTGATTTGAGCCAAAGGGCTGCAGTCCGTTTTGCCAGAACCAGGGGATTTGCATTTGTTGCGCTTGTCCAGCGTTCAGGAGTTGGGCAGTCTGAACCGACTGGGCGCCGACTCCGACTGGTAAAGTTGACTGCGAGACTTGGACGCACTGTTGAGTGGTTTGGGTGGTTTGCTGCTGTTGCTGTTGGACCTGCTGTACCTGCTGGGCCTGTGACGTTCCAGCGGACCCTGTACCCGTCGCCGCCTGCACTGTGCTGCTCGTAGTGGTCACCTTCTGGACCACTTTCTGGGCCAGTTTGCCCTGCGCATCCACTCCCACTTTCGCCAGAGCGGCTGTCAGCTGTTGCTGCTGCTGTTGTTGCTGCTGGGTGAGTTGCTGTTGCTGTTGCTGCTGGCTTAGCTGTTGCTGCTGCTGTTGGGTAAGTTGCTGCTGCTGGGCGGCGGCGGCCATCGACTGCAGTAGATTCTGTTGTTGCTGCGGCGAGTGCGAGATGACATTCACCGGCGAGATAAGCAGCGTCTGGGGCGACTGGTTGTGGTTTGACGGAATACAGGTGGCGTAGTTGCCTCCGGCGAATCCCGCTTGTGCTCCGATCATCTGCTTGGCGTTCTGCGTTGTGGTAGTGAGCATCTGGGGACCGTTGCCCTGGAAGGGCTTGCCGGCGGTTATCACCTGGATGGGCTGCTGGCCGAGGCCGCCTGGATGCAATAGATTGCCCGACACAATCATCTGCGGGTACAAGAAGCTGGTAGAGGGCTGCATCAGCTGCACAGTCCTCCCCTGAGTCCAATCCCCGCCCACTCCTCCAGTGGCCCCCGCTAGCTGCATTGGCGACATGGTGCTGATGGCGGTGGACTGCTGAGAATTTGCTGGACTAGGTGCTCCTCCTGCTGCTCCTGCGTTCCCCGATGCTCCACCTCCCGCTCCTCCGCCTCCACTGGCATCTGAGAGCTGCTGCTGCAATTGCATTTGCTGCTGGACATCAATGATATTGGCAGCATGCTTCAACTCTGCGCCCCCTCCGCCAGTTGTGTGTGGTGGGAACTCTTGCTTCACTTGGATGCCAAAGGGATTGCTCGCATAGAACTGTTGCAGCTGTTCAGGGGAGATCTGTAGCGGCACGCTGGTAGCGGCCGCCACCTGTTGGGCGGGACTCTGTGACTTCTCCAGCTTGTTGCTGCGTGTTTTTGAGTTGTGTGTACTTGGTGAGCTGCTTAGAAGCGGCAGTAGTGGGTGGCGCCGCTTGATGGGTGGTGTTCCGGCTGTTCCACGTGCCTTGGTGCTTGGAGATTGTGATGGGCTGTTGGCAATGTCCTCGTCTAAACAGATGCCTGCCTTCTGGGAAAGTGTTTCTAGGCACCTGAGTGGTCGCTGGGGATCCTCTTGAGTGTTTGTGGGACCTTTTACCGATACGCCGTGTGCAGGTGAAGATGCTGGTGACGGTGTTGTTGTTGCTGCTTCTGCTGCTGGTGTTGATTCACTTTCTGTGGCCGCACTGCAGGAAAAAGAGAACGAAGAAGCGGACACAGACGATCAGTAAACATCGCGGATAAGCACAAACATACACAGACACACTTGGGGCGACTCCGAATGCGTGGGGCATGCTTCATATTCATATTTATATTCGTATTCATATTCTTTTATCGCTTGACCAACGAAGCACACAACAACAAATGGTGACTACAAGTCACTCCCGCCAAAGAGCTCTCATTCCCTCTCTCCCAGCTGAGTGGAGAGAGCAGAAGAGCACTCGCACTCTCACTTGCGTTGAAAAGATAAACGGTGGAAGTGAAAAGAGATTGTGCGAAAGAGACGCATGATCATTGAGAAAGACAAAGACGGGATCGTGTAAAAATGCACTCGCCGTCCAAAAACAGCAAAGAAAACGAAAACAAAATCGAGACGAAAAAGTGAGACGGCACGAGATATACTTTGTTTTGGGTGATCATTCACACACAAGGTAACTCAGCTACAGGGGACATCGCTTAAGTAAAACGGGAAATATAATAATAAAAAAAAAAATAAGTTTACATAACTTAAACTGAAATAGGTCCTTAAAGCTTATTCAAAAATGTAATATTGCTCTGTGTTTAATTTTCTTTTTAAAAGATTTACTAATGTTTACAGTGTTTTTTCAAAGTTCTTAAATGATCGCAAGGCAGGAACCTCCGTTAGAAACTATTTCTCAATTTATAATGCTCCGTGACCCACTAAAAGTACACTGTTTTGCATGTATGCAACACAGTGTTTAAAGGAGGTCACTTGTCAGAGTTGCCTGTGCCCTCAACTTCTATTTTTAGTTGCCTTGCTCTCCTGCTCTCTGTTGCTCATCCTTTCCAGCCTTCCTCCTATGCTTCCTCCTCATGCTCCTACTGCTCCCCCGCAGAGGGGAGTTTAAGTGGGAGTAAGCGAGACGACCTTTATTTATGGTGTTCCCATTGCCGATGGCCAAGGCGCATAGAACCATCATGACAGTGGTATCCACGAGGGCAGGTTCAAAGACCTGCAAACGAACCCGAAATGTTCCTAGTTGTCCAGAAGTAACTAATGGTCGCGGTTTCAGATGACCAACGGAGGAGCAGCCGGTGACCCCCGTAATGGCTTGAAGTTACAGTTACCCTTGGTAAGTATCGGGGGTGGATTTCCATTAGGTAGGGTGAGAGTGGAACGGATTCGGAATCGAACTAGCCACAGCAGCATCATCCTCAAACTTGCAACCAAAAGACTGGTTTCTCTCCACTGTGCGAGTGTTTGAGTGAATGCATGATTTTGTGTTTGTGTGTGTGCAGGCAGACGGCTTACAACAATGGCAAAGCCATCATCATTTGATTTTCCTTTCCACCGAAAATTAAGTTGCAAGAATCAGAAACAGACGAAGAAGAGAAGGAAAACGAAGAGGAATAGGCAGAGGCAGGGAGGAATGACAACAATGCGGGGCAAACAACAAGCAAAGAGCATGCGCCGACGACGGCGTCTCGAAAAATATGTTTTCTCCTCCATTCAGTTTTTATCGTTTTCATTTTTCATTTCTTAGGTCTACAGGGTATGCACATCATATATGTATTATAAAGAGCACCTGTGCACGCGATCTTACATAAAAAAGCGCAACGACGACAACTCTAAACGCCGCACAGCATTAATTGTGTATTTTCTTCTTTTTTTTTTTTTGGCGTTTCTGTTTCTTTCGTTGTTTTTATTCCAGGCGACGACACTCTCCACTATCCGATACACTTTCCAGCGCAATGCTTACGTCGCCAGCGTCGCGACGACCGTAACTATTTTCGATTCTCCTCATTTTCATTGAGTATTCCGGTATTGCGGTATTGCATTCACTAATCACTAATCGTCAATCGTCAACACAGATGTGCAGTTGTCGCCAAAAAAAAAATAAATAAAACGGCAATGGCAGAGTATGTGTGCGTCGCGTCGTTCCGAGACTTTTTCTGCGCTCAATACATATGCGACACCAAATCGAACTCGGAACAGATGAGAGCGCAAGAACCGCACGCCGCCAAGTTTAGTCTCAAACTGAACCGCGCGCCACAGCGACAACTCTACTTTCGGTTGGGAAACAAAATGAATGCGCATGTGTGTGTTGCGTGTGTTAGTGTGCAGCTGGGCATGAGACATGGAACGAACGGTTTCGTCTCTCTGCGACTAATAACTTTTCTCTATACCGAAATGCGCGGGTGCGAGTGCGACGGCACTAGGGGTGGCCCGCGTTGGAGAGTGCGTGTGAATGGGACGCCCTCTGCTCGCTTTGGGGTTGGAAAGAAACGGCAGCAGTTCAGTTGACAAAGCAAAACGAGTAAAAAAAACAGGAATTGAGGCTACAGCTGGCGGGCATGTGTGTGTATGTGTGTAGGTTTCAACCACCCCGACAGTGAGCCCCTTCCCCCGCTGAAAAGAAATACCCTACACCGAATCCAGTTTTCTGTGTCTGTACACTCGAATGTCTACCGCTCGATTCCGATTGTTGCTATACTTCATCTTCTTTTTTTCATCCATCACAACCACCACTACCTACTACCTAGTGCCTCTACCTTTTTTCTCCCTCCCTCATTTTCTTTTTCTCATCGGATCGGATCGGCTGTATTTTATTATTAGTTGTGCTTGTCGGAAACAGACGGTTTACGAGAAAGGGGAGGGATAGCGTATGCGCAGAGGAAGAGCGAAATGCTTATTTCACTCACTCTGCTAAACAGTGGCATGAGATCCATTATTATTGTGTTCGACTCTGCTGTTGTCGCTGTCGCATAGGCACAGTGGAATCATTTCTTTAGAAACTTATTTGATAGTATATCAAATAAAATTATAAAAATAATCACAAACAAAATTTGTCGACATAGTTTTAGAGATCTAAAAACCATTATCAGAACAAAAAATTACCCGGAAATATCGTTAAATCGTACATCGTTATCAAAATTTAGATTATTTTATAAATGTATATTATTGGTATTCGTTGTTTCTTACACGTGTGTATAAATTTTTACTTAAATATTCACCATCTCTAGCACACTGTGCCTGTCTGTGGTATTTCATTTTTCATGTTGTGCCTGCCTCTGTGTATACATACATACATACATACGTGAGTTTGTCGGTGTTCTTCTTTTCCTCCTCACACCATCCAAAAACAACGCTATTGAGCTCCACAAATGTTCATCATTCCGATTACTGTTGTTGTTTTTTGCTTTGGGTTCGACAGAATTTCGTTTCGTCTCATTTGTTTTGGCTTTTTGCTGCCGCCATATTATTTTCATGCTCGTTAAGTGCTTTTGCTCTCTTACTCTCTGGTTTGCTTTTTTTGTTCTCTTTTGGTGTGTGTTTGTGCACTGTGTGTGGATTCAGCTTGATATTGGTTTTGTACGTTTTTTTTGCAGAGCTTTTTTCTTATTAGTTGCCAGCGTCCTCCTTTGACGTTATTTCCCTCTTTCGCCTCTTCTTCGCGCGCTCAACTGTACAAGAAGTCGAGCATGCGCTCTTCTTCTTGCCAGTCAATTAATTGCCCCCAACTTATTGGGCTATTGTTGTTGGGACGAATGCGGTGTGAGCGAGAGAGCTAATATTTGCATTTCGTAAAATTGTCAAATGCTTAATGAGCGTAAATTGCTTTGCGCGTGCTTTCTTTATATATGTATGTGCATACATACGTACATATGCATGGCCTCTCGCTCTTAGGCATTAGCGCATACATCGCTCTCCCTTGCACTCTGTAATACAAACTTACACGAACTTACCTGTTGTTGTATCCTTGCTGTTGGTAATTGCCAGAATTTCCTTCACCATTTTAGAAAACTCGAAATCTTGAAGTAATCAACATTTGCATAGATACATGCCCCTAATGTTTTTGTTACAATCGTAATAAAGCCGGCAGAGGCATTAACATTGTTGTCATAGGCGTGGCTAACGGTGAAAATGGATCTGTTACAGGATCTCCAACACATTGAAGGGTGCGTATTCCTGTTCTACGGGTACAGTGAATATTTGCTAAAAGACCTATGACAAGAAGTATTACAAAATGTTTTAATAGGTGCCATCTTTTGGTTATGCCTCTTAGCACTGAAATGCACCAAAGATTTGAAAATAAACATTTAAATGTACAATTTTTAATTGAAAAAATATAAAAAGAAGTAGAACTCAGTTTATTTCTTTAACGGAACATTTTCTTTTAATAAATCATTTGGCATTAATCGAATCATCCCCTTTATCGTAAAGCTTTACCCTGATTCCGTTCCGCAGTCCTTGGGTGACCTGTAACTTTGGAGTTGGTGGGATCACCTGCAGGGATGCTTTATGCTCTCTTCTGACACGTATACTTTTTATTAGGGCCAATTTGTGAATTTCGTATCGATAATTTTATCATAATTCACAAATCATAAGTCAATATAGATTTATAAATTCAGGTTTGATGTTCTAAAACGAAAAATTATATAGAGAAATTATAAAGATATTTTTGATAAATAATACAAATAAAATAAAAAGCAGCCCAAATAAGTATAAGTTTTTCCCCAGAGAGGTGAGTTACTGTACCCAGTTCGCCGCCACTATAAAAAGGGTTTAAGGGGATAAAGTGAGTTTTTCAGGATTGCAAAAAGGGGTTGCCCTTTGACACTTGCAGACTTTGGCGACCTCTGTGCACCCTTAACCACCATTTTAGGCGGTAGTGCAAATGATTTCTATGATGATCAAAACAGCTACAATTACCCCCGAAATCATTGCTTTTTAGTCTATAAACTGGTCGGACACCGAATTCAACCCTTTATAATATTTTTAGGGGTAGTGAAACGGTTAGTTGAGGTGATCACAAGGCACCAAAACACAAACAAAGGGAGTTGCAGTGTACTCAGTGATGAATTCTCCATTTGGGTAAAAGACTAAGCTTAATGTGTAATTTTTAGTATTAAATTTACTTACCAGGCTACATTTTGATACTGTTCACTAAATTAGCATATTCTTTGTATCATAGTATTATTAATATTCCAGGAATTTTGATAAAAACTTTTTATTTTGTTCTAGTTTAAACTCGAATTTCTGCCTTTTATGATTGCAGTTTTTATCATATCATCATTAGCGAACTTTCGATTGATAATCGAAAAATATTAGTATCGATAATAATATGCCGACTTTAAAGTTAAACGTCTCTAAACTTTGGTGATTTGATTATCTAATATTCTTATTATAATTTACACCTTTAAACACAATGTTGCTATTTTTGTGGTAGAACTGTTTATTGTAAAAGTTAAACTTCTGAAACTTATTTGTAGGCTTGCAAAGTTATATAGCCGAAATGTTAGTCATTTTTAAACTAAGTAATGTTCCAAAAAGTTGTAGTATATTAAGATTATGAATTATTCATGTGTATAAATTAGGTAGAGATAATGTTTTTGAAAGTAAGAGTGTTATGAATATATATATATATATATACATTTTTTAGGCGGACTTAACGTACTCCATTTTGTTTTACGAGCCACCACAATACAACAACAATAATTCATAGGTAAACCTACCGATCTCAACCCAAAGTCGCTGTTCTGCCTCTGCCGGCGTCGCTGCTTAATTGCGTCCAATAACAAAATGCCGACGGGAAGGTCGAAGCGGAAAAAATGGAAAACGAGGGGAGGGTTGGTTAAGGGTGAGAAGTAAGAGAGGCGCTGGGTGTGTCGTTTCCTCTACAGTGTTGAGGCCAAGACAAGGACAACAACAGAGCACTGGGAGCTCTCTTTCTGCAGCATTGCTTTTTTTGTGGGCGTGTCAGAGCCATGTGGTGAGTTTCTAGTATAACAGTTTTAATAAAGGAAATGGTTGACATTTTCAATCTCTAATTCTTTTCCTAATTAAAGTCGTTATATTCAATCGAGTATTTTGGTAAGATTTTGCAATTGAAACCTTGCCAAGTGGTAAACCTTTTATACATCTGTTGGTAAATGAAAAAAACCGTTGATGTTTAGTTATATTCTTGGCAATTTGATTTACAAATTGCTGAATCTTTGCAACTAACTTTCTTAATCAGATCTGTGCAGATCTGACAATAGCATTAGCTACAATAAAATGTGTTGCCTGTGGATCATGTACCCATAAAATTTGTTTCCCGTTAACTACGATAGGTTAAGTTTAGAAAGCTCTAAAAAAATTCCAGAGATTAAAATTTAAAAAACAACGATAAACGACATTTAAAATTACTTGTTTTCTGGTTCCCTATCCGAATTGTTTGTTATAACCAATTTATTTATATATCCAATCTATTTTATGACTTTAAGGCCGTTGTTATCTCTGCTTTCTAGCCCTATCAAGGTTAAAACTTTGATTTATAAGATTTCATTTGATGAATCCAAATTATTATCAAATTCTGAACCATTTTTAGGTTCTAAAAACTCCTGAAATATGCATTTTATGAACCTTATTTAACCATTTAGTTTTTAGTATTTATAATCCAAATTATTATCAAATTCAGAAACATTTTAAGGTTCTGAAAACTAATGAAAAACGCATTTTATGAACCTTAATCAACCATTTAGTTTTATGTTTACTTTTAACCGATTTTCCATACAAACATTCTCCAAATAAAACCACAAAACATAAATTTCATATATATTAAACACTATAAAGTGCATTTATTATTTTGTTTAGCAATAGCAAAACAATAGCGTTGAAAAAAATAGGCTTAAGTCTAGGCATTACAAAATTGTTAGCAAAAAGTTCAAATTCACATTTAGATGTTTTATCTCTTCTTTCGCAAGTTTAAAATCTTTTTGTTATTAGTACAAGCTTAGTGGTACATTTTCTTAGTTGAAAATACTTGTAAAAACTATACATTACGGCGAGTGTTATTAAAATGCTACTTATGCTCTAAACTAAACTTATCTTAACTTAATATTATATCGATTTCACTGGCCTGGCAGGTCAATTATAACATTATTCGTAGCTTGTACTAAGTTTAAGTAATTCCATTCGTTTTCTGACTGTTGGGTGTAAATTCTAATTCTAAATAAATATATTAATGCTTAAAAATGATCTTGGAGTAATATATACACTTATGGGTTTTGGGACTTGCTGGCCTGCCCTGACACTCAGAAGCAGATGGACGCAGCATCACAGACTTGGTTGTACCAGGTCCACTGTTCGGTTAGGAGATCATCTATTGCGGCTTTGCGCTCTCTGCCAGCTTCTATTGAGTTCCTGCCTCTCTGGCCTCGCCGGGCGGCGGAACTTCCTTCATCGACTCCACCTTCGCTACGATCTTGAGGGCTGGGCCCAGCTTCATGCCCATAGCATTCACAAGATGGTTCTCCTTGAGCAGCAACAGGGCCTGACCGTCGATCTCCTGCTGAATAAAGTCGTCCACATAGTCCTGACATCCAGGCAGTTCTCGAATGAAGTTGCTAACCTCCTCCACACTCCAGCTGCTGATTGGCGGGCGATCCGATCCATTCACATTCACATTGGAGGATGGAAGTGCCACTGCAGGAGTGACCACTCCAGGCGGAGCTACTGCCATAGGTACAGGAGGTATTGCAACTGGCAACGGCAATGCCAGCGGCAACGAAAGCGGGGAAGACGCTGGGATAGCCGCTAGCACCGGCATTGGAATCGATGGAACCTCTGTTGGAGCCGCTTGGATGGGCAGCGATTCGGACATTGCCTGTAGGGCTTCTGTCTGCATTTTTCCTCGGCCATAGCTTCGTCCAGTTTGTCCACCAACGCCATGGCGTCCACTCCAACAATGCCGCCTGTTCCAAGGCCGTTGGTCTCCCCTGAGCCCACTCCACCGATGCCATTCTTCGCCTGTCTGGCGCACCCTGGCGAACAGTAGCGCTTCCGTTTGAGCTTTGATTTGTGTTCCAGCTTGCCACACTGCTCGCAAGCAACCATATCCGCTGCTGGAGCCGACGCGATCCCACATGGCTTAATGTCTTCCTGCATGGCTGCCTTTTTCTCTGATGAAGCAAAAGGAAACAGGTAAGTTTGGGATTATATAAGGCTAACGGTGGCTTATACTTACTTGGCGGTTCATCGCTGACATCCTTGTCAGCATATCGTTGCCTGGTCACAGGGAATGGTTCGTTGGCCTCCTGTATGATAAAACCATCGATGACGTGGGTTAGCACATTAGGCTTAATCATGGCCTTCGGCAGATCTTTTACTCCGTTTATGCTGCCAGTTGATGTGGTCGTGGTGGTGCTGGTGCACGTTGTGGTTGAAGTGCTAGATGTAGTGGTAGTGGTTGTACTTCCTGTCGTCTTGGCAATTCCAATCCCATTGCTAATAGTTGTCGTTATTGGAGTTGCAGTAGCGGACGAATTGATGGAGGTAGGCACCTTGGGTTCCTCCATTCCGCTAGCAGTGCTGGGTGTGGTGCTGCTGCTCGTCGGCTGAACTGCATTGCTTTGCTTACTGCTGGGAGTGGTAGGTGTCTTCGATGGCGTGGACGCCCGATCTGCGACTTCTCCATTGGGCAGAGCCTCACTCGTGGAACTGCTGGCCTCTACGGACGAACTGATATTTGCAGAAGCGGAGGATTTGGGTGTGGTGCAGATGTCTTGACCAGATACAGCCGTCATTGGCGAATCAATAGGCACCAGAGTAGCGGTGGGTGCTTTCGAATTCGCATCCTTTGTGGGCGTGGCAGGAAAACTTCCCCCGCTACTAGCACTGCTGAGCGTTACAAGCTGACCCGGCGATGGAGTAACAGCAGTGCTAGTCACAGAAACCGTCACCGGCGGAGCAGTAGATAAGTGGCCCACAGTGGCATTCATCATCGAAGTCATGGCCAGGATGGGATTAGTGGTGGGTGAGGGCGTTGTTGGTGTAAGTGAAGGTGGTCCCTGTTGCTGCTGTTGAGATGCTGCCGCTATGGTGGCGTTGATTAGCTGCTGCTGTTGTTGTTGGATCTGAGCAGCTTGAGCTTGAGCCTGAGCCTGTGCCTGCTGCAGATTGGCCACTGTACTGCTGGTGACCAGGGGAGTGCTGCTCTGATTGGTAATCGTGACCACACTACTGGTGGGAAGCGATGAGGAACTGCAAGTGCCAGGCTTAGCTGTCTGGAAGATGGCGCCTGAGGCGGAGAGAGCTGCCTGCAGAGCACTGGAGGTAGCTATGCCAGCTGGCGTCGTCGTCGAAGAAACCGAAAAGGGCACGCTGCTCAACTGCAGCTGTCCGGTTTGCTGCTGCGATTGCTGCTGCTGCTGTTGGGCGGTCGCTCCCACCGCTCCACCCACTACAATCTGCTGGATGATGCTCTGCTGCTCACGCTGCTGTTGTTGCTGCTGCGCTTGGGCCTGCACTTGGGCTTGGACCTGTGCCTGAGCCTGTTGCTGCAGTTGCTGCTGGATCAGCTGGTTGTGAAGTTGTTGCTGCTGCTGGGGTGTGATGAATGAGTTGGGCGCCACCTGCAGGATCTGCTGAGTAGCATTGGCAAGTGCCTGCTGCTGCTGCGCCTGTGCTTGTGCTTGGGCAACTTGCTGCTGCTGCTCCCTTTGCTGTTGCTGTGCCTGGGCAACCGCCTGCTGTTGTTGCGCCACCGCTTGCTGTTGCTGGGCGTTTACCTGTTGGTGTTGTTGGGTGACTTGCTGCTGTTGTTGCTGTTGCTGGGCCTGAACAGCCGCCTGCTGCTGCATCTGAATGGCAGCGATCTGCTGCTGGAACATTTGCTGCTGTAGGAATTGCTGCTTTTGAATGAGCATCTGTTGCTGCTGTTTGTCCACTCCTGCCGCAGTGGCTGCATGGAGAGTCTGTCCATTCTGGAGGGTAATGGGAGTGCCTGTCGTACTCATCACAACCATTCTGTAGGAATTCGGGTAAGTAATAGTTAATATCATCATATTGATACTGCACATCAGAGACTACTCACTTATTGCCCGCCGCATTGACCACCTGCTGGAGATTCGTTGCCTGCTGTTGCTGCTGCACGGTGGTCAGGTGACCCACCACTTTATTTTGGCCTGCGACCTGACCATTTTCTGTCTTCAAGGTGGGTAGAGCGGGTCGCACGGGCTGCTGCTTGTTACGCATCTTGGCCTTCAGCAAACTCTGGTTTTGAGCTGTCTGTGTGGATACGGAACTGGCTGGACGCACTTGGGTTCCATTGTGAGGGCATAATTGGAGCTCCAGGTCGCTGCAGAGTTGCTGCCGTGAGTTGCTGCTGCTGTTGCTGCAATTGGGCAGTGGCAACAGCTAGCTGCTGCTGCTGGGTCTGGTTAGTAGTGCCTGCCTGCTGCTGCTGTTGCTGCTTGGGAGCAAGTGCATCGAGTTGGGTGCGTGCCTTGGTGGGAGTCTGGGTCACATTGCACTGGATGATCTCTGTGGGAAATAGTGTACCTTAGTATCTGAACAAATGCCATTTATTATATAGATATTCTTACGGTTCTGCTGCGTCTGCAGGGTCTGTGTCGCCGGTTGCTGTTGGATGAACATGCCCTGGGTCCCGTCTGGCTGGTTACGCAGGATGATCTGATTTGAGCCAAAGGGCTGCAGTCCGTTTTGCCAGAACCAGGGGATTTGCATTTGTTGCGCTTGCCCAGCGTTCAGGAGTTGGGCAGTCTGAACCGACTGGGCGCCGACTCCGACTGGTAACGTTGACTGCGAGACTTGGACGCACTGTTGAGTGGTTTGGGTGGTTTGCTGCTGTTGCTGTTGGACCTGCTGTACCTGCTGGGCCTGTGACGTTCCAGCGGACCCTGTACCCGTCGCCGCCTGCACTGTGCTGCTCGTAGTGGTCACCTTCTGGACCACTTTCTGGGCCAGTTTGCCCTGCGCATCCACTCCCACTTTCGCCAGAGCGGCTGTCAGCTGTTGCTGCTGCTGTTGTTGCTGCTGGGTGAGTTGCTGTTGCTGTTGCTGCTGGCTTAGCTGTTGCTGCTGCTGTTGGGTAAGTTGCTGCTGCTGGGCGGCGGCGGCCATCGACTGCAGCAGATTCTGTTGTTGCTGCGGCGAGTGGGAGATAACATTCACCGGCGAGATAAGCAGCGTCTGGGGCGACTGGTTGTGGTTTGATGGAATACAGGTGGCGAAGTTGCCCCCGGCGAATCCCGCTTGTGCTCCAATCATCTGCTTGGCATTCTGCGTCGTGGTAGTGAGCATCTGGGGACCGTTGCCCTGAAAGGGCTTGCCGGTTATGACCTGGATGGGCTGTTGGCCGAGGCCGCCTGGATGCAATAGATTGCCCGACACAATCATCTGCGGGTACAAGAAGCTGGTAGAGGGCTGCATCAGCTGCACAGTCCTCCCCTGCGACCAATCCCCGCCAACACCTCCGGTGGCCAGCTGCATTGGCGGCATGGTGCTGATGGCAGTAGAGTGCTGTTGCTGCTGGCTCTGCTGCGAATTGGCCGGACTGGGTGATCCTGCGGCGCCACCCTGCGTTGCTCCTCCACCATTAGATTCCGATAGCTGTTGCTGTAGTTGTAGTTGCTGCTGGACTTCCAGAATGTTGGCTGCATGCTTCAGCTCAGTTCCACTGCCGCCGCCCGTATGCTGGGGAAACTCCTGCTTCACCTGAATAGCGTAGGGATTGCTTGCGTAGAACTGCTGCAGTTGCTCCGGTAGGATCTGGAGCGGCATTGTGGTGGTGGCGGCCACCTGCTGGCCGGGATTCTGTGACTTCTCCAGCGTGAGACTGGTGTGGCGGGCAAGGACGTGAGAATTCGGGTTCGAGTTGGAGCTAGTGTTGGGTGTGCTGGGTGCACTGGGCCTGCCCGGGGTGTTTGGAGTGTGAGTGTGCCTGCGGGCAGTTGGTGGGGTTCCGTGACGAAGACTTGTGGGAGTAACTGTGCCTGATACCGTTCCCGTAGCAGTTCCTGTTCCTGGAGTCGCCTGTTGCTGGGCAATGCCGGGATGCGGGGGGCTGGCCACATCGTATTTCTCGTCAAACGTGATGCCCGCCTTCTGGGCGAGCGTTTCCAGGCACTTCAGTGGCCGCTCAAGCTGCTTGCCGCTAGCCTGCTGTTGTTGCTGTTGCTGGTGTGAGTGTGTGTGTTGGGAACTGGTGTTGTTGTTGTGGTGCAACGGCTTCTCGCGGATGTTTGAGTTGTCCTTCAGGGGTAGAGTCCCACCTGCTGATATGGCCGATGCTAATGTCCCCTGGGATGCTGTGGTGCTCACTGGTGTAGTGGTATCGCTTTCTGTGTCCGCTCTGCGGGATTGGAAAAGGGCAATTCCGAGATCAGTAAACATTTGATTTGACCACATGCAAATAAATTGGAAGAACTGTGTGCCTAATGGTCTTCTCTTGTCCTAGCGACAAACAATAACATGGCCGAAGGCAAACAGGTTGTCAGCATCTCCTCCCCCTGCCGCTTCTCCACATTTCAGCCAAACAAAACCAAAGAAAAACAAGCAAAACAAGCTCTCCCAGATCTCCCAGCTGAGGAAATGACTTTACCCATTATGTTTACCTACGATATCGATGGTTTATGGAAAGTTAATTTAGTATACTTTGGCTACTTTGGGTAATTAGGTAAATTATAATTTACAATAATTCATGAAATGTATAGCTTATAATCAAAAGACTTTAAAACCAAATAATCTTGAAAGTTAACTATAATAGTTGAAATCAAGGCAACACCATTACCAAAACAACACAAGCTACTTGGTAAATATTAAAATACGGGTTTAGTCATTAAAAATGTGTGAGACAAATGCTGAAACTAGCAAACAAAAAGGTTCTTATTTAATAAACGTATTTGCAAGGTAAATATTAAATATGACGACTTGAGTCGCACCACAAATGCGAGAAAAGTAAATAAGTCGAACGGTAAAGAATTTTTAATCTCCAGATCATGTGGCTACGAAGTTAAAACGTGAATATTACTTTAATCACTCATTAGTTTGAATTTTTATGAGTGCACGGCAGTAACCTTTTTCCATAATAAAAAAGTGGAACATTGATTTATTGCAAAAGGTTTTCCCTTACTTTACATTTAGGTAAAAATCCCAAAATGTTCTTTTACTTTGTATTCCATACATTCCCCGTGCCCGCCCCTTTTGCGACAGCAATGAACATTTGGCAAAATGCGAAAAGGACTCTGTGTTCATTGAAAGAGGGAAAGAATGGAGCGGACTCACTGCCTCACATCGATCTTTATCTATGGGTTTTCGAATTTCCATGTGAAGCATCGCAGCCGACTGCATTTTCTACAGTCAACAACAAGCCGGAAAACTAATTTAGCGCCGCAGCTGGCTTATTTAATGTTATTGTTTCACTACAATACAATACTTGCGAATTGCAGGCAAAGTTCAAGGACCTTCGCATCGAAATGTTAAATATGATGACAGTTGGGAGAAACAGAAGCGGACAACACGGTAATATCATTCATACATATGTATATTAATTAATAATTTCAAATTTCAAAAAAAGACCATCATAATGCGAACTAAAAACAAAAATTGAGATTTTAACGGTAGATAACGGAGATAACGCGGTATGTATTATTTTGTGTGTATTATTTTGCTGGCCGCAACTGTGATGCCCACCGGTCCGGAGAGGCTGATCCCTTCCCTTCCCCCCACCATTCTCTTTCCCTCGTCTAAAAAGCCCGCGTGAGTCCCATAAAAAGCGAGAGCATAAAAGGAAAGTAGGAAGAAGGCCGAATAACAAGCGAAATGAGTTATAAAAGCCGGTAAAAGTATTTTGGTAGCCCTCATATCGCTGCTACCCCTTAAAAACACAAAAGTGAAGGGAAGCAAGGGGTGGTGGGCGGTCTAGAGGGGTGGAATTTTTGCCACAGGGTTGAAGGTGTGCGTGTGTAAGCTGAGCTCACAGCCACCCGCAGTGAAAAACCTCTTGAGAATAAAAAAAAAAGACTGGTTTCCAACTTGGAGTTTATGTGTGTGTGTGAGCCTCTTACAACAATTTCGTTGCAACCGGGGGAATAGTAGTAACAGCAGGAAAGGGAATGATAAAAATGCGGGGGAAACAAACACACACTCACTGGTCAAGAGAGACAGAAGCAGAGAAAGGGTGACAGGAGGGGTAACTAAAATCCAAATCAAACATCACTTCCAGCGGAATCAGGGGTGCAAATGCGAGGGAGCGAGTGAGAGGGTGTCATGACAGCCTATTGATTGATACACAAACGAGTTTTGCGATGAAAAAAAAACAGATGCGAGCGAACGAGATGAAACTACGGCCAGCCCACACACACTGCCACAATCTCACCTACAGGCTGAGGTGTATTTTCGGTGGAAACAGGGTTGCCAACTGTAAACAGCTGTTGTCAAATACAATAAATTTTACGAAATTAAAAAGGTTTTCAGGGCTGTTATAATTTACATTTAAATAGTTAAAAGTTTATTTCAATTCAGTCGTTGAAAAAAATAAAACTGTAAACTTGCATGTTTTATTTATCTCATATTTTTCACCGTTGACAACCCTGTTTCGCCAGTGCGAGAGCGAGCCAGAGAAAGAGAATCTGTAAGAGAGCTACCAGGGTTGCCACATGTATGTTTCAGCAACAACCAAAACTGTTACCTTTTGGTAGAACTTTTGTTGTGTTTTTTCAAAGTTGCCTCGGCAAGTGAGAGGGAGGAAGTTGGTGAGAGGGGAATCAACCACCACCAGACGACGCACAAATACACATACAAACACAGGCATGCATTGCGAAATTCGTTGTCAACAATGCAAGAACACTGAACAGCAGGGGGCGTGTGTTGCTTGGGAGCGGGGGAGATGGAAGGCGCAGAGGGAGGAAACTCGTTTTGGGTCTTGTGAATTTATTCTTTTTGGCCCGCCAGTTGAGCGCATTTTTTGATGACAGAACACAGAATATCGCCCGTTGCACTTCCACGAGAATGATGGCTAATGTGTCACGATCCGGACAATATACACAAACTATATATTCAAGAGCAACTAAACAAACAACAACAGGCAATACAAATAGTAAGTAATAAAAAATATATAACAAAACCAAATAAAAATACCTTTTTTGCATAAACTTCAATGCACGACGATCCATTATTCAAAATAAAAACAATATGTGTAATAAATTAAAGGTATGCATGCGTCGGCGGCGATTTCTTTTTGTTTTTGTTTTCGGCGGCGGCGGAGACACTCGGTGTATTTGTTGTTTTCATTGGCATGGCGCTTTCTTTTTGGCTTGGCCTTTAGACGCTGTTCTTGTTGTTGTATTATAATGTTGTATTTTACATTAATAAACACACATACACAAATATGAGAAGGCAATAAATACAAACAAACAGCAGGCAACATCAAACATATATGTACATGTATGTAACGTTAAACGCAAGACAACAAAATGTACATAAAAACGAATACGAATACGAATCCGACTAAGTGTGTGTCTGTCTGTGTGTGTGGTTGCGTGTAAATGAGTGTATCGTGCACGGGCAGTAGTAATTAGTACAAACTCCACTCACAGTCACTACTCTCCACTTCGAATTCTCCCTGTTAGCAGCAGTCACTTTTTTTCAGTGTAACGACTAAGCACCTGTGCACGCGATCATGCATATGTACGAAAAACATACTGCATAGCGACAAATCTAAACGCCTGCTTTTCTTTCACTGCAAATGTCGGCAGCGACGGTTCGCCAGCTAGAGTTTCGACTGTGGCGCGGCATCACTTTTTCATGTCAAACATCTGCACTAACTAATTAACAGAACCGTTAGCACTTTTCAAAAAAAAAAAAACAACAAAATAGGGTATCAAGTGTGTACGTTGCGTCGGCGCGAGATTTTTCTCCGTTCAATACACATGCGATTTATACGACTAAAGCACCAACACGAACGCGGAGCAGAGTAGAGTGCAAGAACCGCACGCCGCAAAGTTTTGTGTGAAACTGAATCGCGCGCGCCAGCGACAACTCTACTGTCGTTCGGGAAACACATGAATGCGCATGTGTGTATTGTGTGTAATATGTGTTCTGATGTGTTAGTGTGCAGCTGGGCATGGGACACGAACTGAACGGTTTCGATTCTCTGCTCTGAAGACACTTTTACGACTAAAATATTTTCTGTATACTGAAATGCGAGGGTGCGAGTGCGATGGCACTAGGGGTGACCCGCGTCGGAAAACACGCGCAAGTGAGATGCCCTCTGCGCGCTTTGGGGTTGGAATGAAACGGCAGCAGTTCAGTTGACAAAGCAAAACGAGTAAAAACAGGAATCGAGGCTACAGCTGGCGGGCATGTGTGTGTATGTGTGTGGGTTTCAACCACCTCGATAGTGAGCCCCTTCCCCCGCTGAAAAGAAATACCCTACACCGAATCCAGTTTTCAGTGTCTGTACACTCGAATGTCTACAGCTCGATTTCGATTGTTGCTATACTTCATCTTCTTTTTTCGATCCATCACAACCACCACTACCTACTACCAACTGCCTCTACTTTTTTTCTCCCTCCCTCATTTTCTTTTTTGCATAGGATCGGATCGGCTTTATTTTATTATTAGTTGTGCTTGTCGGAAACAGACGATGTTTCTGAAAGGGGGGTCTACCGAATGCGCAGAGGCAGAGCGAAATGCTTATTTCACTCACTCTTTCGAACACTGGTATGAGATCCATTGTCATAGGCTTCTACTCTGCTGTAGTCATTGTCGCCTAAGAACAGTGGAGCCATTTCATTGGTAACTGTATTGATGACAATATGGAAATATAATAAAATTACTAAGAAAAGAAAGTGGTTAAGATGTTTTTGAAGATCTATAGTATGAGCCAAGACAAAAAAATGTTGTGCTGCAATTATCAAACTTCGTTAAGGAAAGGAAAACTGGTATTAATTGTTTTGCAGTAATATACATTTTTTTATTATTATATATATTTATTTTAAGCAAAATATTTATCACCTCCGTCCCACTGTGCCTGACTCTCGTATTTCGTTTTTCATTTTGTGTTTGCCTGGGTGCATACATACATACATAGGTGTAGTTGTATGGCCTCTTGTTGGTCTTCTTCATTCCCTCCTCACCCCATCCAACAACAACAAACGTTCATTATTGCGATTACTGTTGTTGTTTTTTGATGGTTGGGTTCGACAGAATTACGTTTCGTCTTATTTGTTTTGGCTTTTTGCTGCCGCCATATTATTTTCATGCTCGTTAAGTGCTTTTGCTCTCTCGCTCTCTACTTTGCTTTGATGTGTTTGTGCGTTGTGTGTGGGTTCAACTAGCTATTGGGCTTGTTCGTTTTTTTGCTGAGCTTTTTTCTTATTAGTTGCGGCCACCTCCGTTATTTGGCTGCTTCACCACTTCCTCGCGCGCTCAACTGTACAAGAAGTCGAGCATGCGCCCAACTTATTGGGTTATTGTTAAATGGGGATAATGGGGTGTCAGCGAGAGAGCAAGTGAAAACATTTCGTTAAAATTACAAATGTCTAATGAGCGTACTTTGCTTTCCGCGTGCTTCCTTACACTCGCACATTGCCTCTCGCTCTGGCGCATTTGCCTTACACGCACACGTTCATACCTGGTGTTGTATAGTTGCTGTTGGCAATTGTTAGAATTTCCTTCACCATTTTTGTTGGAAAGATCAACATCTGCATACACTAACGGGTATGCGTGTGTATATGCGCTGGTGTGCGTTTAAGTGATAAACAAAAGAGGTTGTTTGTGTTGTTGCTGGGCTTATTGCAGACGTAATGAAGTCCGTTCCAGCGACAGCGAAGTCGGCTGACGTTTTATTGTTATAAGGCGTGGCTAGAAATGAAAATGGATTGCTAAAGGATCACCACAAAATAAATGGAAGCTATTCCACCAGATAATGTGTTTAGCTTTTCTCATCTGATATCTATTAACCAGATACAAAACAAGAAGCATTATAATATGCCAATTGTATCTCAAGATATACAAATATAGTTATTATTATACATATGTACATATGAAAAGGTATTTATTCTTCAAAAAAATTGTATATTTACAGCTGACTTTTTAGTACACTTCGTATTGTTTGATGGACCAAACCCCTATAATAAATAATTGCAATCCGTAATGTTTCCTTCTTCAACAGCCCCTAGTTTCTTTATTATCGCCAATTCTCCATTGTTACCAATTCACCCCTAGGCATTATGTTTGCCATTGTCCTTCGAGGACACTTAATTGACCTGTCATGTGCAGCGTAAGCAGGAAGTCCTCGAAAATTGGGATCGATTCTGAACTCAATATCGTAGTGGATGAAATGCTTCCGTCGTCCCTTGAGTCCTACATATGTGACAGTGCTATGGACTATCCAAAGTTCCCCGAATCCGTGTCCTAAGTAAATTCAAACAAGATTTCAGGGGACATTAATCAAAATTGGTTTGCTGGAGTATTGGGAAAGATGCAGTAAAATATTGAAAAACAAAATTCTAAGAGTTAACTACTGAAAACTGTGTAAATAATAAGCATATTCATTTTAATTTAAGTTTTCATGATTAGAGGTTTTTTGGAAATTAAAGCTTAAACAATATTAAATGCAACCCTAAAGCCACCAAAAGATAATATTATACTAATATTGATAACGAAAAACTATAAAAAAAATACCTCTCGAAACTGTACTAAAATTTGAGATTCGATATGATCCTTTTCAAAACAAACAGGAAGCCGGGAAAAAGGGTTGAACCCTTTGACACTTGCACTTCGCCACGACCTTTGGAATCAAACCAACCTTTTCCACCATTTTTCTTTGCGTCGGACAAGGCGATTTCCCAAAAAAAAAAAAAAAACAAGATACAATTACCCTCAAAAGACAAACAATTCGGATATCCGAATTTGGAATCCAACCCCTAAGCTCATTAGGGGTGTGAACAATCTGTTGGGACTGTGGAAAAATGAGGGGGTACCGTGTCGAGTTCATTCCCTAGGGGCAACCTATTCGGTATCGCCTTAACAGCTCATATTCTTCGCATGTTTCCATGTCGTTTAGAAAATGTTGAGATGGATATTGATTTCTATGATCTCAATTTCATATATTTTATATATACATCATAATAAGCCTATGTGTAATCACATAAAACCATAATGGAATGCATGTAAAACGTTAATAAATAAACTGTTTTAAGACTTTGTTTTAAGTTTCAAAACTTAAATGACCATACATACCAAAGCTACTAAAAACGAAGTAAAAATTCTTATTTCCTTTGTCACAATCTTAAAATGTAAAAAGTGGATCTGTTCATTTGCTTCAGATGTTATTGCAGATTACGTATAGCAAGCATAAATATGTTTTCCAAATCGAAAACAAATTAACTTTTCAAGGTGTAAAGGCAGCCCTACAAATGTCAAAAGGAAAACAACGAATGAAACTCTCAACTTTAAGTATAACGGTGTTGGCTTTAGTAAATACAATTAAACTCAATTAAAACCTCTAGGATTTAGTCACTGCGTGGTAGTATTATTATATGTAATATAAGAACATTACAAATATTTAAATTATTAACTTATATATACATGTTTTCGATAAATCCTTAAGTTTCGGTTATGTATTCTTAAGAAGACTGCTCTAATTTAAACAAGATAGCGATATTTGAAATGGAAAACCAATTGATAGATTGTAATCCTAAAGTAATCACATTGCCACCCTTAAAACAAATAGAGATTCTCAGCGTCATTCCATTGAATAAAAAAGATTTTATTCACCTTTATTAATATTTTGGTGAGTTTTTTAACCAAGAACTGAAACTATAATCCGGATTCCAAGACCTCCATTTTGCTTTGACTACAACAACAACAAGAATACCGTCTAGAAAAGACGCTGCTAATTGGCAACACACAATGCCGACGGAAGATCGAAGCGAATAAAAAACGGGCACACCACCGAAAGAAGTTTTTCTTTTTCTTTGGAAGGTGCAACTGAGACAGCATCATTCTGCAGTCTGCGAGAGGGAAAGTGTTGGCGATATACTGACAGGAAAGAGGTGGGGTATTCTAGCAGATACACTGGGCGTGGCCTGTGGTGGAGTGGTGAATTCGAGAGACAGTATAACAGTTGCTATAGAAAAGTTGTGTGTGTTATTTTACTTAGTAAGAACTAATAAACATAAGAAAAGTGTGGATTAGTTTTGTGAAAAGTCGCAGTGCTTATATTTTAATTTAAGAAACACTGTTTTAAACAGAAAAAAGGTAAATATTGCCGTAATATAAAATGTCAGACCTTGTTAAGCTCATAAGTGTATTCACACTTTGAGAGGATCAATTTTTGTCAGTTTTCGCGAAATAAATAATGTTATCCCTTATCAAAAATGCGAAAATTGCTTACTGCTAATTTTCTTTTCAAGACGACAGTATTGTGCCCATAACTAAGCCATTAATGGTCCAAATATAGAATGTCATACCTCTTTGAGTTTGTTTTTTAAATCCTAGGAAAACTGCAATCACAGTTTAAAACGTAAATTTTTTTACATTTTTCGCAAATTTTGAAAATGTTACCCTTTATCGAAAATGTGGAAACTGGTTACTCCCATTTTCCCCCCAAGACGACAGTATGTCTGTCCATAACTAAGCCATTAATGGTCCAATTATGGAATGTAATACCTCGTTGAGCATGTTTTCTTATGCTTATAAAAATTGAATTTGCAGTTTGAAATGCCAAATTTGGGCCATTTTTCGAAAATTTGTATGAACCCCTTATCAAAAATGAGAATTTTGGCTTTCCCAAACTCGACAGTGTTTTGCTTATAACTTGGCCATTAATGGCCCAAATAGGGAATGTAATACCTCGTTGAACGTGTTTTCTTATGCTTATCAAAACTGCATTCACAGTTTGAAATGCCAAATTTAGGCCATTTTTCGAAAATGTTGATGATGATACCCCTTATCGAAAATCCGATTTTTGTTACTACTTACTTACAGTGTTTTGCTCATAACTTGGCCAATAATGGTCCAAATATGGAATGCAATACCTCGTTGAGCGTGTTTTCTTATGCTTTTCAAAATTGCAGTTTCAAAAATACAGTTTAAAATGCCAAATGTTTGCAATTATTCGCAAAAAAGATGATGACTATAGTAAATACGAAATTTGCTTACTCCAATTTTTCCCCTCAAAGTCACTTTACTTTGCTCATAACTAAGTCAATAATAGCTCAAATATCAAATGTCATACCTCGTTGAGTTTGTTTTTTAAATCGTAGTCGATCTGCATCCACACTTTAAAATGTCAAATTTTTAAAATTTTCGCAAAAAAAAGACGCCTTATCAAAAATGTGAAATTCCGTTTATCCCGATTTTCCCCTCAAAGTCAAGGCATTTGCTCATAAATAAGTCAATGTTGGTTCAAATATAGAATGTGATATTACGTTGAGTTTGTTTTTTAAGTCATAGAAGATCTGCATTCAAAGTTAAAAATTCAAAATATATGCCATTTTTTATAACATACCTTGGCAAATTTCTGCTTACGCCACTGAATTAGCTTTTTCTCTTTCGCCAAATCGGAAAGCTCAGTTCTCTCTTTTTCGCTTATGGAAAGCTTTCACTCAGCGATCATATGGTTTAGGGGGGCTCAACTTATCTCTTAAATGATTTGGCCCCCTTTTGCGTTTCTATTTTTCAGTTGCGGTTTGTTGTGGTTCCGGTTTACACGCTGTTCCAAGTGAGATTTCCCACAAAGGAGTGTCTATGGATAAAGTGATTATCCTTAGGAGAACATCGGTAAATAGTAATTACAGAAAAAAGATTCAAGTTAGTTGCTGAGTTTGGTTTTGGCTCTCTACTTTCCAGTGAGGGAACTGGCGCGTGCGGCTCTCCCGTTGAGTGAGTGTGTGTGTGCTTGAGTGTGCATCGAAATGAATAGTTCCTAAGTGATATGCAAATAAAGGATACCAATAAAACCCTTTATGGACTTGCAATGACATTGCTGTCATTTGTTTAACAACCGGTTTACATACGCACACGGCAATTGATAAAGTTATCGCTCTTATCAGCTACCTGTTAACCCTATGTTGTTGTTTATGGTTACTTGTTTATGCACACACACGTGCGGTTTAACTCACACAGGCGCAGAGACAAAAGCTCCAATCTTTTGACGTAATCAACTTAGAGAGCGGGAGAGAGAGAGAGAGAGAGAGAGGGAAAGGTCGGAAAAATAGAACAGAGAAAATAAATAAACAATAATCTTAAATTAATCAGGGATGGCTGTTAAAAAACGGTTTACTTTCTAGTATTTCGATTTTAATCTAAGATGTTCTTCACTTAGTTTAATACTTTATAGATACATTTATTTGATAGATATCCTATATCCCAGTCGGCCCCCCTTAAAATATTTAAACATCCTTTTCGAATAACAACATTTTCACACCAAATCACTCAACATTATAATGCAAGAGATTTGTCCTAACTAATCCACAGTGACCTGGTGGTGCAGATACTCCAGGTAGAGTCATTTCGTCCCTGGACCCAAATGGTTTTATGATCATCGTCGGTTGGGAAACTACCTGCCAGCGATAATCTGCGTCGCCTCATAAAGATCTTGACTCTGCGGATTGTGGGTTGCACTTTTCAAACCAGATCAACCAGACTACAACCTAGGTGTGTGTCAGTGTGTGCGTGGTCCAAAATAAATATGCTAATTTTTTTATGCACGCGCAAAGCCGAGACGGACTGATAACAGTGTCATATATAGTGATATAGCTTCGGAGCCCGAGGGGTCTAGTGGAAAAGTTCGGTTTCCTGGGAGCCATGTTATCAGTGCGATACGGTCCGCGTTGAGGAGAAGATTGCGTCCACAACTCATGGTTAGTGGCGTGATAATATGATAAGCATCCAGGCGATCCGGGGAAGTCCGGCAGTTTGGGGTTTCGTCTAATCGAAGACAGTGGCTAAGAAAATTCTGCTCCTCTGATTAGCCAATAAAATATAATAAAAAATAACAGAAACGTTTAGTAAAGATTCTAATTGAGAAAATGTAATAAGCAGACAAATTTATTATAAAGAAGTGAAATTCGTGGCAAATCATATATAGTATATAACATAATTATTTTACTAAAAATCCTCATCTTCATTTCAGAGAGTTATATAACAGAGACAAACGAAGGAAACAGATCGCCCGCTTAAGCTCAACAACCCTTCAGAATGAGATTCCAGCAGCTGATGCAAGTGCGCAGATTGGCCAGCGCCGGTGCCACCACCTTGATGAGGCGACCCACCACTCGCGCCGCCCTGGCCGCCACTCACCCCACATTCAACACCCCTTACATCGCAACCACTGTGCGCACAATGGCGGGCAGCGGGGCACCAATTCCTGAACTCACCGAGGTGAGAACTCCCTTTCACTGCTGTTGCCCCAAGTTATTTCTAAGATACTGCTCCATTTCAGATCACGGACAATGTGCAGCGCGGCAACTACGCCACTTTGACGGACAAGGATGTGGCGCACTTTGAGCAGCTCCTGGGCAAAAACTTTGTCCTCACCGAGGACCTGGAGGGTTACAACATCTGCTTCCTCAAAAGGATTCGAGGTTAGTTATCTTCTTGACTATGTGGAGATACCAGTGCTCAGTGCTCTCGAAAGTATTCCTATTTTCTAAGATAAACCTACTCAGAGTTTCTGAAGGTATTCTGATAATAGAGACGTGGCTTTTTCTTTAGTTTTTCTTTTTATTACAAAATGGAGATAAAATTAGGGGAAAATGAACTACCTCCGCCAAGTAATTCCTTTGTTTATGATTAGGCAACAGCAAGCTGGTTCTGAAACCCGGAAACACAGAGGAGGTGGCCGCCATTCTGAAATACTGCAATGAGCGTCGCCTAGCGGTGGTGCCCCAGGGTGGAAATACTGGACTGGTGGGCGGATCCGTGCCCATTTGCGACGAGATCGTGCTATCGCTGGCGCGCTTGAACAAGGTCCTATCTGTGGACGAGGTCACCGGCATCGCCGTTGTGGAGGCGGGCTGTATCCTAGAGAACTTCGACCAGAGGGCCAAGGAGGTGGGATTGACGGTGCCGCTGGACTTGGGCGCCAAGGCCAGTTGCCACATCGGTGGCAATGTGTCTACCAATGCGGGTGGAGTACGTGTGGTGCGTTACGGCAATCTACATGGATCCGTTTTGGGTGTGGAGGCTGTGCTGGCCACCGGTCAGGTTTTGGACCTAATGTCCAACTTCAAGAAGGACAACACGGGTTACCACATGAAGCATTTGTTCATCGGATCGGAGGGCACACTGGGCGTCGTCACGAAGCTATCGATGCTCTGTCCCCATTCCTCGCGAGCGGTTAACGTAGCCTTCATTGGCCTTAACTCCTTCGACGATGTCCTGAAGACCTTTGTCAGTGCCAAGCGGAATCTGGGCGAAATCCTCAGCTCCTGCGAGTTGATCGACGAACGCGCCTTAACCACTGCCCTCCAGCAGTTCAAGTTCCTTAAGTAAGTTGGCCGTATCAAACTCCATTTTAAACTTTACTAATCCTTTTTGAACCCTGAAAAAAGCTCCCCGATTTCCGGCTTTCCCTTCTATATGTTGATCGAGACATCGGGCAGCAATGGCGATCACGACGAGGAGAAAATCAATAAGTTTATTGGCGATGGCATGGAGCGAGGTGAAATCCAGGATGGCACCGTGACCGGTGATCCTGGAAAGGTGCAGGAGATTTGGAAGATCCGCGAAATGGTGCCCTTAGGCCTGATCGAGAAGAGCTTCTGCTTCAAGTACGACATCTCGCTGCCTCTGCGAGACTTCTACAATATTGTCGACGTGATGCGGGAGAGGTGCGGTCCTTTGGCAACCGTTGTCTGCGGTTATGGTCATCTGGGGGACTCCAATCTACACCTGAACGTCTCCTGCGACGAGTTCAACGACGAGATCTACAAACGGGTGGAGCCTTTTGTCTATGAATACACCTCCAAGCTGAAGGGCAGCATTAGTGCGGAGCACGGCATTGGTTTCCTGAAGAAGGACTACCTGCACTACTCCAAGGATCCAGTAGCCATTAGCTATATGCGCGACATGAAGAAGCTACTGGACCCCAACGGTATTCTCAATCCTTACAAAGTGCTCAACTAAGTCGGAGGTCTTAATTTATAAGTCTACAGTCCTGTTTTTTTTTATTTTCCGTAAACGCATAATAAATTGTTTATAATTAACTGCAATCTGATTCTGAAATGCTTAAGAAGAAATCTTAAATATTGGTAAATTGGTTTAAATCGGAATATAGCAATGCATTTAAATCAGATTATAGCATTACATTAATGGCAATTTTTTATAGAATCGCATAACAACAATGTATCCAAGATATCATATATTAAATTTGTTTAGTAAGAATCTCCGTATCTTTGAATCTCAGCAGTGTATGCCCTTAAAATCACAGTGTATACAATAATAAATAAGATCAGTTGAATTAGCCGCTCTCTGAAAGCTTAGTGTGCAGAGCTTTTTAACATTAATCGATACGTAACACTATCGCGCCAACTATCGATCGGCGGACTGGCACTTAACAGTGTCATATATAAATTGTAACATTGGGGAGTTTGCTTCATTGTTGAATTAGAAACCGCACGATAAGCACACACACTAAACATGAGCGGGTGAGTAAGAAGAGTTAGCCCTTTTCGTTTTGTTTTTGTTTTCAATATTTTTTAATGACAATTTTTTTTGTGGATTTTCGCAGACAAGCGGACATTGCTCTCATTGGCCTGGCCGTTATGGGCCAAAATCTGATACTCAACATGGATGAGAAGGGATTTGTGGTGTGCGCTTACAACCGCACGGTGGCCAAGGTCAAAGAGTTCCTCGCCAATGAGGCTAAAGGCACCAACGTGATTGGCGCCGATTCGCTGAAGGACATGGTGTCCAAGCTGAAAACTCCCCGCAAGGTCATGCTGCTAGTCAAGGGTGAGTTGCTAATTCAAATAATTCCAAAAAAAAACGAAAAATCTAAAAACCTGTAAGCGATCGCTCCGTTTTCGCTGTGTTAGTGACTCAGTCTTACATGTGTGCGCGCTTTTTGCGAGTGGAAGTCAAAGCAAAGTCATCAAACGAATTTTTTCGCGGTTCATATTGCAATGTGCAAAGGGGAAGAGAGGATAAACAGGTGGATAAGGTGCAAGAGTAGGAGAAACAACAAAAACAACGTTCAGAGATCATTGATCAGAGATTTTAACTCAAAGCTTGGTTTAGCGGTTGTTTTTGTAAAGATGCTTAGAGATGGGTGTTTTTGGGTTACGATATTTTCTCCTGGAAGCTTAAATAAATTTATATATAGTTTGCATTTTACGAAACAGCTTCTTAAATGGTAAAATGGTTAGTCACAATATATTTAAAAAACAAAAACATATATTTTATATAAAAACCCAATTTTGTAGCCAGGCTTATTGCCAGAACATTCGATTTTGCCTAATTTAGCCATATATTTTTAGCTGTAGCAGTGCTAAATTGCCAACAATCATTCTTCAAAAACACATTTTCGAACGCATGAGCTGATTTCCAGGTCACTCACGCTTCCGTCTGGCATACTCGCATGACCGAAATTCCACTCACCTCTAGTTCGTACGTTGATCGGCGTGCCCGGCTTATCTCCACCTTCCTACCTAGCCTTTTGATTTTGCTAAAGCAACAAAAACACCGGCGCAGAGAGAAATCTTTGACATTCATTATAGGTCACACACAATGGCCGATTTCCGAAGGGGGATTTCCTCGGATTGGCCTAGGCCGAAATCCGAAATCTTCCTTACACATGATCATTTGTCCCGCCGACCTTCCTGGCAAGTTGCAAGGCGAGTGATTCATTTTGTTCGCGGATTGCCTTTTCTACATACAGTTCAGGTCGCAAATATAACTACTCAGTGCTTATTACTGAATTTATATCCGAAAGTTGCATGACCAGTCGTGTGAACTTTCCCAAAATGGAATTGAGACCAAGGGTAATTGTATATCAATTTTATTCTAATTTGCAAGGAACTTTCTAGAATACAAGTTGGATTTTTTGATATGTATGGATAGAGATAATAGTAGATTATATCAAAACGCTTGTCATCATCATAAAGAAAACCTTTGCTGGGCTTCATCGATTACCAAACATAAAGTCCACAGTTTCAAAATGTTGACCGCTGGTGTGTCTCACCAACCAACGACCGCTAGTTAGATAGATCAATGCTATTATCGCCACGACTCGTTGGCCTTATCTGGTTCTATTGCGCTGGAGAAGTGCTCACCCAGCACAAGGGACGCCTCACGGTGACCTCCAAAGCAAAACAGTGACTTTCCAAAATCAGCCAACTGACCTTGTCCAATCGCACGCTCTACTTTCTGGCTAAATCGATGATTTCTTCATCAAAAAAGAACCTGGCACTCGCGTGAATGGTGTAAGAAATAGAATTGATTTATACGGAAATATCAAGTAGATGTTGAATGAATATAAATAACAACTATATTCTAATCATCATATGTAATATCTGTCTAATTGCAGCCGGCAGTGCGGTTGACGACTTCATCCAGCAGCTAGTGCCGCTGCTCTCGCCCGGCGATGTGATCATCGATGGCGGTAACTCTGAGTACCAGGACACATCCCGTCGCTGCGACGAGCTGGAAAAACTGGGCCTTCTCTACGTGGGATCCGGTGTGAGTGGTGGCGAGGAGGGTGCCCGACATGGACCCTCTTTGATGCCTGGTGGTCATGAAGCCGCGTGGCCCCTCATCCAGCCCATTTTCCAGGCGATCTGCGCCAAGGCCGACGGCGAGCCCTGTTGTGAATGGGTGGGCGATGGAGGTGCAGGACACTTCGTTAAGATGGTGCACAATGGCATCGAGTACGGTGACATGCAGTTGATCTGCGAGGCCTACCACATCATGCAGAGCCTGGGACTATCGGCTGACCAGATGGCTGAGGAGTTTGGAAAATGGAACTCAGCCGAATTGGACTCTTTCCTCATCGAGATCACGCGTGATATCCTGAAGTACAAGGACGGTAAGGGACATCTTCTGGAGCGGATTCGTGATACCGCCGGCCAGAAGGGCACGGGCAAATGGACGGCTATTGCTGCCCTGCAATACGGAGTACCCGTAACGCTAATTGGCGAGGCGGTCTTCTCGCGTTGCCTCTCCGCTCTGAAGGACGAGCGTGTCCAGGCCAGCAGCTTGCTGAAGGGACCATCCACCAAGGCGGAAGTCGAAAACCTCGCCAAGTTCCTCGACGACATCAAGCACGCTCTGTACTGCGCCAAGATCGTGTCCTATGCCCAGGGATTCATGCTGATGCGTGAGGCAGCCAGCGAGAACAAGTGGAGGCTGAACTACGGCGGCATTGCGCTGATGTGGCGCGGCGGCTGCATCATTCGCAGCGTCTTCTTGGGCAACATTAAGGATGCGTATACGTCGCAGCCACAGTTGTCGAACCTGCTGCTGGATGACTTCTTCAAGAAGGCCATTGATCGCGGCCAGGACTCGTGGCGTGAGGTTGTGGCGAATGCATTCCGCTGGGGAATCCCCGTCCCGGCCCTGTCCACTGCTCTCAGCTTCTATGACGGCTATCGCACAGCCAAGCTACCCGCCAACTTGCTGCAGGCCCAGCGTGATTACTTTGGAGCCCACACCTATGAGCTGCTGGGTGAGGAAGGCCAGTTCCACCATACCAACTGGACGGGCACCGGCGGCAATGTGTCTGCCAGTACCTACCAGGCGTAGGTTCCACCTTCTCCTCCTCTTCCACCGCTCTCACATTCCATGTCATTGGCGCCGGGGTCTTTAGATGTTTCTTTTTTTTTTTCTGGAGTACTTTAGTACTTATTTATACCATTAATATATGTGTATGTATATATAATTTCATCTTTGTTGTTAAACATAACATTAAATTGGTGTTTTTTTTTTTGCTTGCAAATGATTTCGATTCTTGGTTTGATGGATGCAAAGTGCCCTATAAAATCAACAATATGTGTGGTGTGTTGTGTTGTGTGTGATCGAGTCTTTCGAGTTGTGTCTTCAATTAGAAACGCCTCCTGCTACAGCTCATGCTCCTCTTCCTTTGCTATTGTACTCTCTTCAGCTACCACCTCTTTCGCTCGTGCTTCCCTCAGTCATCCGAGGGCTTTAAGGTCTTCTTGTTCTCAATTACTAGCTTGTCGGCGCTGTACAGGTGCCCGATGATCACCTATAGACATTCAAAGGTTAATAAACTCGACCGACTGATAAGAAAAAAGGGGCTAAAATGGTTACTTTCGTTTTCTATTTAACTGGGCAATGCGAGGCATTGGATTTCCCATTTACCCATTGGATATGCGAGACAACGATCAAAAGTAAAATTTAGTTTGGAAACTATATTCTTTTTTAATCTTTATTGATTCTTCTTCACCAGCTGACATGATAGTTGATAAGGAGAAGAGTGGTTATCTTCAAATTAAGTTCAATATTTTCTTTTTGAGATCACTTCAAGCGTTTTGAACAAGGAAATACAAATATTTAGATGTAAAAATAAAAATAATTACAGACTTGGTTATCTTCAAAACGTGATAATTGGATCTTAGTCAGTAAACGCTGACTCGTTTCTCCAAATACCACGGCTCTCTATATATCATATCAGGGCAGAAACTATACAAGTAGTTGGGTGTGTGACCATCAAGATGAAAGGTATCATTGCTGATAAGGGGTGACAGGCGACGAACCAAGGAACCGACTCACCTGACGACGTATCAGCTCCAGATTCTGCTGGCCCACGACCATTTGCCGATCGATCTCCCCATAATCTCGGATGCCTCTGTTGGCGCGGAATGTGTCGCGTATCTTGCGGGCAGCATACATTCTACAAATATGAGAAACCCCTGTAAGCTCAGCCCTCTAAATAATTTACCCTATTTCACCACATCTACCTGAAGTTATAAGAGGGCAGCTTCTCCGATTCGCGAAGGAGATTCCTGTATAACGTGATAGCCTGGCGACGGGTCGACATCCTGATCCTGTCCTGACCAGATGCAGCTGAGCAGGAGATTTGGCTGGAGATTTGAAGCGCCTTTTAATTGATAAGTGTTAACGCCGGCGTTTTGTTTTGACCCCGGTTTTTGTTGCGGCAACAGCCAATTGGACTACCGCCTGATGACATAAAAATTACATGTGGGAAGCGGGAAAATACTTGCTTGCTCTCCACAAAAATACCAGAAACAGCTGACTGTGGTATTTTTGACGTCACGTGCGTGAGTCTTAGAGGTTGACATTTGGAAAAAAATCAAACTAATTTGAATTAGATTAATATTCATCTTAAAAAAAACAAAGGTGGCCAAGTTAAGTAAATCCGTCGAGCTATGTTTTAGTTATGTTTCCCTCATAAAGATAATCCATGAAATGAACACGATCTAAAAAAATGATAGCTGGTTTCCACCAGAGCTCGTTCCAATTGGGCGGTTCTTTTTGAATTTGAAAATATAATAATAAACATTATATTGGATGATATATATATCATTTTAAATTTGTTGCAGTTCAACACCCCAGAATACAAATTATTTATATTGTATAAACAATTTGAGTATTACTTCCCAAAATAATACAACTTCGTATGTTTTTCAATTTTAGTTTTAATTCTGTTTGTTTTTTCTGCAAGAACAATATATTATGTACTCGTTGAAAACACAAAATAAATATATATTTTGTTCCCGAAATTGTTTCTTTCTTGCACGCGCGCTTGCTTCTTTTAAATCTGATTTTGTAGCCTAAATATGACATTTTTGTTGTTGTAAACGTACACATATATCCATATACATATATATATTTATATATATATATATATATTTTTATTGATCAATTTTAATTTTATAAGTAGATTTTCTTTAGCTTAAGTTTAGGCAATAAAATAACTTTATTTTCTTCATCGAAACTAGATTTTCTCCTCCATCACTTTACACTTATGTCGATCGCTCTCGCTCTTTCTCCTGCAGTTTTTTTTGTCGAGAGCGTTTTTAAATTTACGAATAAAAAAATGATTTAATATTTAAGGTAAGAGTAGGTAAAAAAAACACATTCGAAATAAACCTAGTCGCGTCAGATAAAATCGCTGTTTAAACAATATTTACATGGGTGTAAGTTTTCGTGAGGGTAAGCCGACGTTTAGCTGCTAATATTGCTTATGACTATATAACGTACTCATATCAGTAGGGGATTTGGATCTTTGTGTTGTTCGGGGTTTGTTTTCACGCTTTCAATTCGTCAATCTCTATATCATATCATATTTTTAGTTAAAACGCAGACCATGCTCAAGAATTTGCTATCACTTTGGGTTAATACAAACGCATAAACAGATCAGATCGCTTTGTATCCTAACGCTCTTAGCCATATACTTTAATATACATATATATAGGTTTAAATATATATATATATATATATGTGGGGGTACAGCTGACTGAAACTAGGTGCATTACATACTATACACATACATATAGTGGTTGCTATATCAACGCATAAACAAATTACATAATCACAAACAACATAATTTTATTTTGGTGGCAGGCTTTCGGTGTGGTTAACGACAATGGCGATGGCTCTCCGATCCCGATCCCGTGTCCGATTATCTGTGACTGCTGTACGTCTTGTACACCCGTGTCACCCTTGTCGATCCTGTGGGCGATGTGGATGAGGAAGCTGAGGCGGAAGTAGTGGATGAGCACGAGGCGGCAGCAGTATGCGACGTGTCCGTTCCCACGGCCAAAACTTGCGCCGTCGTCTCCAGATTTAGAGGCAGGGTGTTGTCGTGCTCATCCGAGTGTTCATAAATGTAGTCGCGCTTCTTGAAGTTATCGATGATGCGCTTCGTAGACTTCATGTGCGCCACAAAGGCTGCCTCCAACTGATCAAAATGGAGGGTGAGAATTATTATAAGTTAGATACACATAGTTTACATTGGGTTGAGAATAAGTTAACGATGTGTAAAATTAGGATATATGATTATAAAGAGAAAAATAATACTCACGCTGGAGGTAAGGTTCATGAATGTATGGTACTTCTCCAGCACACCGATAATCTCCTTGAAACTGTGCCCTCGCAGCTGGCGTCGCACCAAAGACTCGTATAGCTCATTGTCCGCGATCAAGTTTCCTACCAGGATGGCGGCATAGCTTCCCTTCAGCGTATGCTCCATGTGATGACCGGCGCGTTGCAGAACTGTTGGATAAGATTAGCCCAGGGATTAGTATGGATCAAAGAGGATTTTTTATCTAAACACTCACGATTGTTGACCGTCTCCTCCACTTCTTCTTGTTTCTTCTTTCCTTTCTCGTTATTCTCGAGGAAGGCGTCTGTATTCTTCTCCACCAATCTTTAAGTTTGGGAAAATAAACAATTTATGAACTACACCAAAACATTAGAATTAAAGTTATAGTCTCACCTGGCTAGTTCCTCGCACTTGTAGAAGTACTCGAGCAGAGCTTGCAATGCACTCACAGTTCCTTGGGCCGGTGGATTGTCCGCCACGTACTCTGCCGGAGCAGCAACTTGCATTAATGCGGCCCGATTGGGAAGTGTGTGCATGCACAGATTGATTAGCAGGGTTAGAACCTAACGATAGGAAAATCAACCATGAATATATAGAACTTATATGGAAGATTAAGTTTAGATACCCACCAGTATGCTTAACTCGAAGACACAGTGGTCGGGAATGTAGTTTGCCGAGAGCAGCAGCAGCCGGAAGCTCGTATCCACCACATCTCCCCGCTGACCAAGCAACTCGGCTCCCAACGATGGCTGCGCCTCGTTGAAAGTGTGCGTCAGGTTAATCAGTACCTTGAGCACCGGGACCAGCAGTTCCCTCATGGCCACACCCGGATGCTCCTTATTGCTGCCAGCACAGTCCACCGATGGATGCAACATAAGCTGTCGGCTACACAGGCGATACAGTTGGCATAGTGTCTCCACAGCTTTTCCCTGTCCAAAGGTGAGCATGTAGCGCTGGTTGGCCTCATTGTGTTGCGTTACATTTTCGAGGACACGCAGACATCGTGCCACCGTTTGCATGTTGTCCAGTAGCGCCGGCTGCCAATTAATCTCTGTAGTGCTGGCAATCACCGGTCTACAGAAATCCGAAATGGTCTTGTTAATGTGCTCCAGACCTCCTAGCTTGCGCAGATCCTCCTTGAACCATTCACCCGCCCTTTTGGATGTCAGCGAGAGTAGGGTCTCCATTGCCAGCGTACCCACTGTTAAAGAATCTACGTTGAGATGCGTGCCTTTACCCTGCGCTTTGATCTCCTCGCACAGTTCTCGGACTTTCATCTTGTTGCGGTCATAGCCTGCTCGATCTGGGTGTCCACTCTCCGTGCTTCCACCCACACCGTCCGCCTCCAGTAAGTTAATCATTAGTTCGAGGGAGTCACGATCCAGATCCATGTTAAGACCCTCCTGGGAGAGGATGTACATGATCGCAGAGGTACACAAGCCCAGGCTAAGGTCCTTGTTGGCGTCGGATAATGCCTACAAATATACAGGATCGATTAATTATTTCCCTTATTATTTTGCATATTTCCATTGAAAATGGCACTTATTCCGAAAATCCATGAAGCTATTATCATTTTGAACTATTATTTTTGATTAGTGAAAGTAATAATATACTGATACAAGCCGGGCTCTTCTATTAATGAAGGTTCATATGAACAAAGAACTATAAGATTCCCAGTAATATTCCATGTTTATTAAGACATTCAATATCCAGCAACTTGCAAGCTTTCAAAACAAAAAAACTGCAATTCTGACTAAAGCCCTGCCGAAAGCTGATATCTTTAATATTAAAATCCAATTCGATTCCCAAAATCAATGAACATCAAATTCCAAAGAACAACTTATTCACTTATATGAGCTGTTAGAACTCACCTTAAAGAACTTGGTGACAACGCCGTGGGCACGCACGTGCATCCGGAAGGCTGGCATCATGCACTTGGCTGCCAACTGTAGAGCGGATAGACAGCGCGTCGCAGGTGGATTGTGAGGCTGGAGTGCGTCTAGGATGTATTCGACATCATCGTCCATTTCCTGGTACTCCCCGATCTCCTGGATCTGGTGGGCCGTCTTCACATTTCGCACGACCGTGTAGTAGTCCTTAGTTTTACGATCGACGCGAATGGGTCCGCCGCTACCTGTTCCTCCTCCACCGCCTGCTACTCCACCCGCTCCGCCAGAAACTGCTCCCGCTGCACTGCGCTCTAGATCGAGATCTCCGGCAATTGGTTCCAAATCCAGGTCAAACGCATCGACACTGGTGGAGGTGGCTGGCACTCCCTGTTTCGTCGCAAGTCGCGACACTTTTCCGAGAGCCGGGCTGTCACCGCGCAACGTTGACGCACTGCTACAAGCACTGGAGGAGCCATTGTTGTTCGACGAGGGACTGTCACCGAAATCACCATCGGATTTGCCCGCCACCAAATGATGTAGCAGATGATCTTTGGCCCCGGCTACGCCTACACCGGATGCCGAGGCATTGCTGGCATCGCTGCCGGTACCACCGCCATTTGCCTCCAGCGCGGCATCCCAGCTATGCTTGTACAGATGCCGCTTGGCAACTGTCGCCTGTTCCGCTTGATCGGATGGTACTAGTGCGCGGCTCTTGAAGATGCTACCTTTCTTCTTCGATATAACCAACTTAACAGCTCCTCGTTGTTCACCAGAGGGTTCAGCTGATACTCCTGCTGCTGCCGGCGCTCCTCCCGCTCCCGCATTTGCCGCACCCTGGGAATCCAAGGTAAGAGTTCGCTTGAATTTATCCTTGAACTTGAAATCGCGCGGTGGGGGTGAGGAGGAGGATCCGTCGTGCTGCATCGAAGAGTTGTTTGAGTTGTTCGACAGCTCGTCTGGATCAGGATCCGGATCATGGTCCGGCGAGTGTTCCCTGTGATCGGTGTGTGGAATCTTTGCGGGCGTGGGCTGCTCCTCTTCGGCCTCTGGAGTTTCCTCTTCTTCGGGCGCCTGTTCCTGTTGCAGAACCTGCGTCACCTGCTGGTTCTTTCGCTTTCGGCCATAACTACGTGGTGCCCCAACAGCAGCTCCTTCCACTAGACGACTAGCCTCGGCTTTGGCAGATAGACTGGCGGCTATCTTGTTGATGTTGTTGTTGACGCTGGCTGAATTATTATTGTTGGCTCGGGCTGCAGCATTGCGACCTCTTCTCGGCAGAGGTGTAGCTTCTTCCAGTTGGTCCTCGTTCGCTGGCACCGCAGTCGTCGCCGTTTCGTCTACTTCCATTTCGATTTCCTGCTCGGCTTTTTTAGAGCCTCGAGTGCCTCGCGTACTTCTCTTGGGTGCCGGCGGCGAAATAGCAGCCGCATTCGCATCCGCACCTTTGGCCCTGCCTCGTGTTCTGGTCTCCGTTGCTGGAGGTGGTACATCCGCGTTGTTATTAACCTTCCTGCCCCTACCACGAGTGGCTCTCTTCGGCTGCTGTTGATCCTCCTCCTCTGTTGGCTCTGGATCTGTGTTGCCATTTAGTCGTGGGACTTCTCCACGCAGCACAGCCAGTATGTCTTCCTGCAGCGGGGTCTCTGGCACAACAGCTGATGTTCCCGTGCCAGCTCCATCGATGGTCATCATCATGGACTCTAGTCGCGACTCAATGTCCGAGGGTGGTGCCACCAGGGAGGAGTGTTGGCTCGTCTCCAGGTCACTGGTGATCACACTGGAACCCCGACTGCGAATTACGCAGCTGTCCTCCTGCACGGCTTGCGCCAACAGCTGCGGCGTGCTATTTCCCTTGGAGGAGATGCTCCCCAACACAGAAGACTGCGAGTCGAAGTCGTGATCTGATCGAGTTGTGGGCGATATAACCGTGGAGCCTCGCTGCGGATGCAATTGATGATGCTGAGATGGCGGATGCTGTGCTTGCTGACTATTGGCTTCGCTGAAAGCTAGGTGAGGTGAAGGCGTCTTAAACTCCGAGTTGGGCTCGGCAGGATTGGATCCAGATGCTGAATTTGCTCCAGATCCCGCGGCCAATATCTGCTTGTGCTTGTGTTTCTTGCTCTTGGACTTCTTTTCGCTGCGGGATTCCGCAGCAGCTGCTGCTTTGGCGATGGCGTTGCGAATCACGTCTGTCTTGATGATCAGTTTGAGACGCTCCTTGGGTGGTTTATCTGGCGATATCTTGACCGTGCAGTAGTTAATCTCTGGCGGTTCCTCTTCCTCGTCCTCCTCCTCCTCTTCGTCCTCCTCGTCTTCGTTTGGGTCCAGTGACTTGCGTTCCTCAAAGGAATCGCCTGCTGTTCCTCCTGCCACTGATAATCCTTCCACCGAATCTGCTGCTGCTGGTGGCGGTCTCAGTGGCTTCACTGTAATTTTTGGCGTACTTGCAGGAACTGTTTCGTCTCCGATGCGCTCAGCTGTCTCGTCCTCTATTACCGGAAGCAGGTTGTGTTGGTTCTGGTGAGCGGGAGAGCTGCTCGGCGGCTCCTCGCTATCCGTGCTAACCAAGCGCGAAGTACCCTAAAAAAAAAAAAACAGCCCAAAAAGAGGAAACACGTTAGATGGGATATTTCACTGGAATTCTCCTTGCTGGGGCCTACTTCTAGCTGATCTGGCAATGAAATGGGGACCACTGTATCGAGTTCCCCGATAATTAACACTCCAACTGAACCGAACTGGGCAAGAAGCCACCGATAAGTGCGGAACGGAACAAAAAAAAGAGAGGCAGAAGCGAAAAGGAAAAACAAAACACCAACAACTCGACAGAGAGACTCCAATTCCATTGGTTTGCCATGTAAAAGCGCGCGTAATTTAACACTGCTTCGCGCGCTGCGCTGCCTTCCCTTTCCCACACACAGCGTTCAAGATGGGCGAGAGGGAGAGAGGAGTAAGACGAAGCACCTGGTAGAGAATGCAGGGTGAGAGTGAGAGGTGGAGAGAGCGATCGCATTCGGGGTACTCGACTAATTGTTGAAGTTGGATAATTGTTTGCTGGGAGAAATTTATCGGGAAAGGGAGTGGTGAAATGGGGGCTAAGGCAAAAAAAAAAAAAAAAAAAAAGGTAGGGAAACTCACTAACGTGGTGGAAATGCTATTTAAAATTGGATTTAAATACAGACCAATATAAGCTAAGCTTAAACAGATTTAAGATTAATTTCCCCTATTTCTTATTCCATAATTTCTATACTAATTCTATACTAATTTTAAAACCTAAGTGTTTTCCACAGATCCTAAACATACTATCTATGGCTGGTCTCCGCTACTTACCTTGGAGATTCGCAGCACGATGGGAGGATGTTCTGGCGTGCGGGAGGCACTCGGAGGATTTGACGCGCCGCCAGATACGGAGGGCAGCTGGGACGACATAGACGCGGGTGCACTGGGTGCAGATGTGGGCGGGGGTAGCGAGGGCTCTGATCCCGGGCTGCCGAACGTGGAGCTGATAAAAGCTTCCGATGCGGAGGCGTTAGTTGCCGTGGCCGCCACATCTGCCGGCTGGCGCGACCCCTTCGGAATGATCAGATCCTTGGTGGGCGTGGGATAGCGCTCATCTTCTTCTACTTCACAATAGTTGACGGCCTTGCGGGCGCGTCCTAGAACCCGTGATGGCGGTGCCTCTGGCTTCAGCTTCTTCTCCTCCTTCGGTTTCTTCTGCTTCTGTTTGCCCGAGGCACTGGACGGCTCCGGCTGATCCGAGGCGGGGTCACTTAGCCCATCACCATCCCGATCGGAGGCGCTGTAAAACGCACCAGGCGTCGAAGGCGTCGAAGCTGCTGCTGCTGATGGCGTTGTTGATGCCTTCTTCTTGGGCGACTTGCGCTTCCGCTCTGCGGAACTGCCGCCCTTGCCCGGCTTTAGCTTCTGTCCGACCGCTTCCTGGGCACTGGAAGTAGGCGTGGCGCCACCACCTCCCGTCCCCGTTGAGAACTGATCCCGCATGGGCGATGCACTGGCTCCGCAATGGGGCATCTGCTGGATGATCTGGGCTATGACTTCTGGCGGAGCTGCATTCCTAGATTTGAAGAACTTTTTCGGTTTCGGCGGCTCTGGCACCGAAACGGACAGGTCGTTGGGATCGTGATCCTGCGTGGAGGCGGGACTCTGGGAGGGACTTGCGGCTGCTGCAGCCGCCGCCGCTGCCGCAGCCATCGGATGGATGGCGGACAGGGTGTAGGTGCGAGTGGAGGTGAAGCCCATCTTGCCCCATTTACCCACAGTCCCCACGGATCGGGCGACAGTAGGCCGGTTGGTGTTCTCCTTCTCCTTGCACAGCGAGTCCAGCGGCACCACGATGTTTTTGCCCCAACGCGACATCTTCGCTAGCGGTGGTTCCTTGGCTCCTTCTCGTATCCTCTCACTCTGTAATGGTGGCTCTAATCCTTGGCAACCAGATCACTGCAATTCAGAAATATGTACATATATTATTTGTCATTTTGTATGGTAAAGATCAGCAGCAAACGCATCGGTCATTAAGTAAGAAATTGAAATTTGTATAAAATTGTTTAATTTAAAATTTACTGTTTACTATTTAGAAATATTAACTGAAACTAGGTAACAAGTTCAAAATAGTTTCGAAATATCGATTTAACATATGAACTTCTGAGGGAGCACAGAAATCCGAATACTCTGAGAATTATATCAGGCTTATATAAATATCAAAATTATTTCAATTTAAGCCACTAGTTCAAAACATAAAATTAAATGGTTTAAGTTAAGTAGAAACCTAGTTTGATGAGAAGTAAAGAGAACAACATAATGTTTACCATTCACTGAAAACAGAACTTATGCCCCTGCCGCGAGTCCAACAGCTAGGCGGTCAAAATTTTCGCAGGATATAGACCACAATTTGGACCTTACTACAGCATCATTAACTATTAATTCATATTTTTGCACTGCGGACAGTTATTGAATTTTACTAAAAGTGAACGATTTGTTTGGCTGAGTTAAAGAGAGAAGTGCAGCAACAGCAAAACACAACAAACGCGCGCTCATAAGGAGTCCGTGGGTGCGAGCAAGAGCACACAATAGTGCGCGCTCATACAAACGCACACACACGCACGAGCGATTTCCAATTTTTACACACACACACACACGAGCATCCGAATCAAATCAAAACCAATTCGAACCAAAAGACCAAAATAAACAATTTGTTGCACCTTGCTGTTGCAATTTTAGAAATTTTAATCCACAGAAACAATACTCACCTCAAGTTAAACATTTGACTATCTTTGTTTTTGTTGTTGTTGTCCTTTTGCTGCGTGGATGCATGTGGATGTGAGTGAGTGTGGTCAAAAAAATCTCTGTTGCTGCTGCATCGCATATGTATGCGACCGAGTGCGTGGTTGTGTGTGTGTGTGTAGGGAATGCAATAAAACAAACGATGTTTGCGTTTGCTCTTGCTTATTGGCGCAATTTTTTGTACCACGAACACTCAGCTTGTTTTATTCGAAACTACTGCGGGCCTATCAAATCGCCATCGTTCTCATCATTTACGCTTGCTCCCTAGTTGCAGCGTGTATTTTGCGTTGCACACACACGGGCTTTTTGCTTTTGCCACCACTTTTACTTTACTTTACAGCATCATCCCAGAGGAGGCAGCAGCAACAACAACAACATAACACACCACTAACACTAGCACTAACACCAACACAAACAACCACAACAACAGCGACAATTATATTATAGCTGCTACTGCCGTTCGCTCTTCTTCTTGCTGCGAATATTTTTTTGATTTCGCGATTCTCTGGTCGTAAAATCCGCGCGAATTTATTGCACGAGGTTGTGCAATACGTACGGCAAACGAACGCGAACAGATTCTCGCTTTTTGCACAGGCAAAATGCACGAAAAAGTTTATTTTCTCTGTTTTTCTAGAAACACTTTTTTAGAGCTGGGCTAACCACTCTCGATAGTATCGATATATCGACCATTTTTGTGCGCGATTTACTATCGATATGTGAGCATTAAAAAATATAATTTTTTCTACCGCGGCTCTTGGTGTTATCCCCATCTCTAAGGCAATGTAATCATACCATAAAGCACTAAGTGCAGACTCAAACCAAAAACCGCTTGTTTTAAAAAAGTTTATTTTAATACATATATACATGCGAGTGATTCTCATAATTTCAGTTATTTATTTTCTATTTTATAGAATAATAAAGTGTGAGTTTGTGGTTCAGTAGACACGCTCCCGCAGCTTGAACATCAACGGGTCCTTGGTGCGCAGGATGAGTTCGGCAATAAGAACCGGCGGCTCTGAAGTATCACCCACAAAGTCCACCTCGTAGTGCCTCAGGACATTGGCCACGATGGCCTTGATCTCTAACATGGCGAACTTCTGGCCAATGCAGTTCCGAGGTCCTGCCGAAAACGGGATATACGCGTAAGGATTGAGCTTCTCGGCGGTGGTGACCACATCGAATCGCTCCGGCTTGAAGCTATTGGGCTCACTGAAGAGCTCCTCCCGTCTTCCCAGATACAACGGTGAGATGCCAATATTAGTGCCGGCCGGAATAAGTTTTCCATCTGAAAAAGTGAAGTAAAAGTAGTTATTCGTGATGTCAAAAACTAATGATCATGTTTTCCTTTAGGTACTCACTTATCTCGCAATCCTCGAGGACCTTACGCCCCAGCAGTGGAACGGAGGGATACATCCTAAGGGTCTCCTTCACACAAAGATCAACGTAGTGCAGTTTGTTGAGGAGCTCGTATGTTACGGGCGTGCTCTTATCCTGACCCACTACGGATCGGATCTCCTCAAAACACTTCTTCTGTGCTTCCGGATGGGTGGCTATGTTATAGAAGAAGAACATCAGTGCCGAAGAGGTGGTGTCGTGACCTTCGAACATGAAGGTGTCAACCTCTTCGCGGATATCCAGATTGGTCAGTGGCTGGTCGTCGATGGTCGATTGCAGAAGTATATCAAGGAAGGCCATCTTACGCTTGGCACCCACATCAGCGTCGTCGTTACTGCTTCCCTGATTGTTTCCACCTCGGATGATCTCCTCCCTGCGCTGCACAATGATCTTCTCCGTAAACTGATGGAGCACATTCAAGGCTTTCTTCTCCGCCCTCGCGAGCGGGGTGAGCATGTACGTAAGGTCAAATCGGTACAGGATGTTGAACATCCGCTTGTGCAGCACCATTGATATGGTCTTTACTGCCTGGACATATTCGGAATCGGCATTGGATTGGGCTTGAATGGAGACACCCATGGCGGTTTCTGCAAAATTAGGGCAAATATTAGATATGAGCGGAAAAAAGGTGAAGAAAAGCCATAGAATCTCCATTTAACTAGTAAATAATCCCAATTTCTCCTGTAAACTAATGATTGTTCTGCGAATTCCTACCGCAGATTGTGTCCATGGTGCACAAATTGATCCAATCGTAGAGGCTGAAGCCAGCATCGCCATGAGTCTTGCGATCTCGCTCCATATTCCTGAGTAGATCCCGCGACCCCTTCTCAAAGACCTCGACAAACTGATCGAGGATCTTGAAGTGGAAGGCGGGGGTAATGATCTTGCGACGCTTGTGCCATTTGCGACCCCGGCTGACCAGCAGACCTTCCTTTAGCCAGGGCTCCAGAGCCTTGTATTCGCCAGCCTTGTCATTGAATCTCAATGTACCCAAGACAGCCTCCACATCCTTGGGATTGCCCATGAGCACATTTAGCTCCGGTCCCAGCCAGACTTTTAGCACCTGATCCTTTGAGTAAGTGTTCATGAACTCGAATATCTTATTGACCATCTCGTGCGGCGGCTTGCCAATAAAATGGTGTCCATGACCCACCAACGGCAGTGCCGGAGGACCTGGCATATAGCTAATAAGCTCTATCAATCGCTTGAACTTCAGCTGATAGACCAATAGACCCACAAATAGGGCGCTGGCCAGGATCGCGCCGATAACCAGGAACATAGTTATGGTGGGTATGTATTTATTTTAATAATTTTACTTAATCAATCTCCGTGCAGTGGAGACGGAATAACTACTGATCCAGCAACAAACAAGCTGTTAACTTAAGAACCACAATGAAAACGGCCAAAAGCATTGATTATCTATCAAAGAGTACACTAAGGGAATCGCCGTTAGCATGGCTTTAGTTAATTTAAAATCTGGCTTTTCGAGCTGTTAAAAAATAACAAGATGAAGTGTTTTTGGACTTCAGAAATATATTTTGTAGTGGGTTTTATGGTATGTAAATCTAGTATGCAGCGTAAGTGTTAATGCAATATAAAAGTTGTATATTTTCTTTGAGTGTAGCTAATGCGCCTGATGCTAATCGCTCTGAGGATATCTAATCGTACTGTCGATAACCAGCTAACTACCGAAACTGTTCACCAAACAAGCCCCGGATCCCAGAAACCTTATCGCCGTTGGTAGCTGTATTTAGTGTTTTATGGCGGTGAGTTAGATTTGGACCTTGGCCCAGTGCTTTCGACAGGTTTCCCCCCCGGATTTCTCAATTAGAATACGGCCACTAATATAAGTCTAAATATATAGCAGTCCCGATTTCATGGCTTGGTTTGGTTTTATCCGAAACTTATCTCTCCATCAATATAATTTCCGTAAACATTAATAATATATTAATATGGGACATTTTTTTTTCTAGTGTACTTACCACAAATAGCGTCCAACGTACTGAGGTGAATGGCCTCACCCAGGTTGATTCCCTCCTGGCCTCTGCTCTTCTTCAGGCCTAGCTCTTCTACGAGACGCAGGGATTGCCTATTAAAGATCTCCACATATTGCTCTAGAATCCGGAAATGGAAAGCCGGAGTTATGATCTTGCGCCGGCGGTGCCACTTGCGACCGTTGCTGACCAACAAGCCTTCGTTCAGCCATCGTCCGAGGAAGGAGTACTCCTGAGACTTATTCAGCAGTTGTGTGCTGCCCAAAACCCGTTCCACATCCTTCGGATTAAACAACATAACGCTGTAGGATGGACCCAGAAATAGGCCAAAGGTATCGCCGTGTTTCTCCGCCAGTTCCCCGATCTTTAGGCACGCCTCTGCCGGCGTGAGACCGAAAAATAGATGTGCGTTGCCCAGCAGGGGCAGAGGCAAAGGTCCCGGAATCGTTTTCATGTTCCTCATAAATCGCCACATCTCTAGGCTGAGGATCACCAGGAGCAAAAGAACTAATATAAACAGCCACATATTTGGAGCCTGACCAATTCACTGAAGGCGAAGCTTCTGTTTGTTTGAGAATCGCAGCTGGCGACTAACTCAACACTTGATAACTTGGGCTGATGCTCGCTATCAGTAACTCGAAATAGTGATGACATTTTGGAGCTCATAGCTGGTGAGATCAAAAATCAAAAGCCATTAAAAATGCGATTGGAAGTCACTTTAAAATGAATCAGCTCTAGTTTGACGATTACTTTTTATATATTCAGAATTCGTCATTTTAGGTTACTAATCCAACAACCTCTTTCTTTACCTAATCGGTTTATTAATCAAAGCTATGCCTAAACCTAAACTTTGTAAATAAGAAAAGTCTGTCTTTCTTGGACCATGCACCCAACTTGCACTTGGGCTCTCAGTCCATTCTTTTTCCCATTCCCCTAGTCATCCTTAGCTTGCACAAAATCTAAGGAAGGGTCATCATCTGGGGTTGACAGATTGGCAGCCATTCGGCATTTCGGAGAGATAAAGGAACCGATCTTCCGATCGGAAGAAGAGAACGAATTCCGAAAGAGATCTCTGGACTGACGAAGTGATTGTGATTGTGATTGAGATGGCATCGAATGTAAACAAACCAGAGCCATGGAATTCCATTCCATTCCAGCGATCGTTGTTTACATTCGACGGGGGCGAGCACCTGACCGCAACTCATCCAGCTCCTTTCCCCCTGACGTCACAATGGCCACATGGCCGATCTATTTTGGGCCATATGCTCTATATTTAGGCCATCCCACTCACATCCCACTGTGATGGCAGGCAAACAACGATGACGAAGTCGCGAACTTGAAATGTTTTGCTAGAAAAATTACATTTCAAAATTGGCCAAATAATAACTTATAGTATAGAATTTAATAAAAATTCTGTTTTTATTATAGTATTTCAGTAATCTTATGAAAATCTTGTTGTTCTATGTCCTTATTGACTTTTATGCATCATTTTCATTTTTTCATTTATATTTTTTCAACATAATTTTCATTTACTGCTTTGTTAATACATAGCAAGCGATCCAAAAATGTCTTTGATAACCCAGGTCAGCATTTTAAATTAAGACTCCTATAAAATCCCATACCCCTCCTATTAAATTCCCCTAATTACTTCCCTAATGAATCCTTCTGACCTTTCAATTGCAGATGTTTATGCAGCTGCGAATATGGTTTTGCATATAGAAATTTCTGCTGAGCACGAGCACAAATTAGAAATTCCCATTTGGCAGCCCCCCAGTTGACTCATGCCGCAGCCACATCCGAATATGAAATCCGCATCAGAATCCGAATCCAAATCCGAGTCCCGATCAAAAACACATGCACATTCGCCCACTGCGTACTAGATAAAATATATATGTATATATATAGCGGGGTGTATATTTATCGGTGGCTACAACAATGGCAACAACAGGCGTCCTTCGACCATGCCAAATTCCAAAATTCTTGCGTCGCCGCTCGTCGGTCGTCGACATCGACGTCACTTTATCTCAGATATCCTCCTGCCCCCCTCAGCCAAGCCAAAAGAAGGCGGAACGTAAATATTTACACATGTCTTACAAGTGCTGGCGATTTTTCGATGTCGGATGTATAGCCATATAGCTTGTGGGTGTCAGTGAGGAAGTGGGGAGGTAATTCTCGATGTGCGTTGGAATTTCATTGGCATTTCCATTTTTCATTTTGTTTCCAATTTTGTTCATTTTAACATTGCGCATCGCTCCCAAGTCGACAATTCTATGAGGTGACCACTGGGGCGTAGTAAGGATTCCTTTTCAGGGGGTTCTGCCTTGAAATTAAAGTGTGGAACGGTGAGTGGAAACTAGACCTATTATGTCTCCGATCAGGGTTACTTTTTAGTTTCTATATTTTCATTCTTAACTAATATTATTATAACTTCTATAACTATGTGTTTTACTATAAGTAAGCCCCCTGAAAGGCAATCCTAGCTGGGGATCTGGCCAGGATGCCTGCCCAAAGCGAAGTGCAACGGATAGATGGACAAGAGGCGACCTCAACTCTGGAGAGCACTACATCATAACAATAAAAATAAAAGCAATTTGGCAAAGGCGCGCAATTTGCGTCAACGGCACTTGCCTACTTGGCATCTAGTACTCGCATAGTATATGCCATATACCCTATATCCATGCCGCGTAGATATATAATACGAACGGTCAAAATAACCAAAGTTGTTAGCACGTTTTTTTCAAATAAAAAATCAATTACTAATATAATACGAACGCCATAAATGCGGCTTAAATTCTAAAGTAAGTTCCCATTCTAAATAGATCCTCAGGGGACCAATATAGAAATATTTTTTGTTCTGCTCTCTCATCTTTTTTTCAGACGTCATGTAGTTACTATTTTCATGAGCTATACTGTTTATGGATGTTCACAATGCGGGCCAAGTGCCTGCTTATATATAGACCTAAGGATGAGCCATCGTATCGTTCTTTTTCGTCTTTTGCGCCACAATGCATGCCCGTACTAATAATACAGCATAATGGCAATAATAAAACATATGATTAAGCACACGCGGCGTATGCGCATTTTCCCTCCCCCCCATTGGCCTGCATTACGTATACGCCACCGATCTGAAAACAGCGGCACTCACTGGCCAAATAAGGCAATATCCGTTATTCAGCCAAATTACTTAACCCGTCCAACAATTAAAAATTAGCAAATCGGTTTCTTCACATCGAAGAAGTGACATCGCCCCACGAAATTCGGTATGAATCATCTTAAATTCCGAATATAGTTGCTCATTTTGACGTTGCCAGTTGGCTATTTTCACAAATAAATACAACTAATTGTTTGAATTACACATTATTTCGCCTTTTTGCTGACAAATTCTCAGCTAAGAGAATCGAAAATGCAACGGCAAATGATTCAAAGTCCCTTGCTGTTTGACAGCTCTTCAATAGGTTATTACAGAAAGTACAAATATAGAAAAAAATATTGTAAAGGAATATCGAAGTATCCAAAATCCAAAAAGATTTCCATTTAATCGACTATTTTCTAGCAACGAATTTGTTTTGAAGAAATTTTTATGGGCCAGAAAATACGACGCATTTGCAAGAAGCAAAAATAATGGAAAAATATTATAGGCCAAGTGCTGAGGTTCGTATTATGTTTTTGGAAAATGTAATTCAAAACAATTGAGTCTTCTTCTTAGTTGAGGGAAAACTAGTGCTGTCAGCAGTGTGGCAGATCTATCAAATAATTTATGCTAACCATTTGGTGATTACTTAGTCGTCGGTCTTTTGGTTTCCTCAGCTGCAACAGGAAATTGCTCAGGCGAACGCATTTTCATTCATGAGTTGATTTTATTTATGTGCTGGCCGCTGCCAAACCAGGCAAACCGATGTTGCTGGTGGTTACCTATATAGTATATATGGCTAAAAGAAGGCCCTCCATCTTGCTCATTCCTCCTACCCCCCACCACCCACACACGTGCATTGTGGTATATAATATATATATAATTGCCACCAAAATCGCATCGCCATGCACTTGTGGCTGTCAGCCAAACATGCAACAATAACAAGCAAGTGCTGCTGTGGCACTAGTCCAAAGGAAGTGATGGACCGCATGGATGCCCATTGAACCACTTGTGGCTGAGAGGATCCACCCATTTGTGCTCCAAGTTTGGTATTCAAGGTAACTTTAAAAATGTGGGATTCATCTCCATGCTCATTACAAGATAAGGGTATGCTTTTAAATATATTTGTATTTATTTTTAATAACATTCTATTATTTTGACAGGGCTTAAAGAGCTAAGAAAACAAGAAGAAGTTGGTCTTTTAAATACGCAATTATCCTAACCCTGAAGCCCAACGTACCTCTACATCCCAGTACCCTGTATCGTATGCGAACAATGCAGTCGAATTTGTTTAATTAGCGGAATAAACTCGTATATTAAAGATTGGCGGGCCGGGTGGACCAAGTCCGATCCCCAACTGACAAGCCAAGGCAGCTGGGCACGCGCATTTCGCTTGCTCAGTTCGGGGATTCTCAGATTTTCAGTTATGGGACTGTGGCTACCTGAGAATTCCTGGGAATTGAGCTGATGTTCTGAAAGCTGCGTTTCCTGCTGTTGCCAGGGGGCGATTTTTGAATGGCATCCAAAATTCCTTCCGACGATCAGCGCGTTACATGAACCCTCGATCGAAACGAGACCCAGCCATCAGCATACCGTTAGATGGTCAGTCTATTTCGGGTCTACATGAATGGGCTGCCGAGGGGCGGGGGGTAAGAGGGGGCCGGGCAGGGCGACCGCTTCCGGTTTTTCCCAAGAGCATTACGAACGGCACGAGCGTTGCATCGTTGATTTGATTTTCACTTCTCTCCAATTCACACACGCCGAAACACTGAGCAAAAAATGTTGAGCTATCAGGCTTAGTTTTTGAATTAAATTCGAAGGTAAAGATAGTTTGGGACAAGAATCTTTCAGCGTTTTAATTATGATATAATCAAATGTTATTATAATAATAATATGTTTCGACTTACTAATGAAGATAAAAATAGTTTATTATATTTTAAAAACTAATGAATATGAACGTTCAAATTACTAATAACTACTACTTTTCCCGTAGTGTATCCCTCTCCGCTTTCGTGCTCTTTCCTCTGCGGCTTCTTAGAGGGCAATGGAATCGAAATCTGTTCTGCGGTCGAACTCGGACCCTCCGATCATCGAAGCGCGTAAGCTGGTGTTGAGTGACCCCCCGACTGTTGGTAGTACCTTTGGATATACCAGCACATGCAAATACCAGGTGCTCCCTTGAACTTGCCATGAACATCCGTCGGTGCATTTGAAAACTTCTGGGAGTTTCTTTGTTCATGGGAAAAAAGCGGGTAAAAACGCTAAAAACGGTCTAAATTAAAAGAAAACGCAGAGAGCCATTTCCCAGAGAGCGGGAAGACAAAGCAGAAAAGCTGAAAATCGGAAAAGCAGCTGCCCGCCGTGTGTGTATGAGTGGCCGTAGGTGTGAGTGTCGAAGTGTGTGTACCATCGCGGCTATAAAAAGAAAGCGCGATCGCTTTCGGCGCTCACTTTTGGTCCCATCAACCAAACGGCGTGTACCCATAAGAGATAGAAAACAAAAGATATATACCCCAGTACCGATCTGATCCAAATCAAGTCAAATAAGTCAATATATTACCCGGAACGCAGTATATCTATCACCCAGTTGAGAGACATTTTTCTTGTTTTTTTTGCGTTGTTAAATCGAAAGAAGAAACGTGTGCAATTTACATTTTGCATTGTGAGTGGATCGTATCGAAACGGAAATTTGGAAGCCCGACACATCGAGGAATTCCATCTAGCCCACCAGACTAAAAGCCAAAAACAAGAGGAGCTTCTTCTAGAAACCCCATTAAAAGTGAGTGTGAAATAAGGGAGAAGTCCCCTTGCTAAACAAGCAACAAACAAATTAGAAGCACCGGTCAGTGATCACCAATCGAGGACTGCTTACAAGGGCGATTACTCTCTAAAAAGATCTTGAACTATACTATAGAGACTATATAATATAGCATACTATAAAGAAAGAAACACAATGTTGGGAGCTTGGCTCTTTCTAGAGTGTTTAAACACACTTTAGAGTTGAATATTCCCCATCTAACTCATCCAGACTCAACTTTATTTGCCTACTTAATGTTTTATTTGTTATCTTAGGGGAATTTTAAGACCTCATTCATTATTGCCAAAAGTTCGACAATCATTTCTTAATCTCTGCATATTTTGTGATACAACTGATTGAGTGCTTCTTAGCAAGTAACCAAAACTCTTTAAGGGTTTTACCAGATTATGCGACACTTTAAGTGGCTTTTATAGTTTTTAGATTATTCCCCCTGCCCAAAGCTACAAACCATCAAACTTTAAAAACTATTAAAGTGTAGATGACATGCGTAGCAAGTTGTCGATGGCTTCAAGCTAGCTGGAAATCGGAGGGGTTAATGCACAGCAATTTCCAGTTAATTCCAAATGGGAAAAACGGCAAATGGGCACGAAACCGAATTCCGGTTCATCTTTCGGGATCGAATACGAATACTACTGACTACTACTACTGTAAACCATATACCATATAATACGACTATGAGTGCGAGGGGCGCTCTAAAGTTCAGGCCTAACGGTCTTTTTCGCTTTGTTTTGCTTCTGTTTTTGTCTTTTACACATTCTGCTATCTGCTTTCTGCTTTCTGCTATCTGCTTTCTGTTTTCTGTTTTCTGTTTTTATTTGCCACTGCTCATCATCATGATCTTTTGTAGCTTGGCTTTGGAATCGGATGGGTTGGGTCTGCAGTCCGGAACCATGCACCTCAATGGAGGTCTGGGTCTGGGTCACAAAGGAAATGGTAAACTGGTAAAAAAGTAAATAAACGCTGTTTGGCAATTCGCCATGGAGACATAGACACAAAATAAACAACAGAAACTCATCCACAATTGGCACACACATTTCCATTGTTATGAATGTTGTTTGTTGCTAAATTTAATTGGTTTTCTTTCCCATCATCGTGGCCTTTGTCTCCAACTCTTTTCTCTTTCTGATTACAGGCAAAAGTGTTGCGAATTCGCGGTGTCCAAAGGCCAAACAAAAAGCAGCCATCACCACTTTCCGGACCAGATTGATCCGTAATAATATTCCACCAATCTGCAAGATCCCAGCCAAAATCCGGAAACCGCCAATAAAGCGAAACCCAGTGCAATCATGACGGACGTATCGCACGAATTGGGAGCCCTGCGCTTCGTGGTGGTAAGTACATAGCTCCCATATTTAGATATATGATCCGTGGATATATTGTTGCCTAATTTGTTTACTATCAATAATTTAACTTTCCTGCTCATTTTGGCTAAATCGAAAAATGTAAATCATTATGTGTTAAATGTGGTGTTTAACTAAAAGTCAAGACACACAGATATGGCAAAGATAACATATAGTTCTGAATAAATTTTAAGTAGAAATACCTAAAACATTAAAGGAACAGGAAAAATAAACATACTGTTAATAAGCACATTTGGGAAGCTTTAGGGGAAAGATAAAGGCACTATTTTTAAGAAAATTCTGCGACTAAAATATGCCAGAAAAAAGGGATTTGGATTAAGATTTAAAGCAATGTTTGGAATGCCGCACTGGGAACTATAAAAAGATCCCAACAACTCAGGCACATTGTATTGTTTTTTTAGTTTTTCCGCTCGCACATCTCGTGCGACAAATGCCCGAAAATTATTTATGCGCTAAAAAAAAAACCACAAGAAATGCGTGAGGAGCCAGAATAAACAAAAAATGCCAACAAGATAATGGCAAAGAAAAATAATAATGCAAATGGCCAGAATAAATGTCAACGAAAAGCCGCGAGAAAAATGTCTGGACAGTTTCCAAGAGCATGATTAAAAATCATTAGGATTGAAATGATATAAAGAATTTTTGGTCGCCAAAGGAAACAATAACAAAGCGGAGACGACGACGGAATGGGTTCGAACGGTTCGAAATGTTGTTGTATTTGTTTTAATTTGTCGCCACATGAATTGCCAAAATATACACACCCCTACTTTTTGCCCACTATATAGACAAATAGAACATATAGAATCGCAGAGGAACGAACGGGTTTTCGCACAGCGAAAAAGATCAAAACACGGAAAAATTCTTGGCAATGACCATCGAAATAGCAATGCTGAATATGCATAGATACCCATTCCCATTCCCAGTGCCCATTCGCATAGATATAGAGGCTATACAGCTGTAGATATAGAATGCGCAGACTTCTCGAGAGTGACAACGGCGCCGACAAATAGATCCGTAAAACTGAGGACTACGTAACCAATTCGCCTCGGTCCCGGCTAGCTGCAGCTAAAATATGTTGCCCAAATTTGCGACAATATCGGTTTCAGTTTCTCTCTAATTTATTTATCCAAAATGATATTTTCTTGAGATACTTAAAATATTATTATTTAAATTGTAAGCTAATTAGTGGAGAAATTACACACAATATATATATATATATATATATCTATATATATATATCTCCCATTCTCCCACAATTGTTAACTAATTTCGCATATGAACTTAGTTTCTTGGGTCGTTGGCTTTTCACACTGCATTTGCATTAAATCGAGAGATATGTGGACCTTGTTTGCCATATAAATTTTACCTTTATCGCCCCCAACTGGAGAAGCGACTTCCCAGCACTTGCAGTGACGAAATGAAAAATTTCGAAACTAATGTCTATGGACAAGTTTATGCATTTTTCCCAGACTTTCTCCGCGGGGTGAAAAAACGAACTCTTCCCGCGGCTGAAAACCAAGTTGCCAAGTTCTGGCCGCTTTTCATTCATCGTTGGGTTTATTTTTAAAACGCTTTTGCCTGTGTGATATGAATGAAATTCGTCTGATTGACGAATTTTTGGATATTGATCAAAGAGACAAATTTAGAGCGTCATACGGCCTTTGCCAAAATGCCAAATTATATAAACAGCAGCGGAAAGAGTCAATAATATTGCCACACCCATCGCCATTATTATTCATGGGCAACTCGATCAAGGAATCCACTCATCTCATTTCGCCCCCGTATATCATAATCAAATAGAATAAACACCACCTAGTGGCGAAAATTGGCCGTGAAGGTCATTCCTGTTTTCTTTTTGATTTTTGTGAATACCTCTCGCTTTTACTTGTGCTATAGGAAGTGGACATACATATAGACATATATATACATATAGATATATATGTTTTCAGTTGTTCGTCAAAGAGCGCGCTGCCCCGCCCACACATTGCCCCTTTTTCGCTAGAGACTTTTATTTATGGCCACGACATTTGCGCATTCCTTTGGTTCATGGTGCGGGAATCTTGCACTTATTAGATGAAAAATTACACAAAATGTAAGACCGCTGTTATTTAATTGCGGCTAATTAATTTTCCCGCGAGATCTTGTTCAACCAAGTTGTAGAATTTGAAAGCCATTAATTGCGCGCCCAGTGGGTGGATTGGCAACGCGAACTTTAATCTCGGTGATGTACCTGCTGCCTATCTGGCAATGCTGTCTCAAGTTAAATTTAAAGTTTGGCTTCCTTTCGAAAAGTTACTTTGATTAACCCTACTTAACGCCAAATCCTTGTCATCTAATACTTACAGGACTCGCCACTGTCCTCCAAGGTAGCCATGTTCAACAACCAGGCAACGCAACACAAGCAGTCCCAGCTGCTGAATCCCTTTTCCCAGGACGGACGCGCCTCCTCGCCAAAGCCGACTTTCTCAAAGGACCAGTATGGAAAACCACTAGCCGGCAGCCTCACTGAGATGCGTGGGCAAAAGGCCAACATTCATGTGATGAAGGAAATGCTGGAGCTGTGCCAGATCATCAATTCGGAGGGCTACGACGTCAAGGATGAGCCCACCATGCGCGTCATTCCCTTTGGGGAGCTGTTCAATGTGAGTTATTTGAGTTATATTCCTGCTTATAACCCTCTAAATTGGACTTGTTGGTCTTGCAGATCTACAACTATATATCAGACAAGGTGGTGGGCATCCTGTTGCGCGCCCGCAAACATAAGTTGGTTGATTTTGAGGGAGAGATGCTGTACCAGAGAAGGGACGACAATGTTCCTGTGTTCCTACTGAAACCCATTAAAGAAATACGCACCGAGATGGAGGCCAAGATTGAGGACATTAAAAGAGCGGCCAGTCCGGCACCTCCGCAGTCCACATCGGTTTTAATGGATCGTAATGCTCATGAGCAGAATTTGAAATCCAGGACTCCCTCGCCGGCGGTGGGCAAGTCTGTCAAGGCCAAGTCAGCGTCGCCATCGCCGGCGCCTAAAGCTCCTGCTGTAGTAGCCACGCCTGTTGTAGACGCGCCTGTGGATGCTTCCCCATCTGCATCCTCTCCTGTGGCAGCTCCTGTTCTTTCTGTAGAACCCACTCAAGCAGCTGTACCTGCACCTGTAGAAGCTCCAGTTCCAGCTCCAGCTGAAGCCACAACTCCAGCTTCCATTGAAATCAAGCCAGTTGAGTCAGAAGTATCTGAATCAGCGCCTGTGGCTGTGATATCAACAGAAGCACCACCCGCAGAGGAAATCACACCTACCATCAGCCAAACACAAACGGAGGTGGCTCCTCTAGTTTCATCCGCAGGGACTGATGATTTGCCCACAATTGTGATTGAAGCCTCCGCCGAGTTTGTGCGCACCGTCAGCGTGGAACAGCTGGCGCCCAGCCCGGAAACAAGCAGCCAATCCTTGCCAGACGAAGCCCAGTCCCAACCAGAGTCTACGGCCGCTTAAGGCTGGGGGAGTTTGACGGCTAGGACGAAAGAAACATCCCCTGGAATCGTTTAAAAGAAACTCTCGCAACTACTAAAGCGGCAGCTTTAAATTGCAGTAGCTTAGTTTACGGCGTACTTAGTTTAATTTACAATTAGAGCAACACAACACTGAAGACAGAAACGAGAGCGACTATTTATTTATTATTATTATATGTATATCATTAATGGACGACCAAAGGAGCCAGTTTCCTCAATTTTTTAATCATTACTCTTTGGAAATTAACTAAAGTTTTCCACTCACAAAGTTGGGATAACGCTATAAAATATGAATAAAATGAATACAATTACATTAAAACAGTATAAACAAATAGTTTTGTTCTGTATTTCCAAGAGTTAAAATGGTTTAATATTACGTTTTTAACTCAATAAAATAGTTTTAGTACATTTTCAATTTAAACAAAACGGCAATACTATTACAATATTCGATAAAATATATTATCGACTATTGATTAAAAACTTACAGAATTTGAAATGAGTGAACGCCTAAAAAAATTCGATGCTATCGATAACAGAAACAACATACGATATCGCCACCACCAACACTATCGATAGTGATATCGAAGGTTTGTAAAAGAAAAACAAAATATTAAACATAATCAGTCGGGTTACTTTTTCGAAGTTTTAGTTATTTTTTGACCTAGAATCAGGATGTCTGCCCTGCGCCGTGACGTTTCGCCTATATTGCAGCGCATTCGGGCCTTCCTCCTAGGCGTGAGTATCTCTGATTGCCAGGCAACTCGATTTTCCGTTATGTAAGATGAAAACTGGAATTCTGTGATTAATTCGAATAAATTTACAGCGGGAGCATAACCTGGCGCTGCGCTTTGAGGATGGACTAGCCGATCGCACCCAGCCCCAGCCAAATATTCCCGACGGACCATCCCATCTAGCGTCGGCCAACTATTACTGCCAGCGGGATGCCCGTCGCGAGGTCTTTCCGCCTATTGACCTGGTGGAGCAGCAAAAGCAGCTTGCAGCAGAGACTGCCGAAGCGGCGAAGGTCGTTTCCTCTAAGCTGCCCACCCCGGGCAAAGTCTATGCCTGGGATTAATAGCCCGCTTCCCCGCAGGAATTTTCTTTTTTTTTGAGTTGTAGTACGAGCCCGTTAAAGCTAATATAGTATCCATTGAAATACAATGCATAGTGCCTGCAAAAGTGTGTACAGTGATTGAGAGTCGAAATTTAGAAGAGATTGATGCCAATTTTCTAATTCTTCATTTTTGTTCACTTAAAAGTCATATCGAAGTTCATGAATTATCTAACTTATCTAAAAGCCTTAAACTTAAAACTTAAAAATGTTCTTTCGCATTATAAAAGTGAAATCTATAAAAAATCCTAATACTTGCTGAATATTATAAACCTATAATATTGTTGGTAAAACACTATCCATCACTGTGTATAACTTTACAAGTTTTTATTGAAATATTTACAGAACCATTAACGTAAAACTAGAAAAAAAAATACGACCACGGCATAGTCCCTAATAGACGCGAGGCTTTAAGCCACAGTTAATACCCGTAGAGGAACGCAAGATAACGTTCATCACTAGTTCGACTTCTTGGCCAAGAGGAAGTAACTCAAAATGCCGTATCAGCTTGCTGATAGTGCTCTTCATCTCAAGCATTGCAAACTTCTGGCCGATGCAGTTCCTTGGACCCGCAGAGAAGGGTGTATAGGCAAATGGGTGGATCTCGCCCTTTCGCTCCATGCTGAAACGCTCCGGCAGGAACTTGTCTGGTTCGGAAAAGTATTCGGGATCGCGCTGCGCATGGTATATAAAAAGGATCACATCAGATTTGGCGGGTATGAGCTTGCCATCTAGCACGATGTCGTGGGTAATGTGGCGTCCAATTAGCGGTACCGACGGATACAGCCGTAGCGACTCCTTAATCACACATTCCAAGTACTTCAGTTCGCCCAACAGCTGCATATTGACTGGAGCCGATTTGTCATCACCAAGAACATCGCAAACCTCCTGGAAGACGCGGGCTTGAACCTCAGGGTGTCGGGCCAGCAAGTAGCAGGTAAAAGCTATGGAACTGGTGGTAGTGTCGTGACCCTCGAACATGAAAGTGTCTACCTCCTCGCGGATGTCTTCGTTACTCAAAGGGGCACCATCGATAGTGGATTGCAGGAGCACATCCAGCAAGGCCATGCGACGCTTCTGCCCCACTTCGTTAAAGAGAGCAGCGTTGGCATCCGCATTCTCGGCAATGGATTTTTGGAGGAGATCGCGTCGCTCGGTGATTACTGAATCGGTGAAATTATGCATGGTTTTTACAGAATCATTCAGTTTGGCAAACAATTTGGGATATAATAACTTCATAATGCCATCCACACGCTGCAATGGATTCATGAAGCGCTCAGCCAACATGGTTGAGGCCCTAAAAAGATACGTTCATACTAAGCGTCAGAATGTTAACAAATATTTAGTGGCAGAACTCACGTTGTGACTGATTGGACGTAGGGAAACTGAGGCTGTAGCTGGGCATTAACTTTCACACCCATGGCCGTTTCCGTAATGATATCCAAGGCACACAGGCAGGCCACAGGAAACATATTTATCACGGTCTTGCCATCCGCCCGGTCATATAGTTGCTGGGCCATAATAGCGCTCTGTTGGTCAAAAACTTCTACAAAGTCCTCCAGGATTTTGAAGTGAAAGGCGGGTGTGATGATTTTCCTGCGACGGAACCACTTTTTTCCCTTGCTAATGAGTAGACCATCGCCGAGCCAGTTGACCAGAAGTCCATAAAGATTGTTTTTCTGAATGGTCTGCTGGCTGCTCATTATCGCTTCAATCATTTTGGGATCGGCGGTTGTGAAGCCACTTTCGCCAATCATTTGCATTTTGACATTTTTACCGTACTGTGCCATCAGTCGGGATTGTAAAGAGAAGACAGCTGCAGGAGAAATGGGTTGATTATAATTTTGTCCATAAGAGTGCTAAACTTCTGTTTAAAAATTCGTTAGTACGTCCTTAAAGTTTGCGTTTTTTGCTAAAATAAATAGTATAGAGATTGGTTTTTAAATGGTACAAATTTGTGCCAAAAAAAAAACTCATATTAGGTGATAACAAACTACTTCATTTCCATACCACCCATTTTATCAGATGATTTAGAGTTTAATAAACAAATTATCCTTTCCGAAATCCACTTAAGAAATATTGATAGCAAATTTTTGATCAGAATCACAAAAACTAATTGTATGGAATTGTTTTGTTGACATAGTTATGACCTACTTTTGGGTGACTCCTTGAACAAAGTCGGTGCTGTTCCCACAAAAGGATAGCTCCTGGGTCCGCGGATTCCAGCGGCGGCGTACATCCTATTATGGCGCCTGTGCCTCAAATAATCCCACACGAACAGGGTCGTCAGGAGAATGGCAAAAATCTCCAAATACATGGCTTCAATTCTTCTATAGTGGAAATGGGATTGATCTATCTAACGGTGGCACCGTTTACCATCGACTGGTTGTTTCTACTCAGCGGCGGGGCTGTTTTGTAGTCGACACAGATTGAGATAAGGCGACCACAATCAGTGGACTGGAGCCAAAAACCAAGGAGAAGGCCAAATATTACGAGCGGGGTCAAAACTAGCCGGCAGTTCAAGTGTCAACCCAGGAATATCCCTTCCCAACATCAACCATATCAGTTTGCTTTGTAGGGTAGTGATTTCTATAGAGATCTCCATATATCAGTGGGTCATTGTCCCAAAATTTTGTAATGAATGAACCAAAAAGTGCAACTTCATCATGATTCAAGGCTTTGGCTTTATCGGAAGACTAAAAGTTCTGATTAATATGGACACGATTCCGCCCCCCGCCATGGATAACGCGGGCGAGGGCCCGGGAAAAATCGCTCGCCGCTATCTGGCGATGGTAGTACTATAGTACCATAGTACCAGAGTATACAACAGATTAGATCAGAAGCTTTCGTCAAACGCGTGGAACCAAAAACAAAACAAATATTTCAAAAGAAGTTGGCAGTTGGCTTTGGCTAGAATTCTGCGGTCCATTTAAATTTATATATATTTTTTTAATACCAAGAGATTGTTCTCAGAAAAAAAGACAACAAATATAAAGCTGCTATCAATTATGTTAGGGAATCCCCAAAGGTGGTACATTCAGTTCTTAATGAATGCACGGATCTCTCTTAAGCCAGACGCTCTTAAGTTTTTAAAATGCAATCAGAGATCAGAGAGCAGATGTTAGACTGTTCTATAACAGGTTAAACTATATTTTACGGAATGATTTAAATATTAAACTACAACATGTGGGGTACATTAGCGCTTACATTGAATATAATTAAACCTCAACTAATCAGACCAAATCGATCGTTCAAAAACAGATATACATTTTACTATTTTCCTATATCATTACCTTCATATCCTGAATAATCATGACGAGCGAAATTGATAAGAACTTAGCTTCCTCTCAATAAGTTAGCCAATTTAGAAACACTGGATCTTACAATGTTAATAAAAGTATATATATGTAAGTATATAGGTGATCGATAAATTCGACTGTTGTAAGGTCGGTGTTAACTCAATTGTATTACCGACCGACTGATAAGAGTGTAGAGTTAAACAAATTGAAATACAGCTGTTGATAACAATGCAAATTTCATGGTGACAGGATGGACATATGTGCAACTCATGGTGATTACTTGAAATTAATTAAAGGGTTTGTCACCGTGAATTTTATAGGACATTCGGGAAAGATCTTTTAATGGAAGGAAATTGATAATGAGGAAGATCATTCGATAAGGGTTTTCTTATTTTTATTTAATACTTTTATATCCAATAACAATGCCAGAAAATATAGAATTATTATAAAAAACGCATTCAAATATTTTGTTGTTTTGATAATATTTATTTAAAATAATACAGTACATCCTTACAACCTTATAAGTTGATTTTCGCTTCAGTTAGCCGACTAAGCATGACCTTTCAATAAATAGCCTACCGTAATCATGACTAAGGCCATAATCTTGAAGTTAGCTTTCTTTATCCGTAACGAGCTCGTCAGCCTTTCGTGTTTGCAGCTGCACTAATTAAACGAGTTCTCTTAGAGAACTCATTCTCTCTTAAGAGCTGCGTAGATTCCAGATTTAAAGCACACGACGCTTAGCGGGAGATAAAGAATGAAGTGTATTATTTATAATATTTGTCAGTAGTGAATCGTTCGTCGACACTGCACAATGTTGGGTGTTGTTGGTCTGCTTCTCCTGGTGGCGTTCGCCACACTGCTTGTGTGGGATTACTTCTGCCGAAAACGGCGCTACGATATGTTGCTTCCAGGTCCCCGGCCGCTTCCCCTGCTGGGAAATGTGCTTATGTACCGCGGTTTAAATGCCCAACGTGAGTTTCCTTCCATTTCTATGATGCCTTCATTATTTTCAGATGCCTTAGAATATAATAAAAGAAATATATTAAAATATTATAAAAAGTTCATGTTAAAAATTTTAAAAATTAAAGACTAAGTCCAAAATGATTTCGTTATCTACCTGTCAAAAATATTGCCAATTGTACTGCAAACCTCTCCTCATAATCTGTAGAAATCATGGAATTTGTAACCAAGAACCAGCGCAAGTACGGTCGCCTCTACAGGGTGTGGATTTTTAACCAGTTGGCCGTGTTCTCCACGGATCCCCGGGACATTGAGTTTCTGCTGAGTAGCCAGCAGCATATCACGAAGAATAATCTGTACAAGTTACTTCACTGCTGGCTGGGCGAAGGATTGCTGATGAGCACGGGCAGGAAGTGGCACGGTCGAAGGAAGATAATCACGCCCACCTTTCACTTTAAGATATTGGAGCAGTTCGTGGAGATCTTCGACCAGCAAAGCGCTGTGATGGTGGAACAGCTTCAGTCCAGGGCCGATGGAAAGACGCCCATCAACATCTTTCCGGTGGTGTGTCTAACTGCTCTGGATATAATTGCAGGTGAGCAATGATATTTATCCATGTCTATATATATTATTTCTTCTCTTTCTTAGAAACTGCCATGGGCACAAAGATCGATGCACAGAAGAATCCAAATCTGCCTTATGTCCAGGCAGTCAATGAGTAAGAGTAATTTTGAAAATCACTTCTTATCTGCTGATTCTTTCTTCGTGACAGGGTCACCACCATCATGATTACTCGTTTTATCAACGCTTGGCAGCGAGTGGATTGGATATTCCGGCTGACCCAGCCAACAGAAGCTAAACGCCAGGATGCCGCTATCAAGACGATGCACGACTTCACCGAGAACATTATTCGTGAACGGCGTCAGGCGCTGGTAAACAATTCTAAAGAAACAGATGAGCAGGTGGATGATCTAGGCCAGAAGCGTCGTATGGCTTTACTGGATGTGCTGCTGCAGTCTACAATAGATGGAGCTCCGTTAAGCGATGTGGATATCCGGGAGGAGGTAGACACCTTTATGTTTGAGGGCCATGATACAACCACATCGGCCATTTCCTTCTGTTTATATGAGATATCTAGGCATCCAGAGGTGCAAGAACGCTTGGTGCAGGAAATCCGTGAGGTGCTCGGAGAAGATCCAAAAACGCAGGTTACTCTGCGTGATCTGGGTGAGCTGAAGTATATGGAGAATGTGATTAAGGAGTCACTGCGTCTGCATCCTCCAGTGCCCATGATAGGCCGCTGGTTCGCTGAGGATGTGGAAATACGTAGGTAGTGCAAATATATTTAATTCTTTATACTAACCAGTCTTTAATGTTATAAGGTGGCAAGCGTATACCAGCAGGCACTAACTTCACAGTGGGCATTTTTGTTCTTCTTCGTGATCCTGAGTACTTTGAGTCCCCCGATATGTTCCGACCGGAGAGATTCGAGGCGAACGTTCCGCAGATCCATCCGTATGCGTACATACCCTTTTCTGCTGGACCAAGGAACTGCATAGGCCAAAAGTTTGCTTTGCTGGAGATGAAAAGCACAATCAGCAAGCTCCTCCGTTACTTCCAGTTGCTGCCTTTGGGTCCTGATCCCCAGCATTCAATGAATATTGTCCTGCGTTCAGCCAACGGCGTGCATTTAGGATTGAAACCTCGCGCTACGAGTTGATTTTCTTTGTTGGTCAAACAACTATATTGGTTTAAAATAAATGTGATAAATAAATAAAACATTTAACTAGATACAACTTAGTCCGTGGAACTACATACATATGTGCATATATACAAATTCTCTGATATGACCGATTCTACCAGATGTTTTTACAAAAAAAACAGCTGGCTAGTTTTTGGCCCGTGAATTTTCCGTCTCGCTTATCTTAGTGTTTTAGCACTCCGTCTCACTCTAGCAACAGGCGCACTATTCGAATCGGTTTGCTTATATAAACCTAAACGCAAAGCAATAAATACCTGGTGTATAAATAAGTAATCCATTTGAGGTACTTCAGATAAGATAGCCGACTAGTCAGAAAGCCCACTCCGCGACTCGCTGCAGGGGGTACAACATGTTGGTGGCTTTGCTAGTGACTCTCCTGGTGGCTCGTCTGGTGGCCTGGCTAATTCGTTTGTCTTTGAATGAACTGCGACATCCTCTACATGGGGTGGTGCCCTGTGTTTCGCGAGTTCCTTTAGTAGGATCCGCCTGGCAGATGCGTAGTTTCCAGCCGGATAGTAAGTTGTTGTCGAGAAGCTTCACTTTGTAAATTTAGTAAATATATTTCAGATCTCCACGAGAAATTCGGCGAATATGTTCGCCGTTTTGGTCGGTGCTTTATGGGTACTGTACTGGGCCGTGTGATTGTGGTTACAGCGGAACCACGACACGTAGATGCACTTTTGCATAGTAATCATCAGCTAAGGAAGGGCACCATGTATCTTGCTCTACGTGGTTGGCTGGGTAATGGACTCTTGCTGAGCCGCGGTGAGGAGTGGCATACGATGCGTAAGATCATTACGCCTACATTTCACTTCGGCATCCTGGAGCAGTTCGTTGAGATCTTCGACAAACAGAGCAGCAGGTTGGTGAAGCGTTTGGAGCCCATGTCGCATGACGAGAAGGCCGTGAATATCTATCCCTATGTAGGTTTGGCTACCCTCGATATCATCACAGAAACGGCTATGGGCGTAAGTGTGAATGCTCAAGGAAATGAGGATTCGGATGTGGTGCATGCTGTAAAAGAGTATGTTGCGGTATACTCAATCGTGACTTTTTAAGCTACTTACTAATACCTTTAATCCTCTTTTAGTCTGACAAACATCTTGGCCACCAGGTTTATGAGACCGCATCTGCTACTTCCCCAGCTCTTCCGACTGTGTTGGTCTACTGGGTTTAAAAAGCAAGAATATAGCGTCAACTGCTTACATCAGTTCACAAATGGTATTATAGAGCATCGTCGTCATCTGTTGGCCACAGGGTGTTGCCAGAAACAGCCAGAGAAACGACACACCCTGCTGGACACTCTCCTGCAGGCCACTGTGGGTGGGAAACCGCTAACCGACAAACAGATTCGCGATGAAGTCAACACCTTTATCTTCGAGGGTCATGATACAACGACTTCGGCAGCCGCTTTCTGTTTATACCTGCTTTCTCGACATGAGGCAGTGCAGCAAAAGCTGTTTGAAGAGCTTAATGAGTACTACGGACGGGATTTAAATAAAGGTGTTATCCACTCCGATTTTGCTGCTCTTCCATATCTGAACTGTGTGGTCAAGGAGTCTTTGCGTCTGTATCCGCCTATTCCAGCAGTGGCCCGCTGTTTAGAAAAAGATTTGGACATAGGTGAGAGGAGGAAAGACCTATGTATATGGGCTATTCACATATTTTTCTATTCTTGTTAGATGGTGGTTACATCCCAATGGGAACCAACGTAGTCGTACTGCTCTGGCAGCTCCTTCGCGATGAAGCACTATTTGCTGATCCACTACTCTTTCAACCAGAGAGGCATCTAGGAGAAGAGTCCTCCAGACTGAGTCCATACAGCTACATACCCTTCTCCGCAGGGCCGAGGAACTGCATTGGTCAAAAGTTTGCACTTCTGGAGACGAAAACCATAGTGATCAAGATGATGCGACACTACAAGCTGCTACCAATCGGCGTAGATGTGGAGCCTTCCATTAAAATAGTGCTGCGATCGAAGTGCGGTGTGAATATAGGCTTGCGACCGAGGATATATTAATAATTTGTGATTTTAGAATTAAAATAAATATTTAAGAACCTACTGGCGCCATGGCGATTTAAATCTAGTTATCGATAACAATCAGGTGGCTAGTAATGGGCAGAGTCGGCTTTTTCCCGCTAAATTGGTTAATTTGTAAGCGAATATTGTTATGATTCAAATTTGAACGGATTTTAAACTGTTTTTTGAATTTAACATTATAATAATATAATATTATAAACTTTTCTTCTCGCATATATGGGTTTAGAAAATATATTTAACGTACTATTAATACGGCATACGAAGTATTGAAAAGAAAAAATGACGTGCATCCCGATTTCCTCCTCAAAATTGGTAGCATTTTGTCTATAACTACGCCAATAATGGTCCAAATATGGAATTTCATATCTCGTTGAACTTGATTTTTTTGAGATCTGCATTTAAAATTAAAAATGTACATTTTTTCCATGTCTCAAACAAAAAAAAAGATGATGTTAATCTTTGCTTCCAAAATAACAACAAGATTGCAATCCGGCCTATCCAGTCGGTACACAACTATATATTTACATACATCAATATGTATATTAAATGAACATCTGGCTTTCATTTTAGCTTTTTCCATTTGCCAATCGATAAATGTCAACTGTTGATTTGTATGGACTTGAACTGATCCGTTTATATTTCCTGCTCTTCCGACAATTCCTTGAGAAATGTGTTTTCTACGTTTTCTGGCCCAAGCCCGTGGCACCTTAGGACGCGTAAGTATTTAACAAAACTAATTCAGGTTAAGTAGTAAAAGAACTCAGAACTAATAGGGCTTCTCATCTCCCTCAGCATCTGGCAGAAGCGTCACCTACTGCCTGGGCAGCGGCTCCTGTTGACTCCGGCCGGAAATTGCATCTGGTAATAGGAAATGAGTCGTGTGACCTGGATTCAGCCGTATCAGCCGTCACTTTGGCCTTTGTCTACGCTCAGCGATATCAAGAGCACGACTATGTCCCTATCCTGAACATTCCTCGTCAGGATTATCCCCTTAAAACCGAGGTGGGACACTTGTTTGTCAAGTGTGGAATAGCGGAACCCGTATTGCTCTTTCGGGATGATATACCGAGAGAAGTGGCTCAGGGTGTAAAAGTTATCCTTGTGGATCACCATGTCAGTCAACTGGCACCGAACGTTACGGAGATTTTGGATCACAGGCCATTGGAGGATAGTAGTCCTTCTTTCAAGCAGCTGCCAGCCGATTGCACGCGAGACATTGATGCGGCTGTAGGCTCCTGCGCTACTCTGGTGGCCCAGCGATATTTGGCCGAGGAACAACCCAAATCCGCTGGCGTGGCTCAGCTGTTGCACGCAACTATCGTGCTGGACACCATTAATTTTTCCACGGCAGCCAAACGCTTTGGAACAAAGGATGTGAACATGGTGGAACAGCTAGAAAGGGAGTTAAACCTCAAGGAAAATCAAAGAAGCAACCTTTTCGATGAGCTAGTTGCTGCAAGGGCGGATATCAGTAAACTTACTCTAACCGAAGTGCTGCGTAAGGATATGAAGATTTTACAAACTGATCGCCAGATTGTTCCCCTAGCTGGAATGCCTATTCTTGTTAGGGATTTTGTGAAGAGAAATGGTGCCGAAAAAGCAGTACGCGAGTTCGGTGTGGATAGTAACCTACTGGTTATTTTGGGAATGTATGTCTCACCTGTCGACGGTCAAGTGCAGCGTGACTTGGCCTTGATCTCTCTCTCTGGCCAGAGCCAAATTGTGGAGTGCATCCGACATGCACTGATGGAGTCTAACGATCCGAAACTCGATCTGCGACCTCATGTGGAAGATACCCGCTTTTTGGGCGGCTGCTTCCTGCGCCAGCATAATGTCCAGGCTACCAGAAAGCACATTCTACCCATCGTAAAGCGAGCCCTGCTTGTATGGGAGACGGATCATGGATGCGATTGTGACGATGTGTACTTCTTTAAGGAGAAACCGCAATTGGGACTTTCTTGAAGCGAGATCATACCAAAAAGCCAGACTTAGCTAAAATTTTTGTGACACTGCTGTTACCAACCTAATGCTATACCAAAAAGAAATAGAAAATGTACTATTTAAGATAACATTGCCAATGTTCTTGAACGAAGTTCGGGAGCTTGTGATTTATGGGGTCACTTTCACAACACAAAGTGAAATATTGAAGAAATTAGTATTCCAAAAGTGCGTTGGTTATATGAAGGTGAAATTAGTTTCCAAGGAAATATTCCAAATAATAAGTTTCCCTCTAGTTTCCTAGGTGTTTATGTGTATTAAGCGAATATGTACAGGTCATACATGGGTAAAAAAAGGATATGATTAATAAAAAAAAATAAAGAAACTACAGTTGCGGTTCGGCATCTGCCGCTCCTTCATCCTCGCCCATATCGTCATCGGCGCACTCGAGCGTCATGTCCTCCAGCATCTCCTCCAGCGTGATCTGCGGCACATCTCCGCCAGTGGCCTGAACCTCAATTGGTATCGTCTTGTTGGTATCGCGATAGATGTTGACCTGTCCTCGAATATCCTCGTTCTCTTCGAGATCATCGAGGAACTCGTGGTAATCGTATTTGCTGCGCTCATCTGTGGCCTCCGCTGCCAGATGCTTGATCTTCCACACGCGCTGGCTAAGTCTAGTTTGGCGATCGTAGTGTTTGCGTACAAGGATCACATCTGGAATTAAATCCGGTGACAGTTTGTCGAATTCTTGGTCGTTGATATTAGCCTCGCCGGTGTTGTAGCCCATCACAGAATCGCCCACCTTGAGTAGGTGACCCAAGTGGGAGCGTGTGTGAATGGGGTTATCGTTGATGCCCAGCTCCGAAGCACGCACTACCCAAATGTCGCAGAGGGCATGCTTAAAAGAGACCTGTCCTTGGCCGGGATAAGTCTTTCGATCTTTCTCCATAATCACATCAATGTCCATGACAACGTATTCAACAAGCTGCTTCGGGTTGCAGATGGCTTCAAAAGGAGCTCTAAAACAGACAAGCCAGTTAGCTTATTAAGAAATAAACAAAGAAAATTATTCCCACCTGAAGTACACCTGTGACGTAAGTTCTGCAATCTGTGCAGTCAGAGGATCAATCAAATGAATGCTGCTGGACACTCGGTTAACCAGGACCAATGGAGATAGATTACCCAGCTGGTGGCGTAGCTTCTTCGACAGGCAAACGGCACTGTCTTTCGACACTGGTGCTATTTCTACTGACCAGTTGTACTTGTAATTGTAGTTGTTACTGTGAATATCGTGCGAGATGAGACGCTTCGAGGTTGTCACCTTCCCGGGAACCATGGTCAAAAGAAAGTCGACCATGCGCCGGGCATGGTTATCATTAGCGTAAAAGAAATCCAGGCCACCGTGCTCCGGCTTTATGCCCAATGTGTTCTCGTGGGCCTTGTGCTTGAGAATCAACTGTTCCAGATAGTAGAAGGTCTTCTTGTTCTCTGCCCGCTGCCGAACTTGCACCAGGCAGCGCCAGAAATCCTTAGCTTCAGTGCGATGACAATCGTTACACATCTGATTCTGCACTGTAAATTCCACCACAAAGACTTGCTGTAGAACCGTTCCTCCGGTGATCTCTCCGTGCACGGTCAACTTCACCTTAATGCGCTTGGAGTGCTGCTCCGTCCAGATGAAGCCAGCGTCCACCAATTTCACTTCCTTTAATCCCTTAAGCTTCTTCAGGCATAGGGCTAGAAGCTCGCGAGACTCCAAAGAGGCCTGAATCCATTCGTTGGGCGGCTGCAGATAGCGCTCGCAATTACGACAGAAGTGGAGCACCGCCTGTTTCGGGATGCTCTCCGTGATGTCCACATGGTTGCGCAGACAAGTGACGCACATGTTGGCTGGATTGGGCTGGATAACCACTCCACACTCGCAGCACAGGATTGACGCAGTCGAGGCGGCGCTCTTTCCCTCACCGGCGCCCAGCGGGCTAACGCCAGCGTATTCGTGATCCATTAATCCTCCAGATATATCTGTATTCCAGCTATTTCACAATGGCGTTTCAGGAGTCGAGACGTTAAATTTCTGTAGAGTACACAAGTTTGTAAACACGTGCCAGTGGAGATGTAGGGATGGGCAAACAGAAAGAAGGTGCCGAATAATCGTTTTTTTTTAGCTAGAACTAGCTCATTGACAGAATTTCTTTTTCATTTCCTAGTTATTTGTGTGCTCAACGAAATAAAAAAAAAAGATCAGAATGTGAACCCTTTGACATTTTTTTTTAAATGTAAACTGTTTCGAAAAATATAGAAATAACATAGAGTATCTGCTATTTAGCTGTGTAATTTGGCTTTTTTTTGGCTATATTATCTACGATTATTCCAGTTGTAGTGCTGTATTATCGATATATTAGCCGCTGGCATCACTGACTAAACAGCTGAGGAAACGGTTTTACTTTCACGGATTTGGAAGGGATTTGACGCCATGCAAAAGAAGCCGATCAACGCGAATTCCCTGCTGGACAAGCTGCACCGCGGTGCCGTATACGCCTGCATCGGGGTCACCCTCTACGGTACCTACATCCTCGGGATGCGTTATTACCACTACTACACGGTCATCCGGCCGGAGAAGCAGCAGGCTGATCTGAAGCTTTTGGACGAGGGTGCTCATGACAAGGCCAAGGAGCTTAAGTACTAGGATCCGCTATTCTCTGCCCCCTTTAATTGTTAAATGTCTGTTAAGCGCAATAAATTGTAAGGAAATGTAAACATTTTCAGCTGAAATGATATGGCAGAATGCCGGTTGTTGTTGTGTAACCACGGACAGCTGGCCAATATGGATGGCAATCCGCAGCAATGAAGAGACTTCAAGATTCAAGATCTGGCCCTGGAACCAACCCAACAATGAGCCATTAGCCGTCTGGGCCGTAAATCAAACCGGTCACAATGGGGAATCAATCAATCGACATCGACCCGTTCCGCAGACTAGAATTAGCCAAGAATTATAATTTAGCTGGCAATCAAAAATGTTGTCATCTCCGGATCGTGACCAGATCTCAGATCGCAGACTAGACCCCCCGATGGCTTCCGCTTGCCCAACGCGTCTCGCGTGCATTCACCTCCATGCGCAGGGCATTAATATTAAATGATATGATGCCAAAACAATCGCGGGGAGGAGAAGACAATGGAGGTGCCACCCACTTTTGCCAAGAGACTTTTGACGAGACTTCGTCGACGATTGGGAAAATGAAAATGCGCTTGCGTTCAGCTGTTTTCCATGCTTCATTCAACAATGTTGCCTCCGGCGTTGCTTCATTCATGACTTGGGAACTCCGAAAAGCACAAACTGAAACTGCGATTTGCAATTGTCACTGCGGTCAAGGTCGTCCTTCATTGTAGGGGTATTATACTGGGTACGGGTAGCAAGCCCCCAGCAGACGGAAATGATCGATGGAAGGAGGTGTCTCTGCGGCTGGATATCCAGCAGCTTAATATTAACCCAGTCTTAAGATTTAGATTGAAAGAAAATTCAAACACTAGATATGTCTTTTATTTAATTTTATTCTTTTTGGCATAAATATATTGCCAATAGTTTTTTATAAACGTTTAAAGAAGATCAACTTCATGTACTTCCAAAAAGTTTTCCACTCTGTTAAACATGATGTAATTTTCCTTAAGCTACAATTTTCTTTTGGTAAGATTCCTCCCTCCCAATACAAGAATTTCTTAAATAAACCTCGTTTACTCCTATAAAAATGAATGACTATGAACCTGGGCAACAACCTTTGGCCCAATACGAATATACCCCTTCAGCTAGAGGTCCCCGCGAAAATCGTGCACGTTGGATATTCTTTCGATAAGAGCTTGCATTGGAAATGATCTGGCAGAGATCTCAGCTGGGCTGGCAGCTTAATTAAAAATGCCAAAATGCTGCTAAACGTGCAATTGTTCATAATTTGTATATAATGCTGGCACATGCATGTGCAATTCCCACGGAGTTTGTGGCATTTCAATATTTGGCCCAGCTTCTGGGCAAGCTTAGGTAATGCTTCCTTTTTGGCTGTGTAAACTATCTGATATGCCAGTGAAAGTGTTATACGATATGTACGAAAGGGCACTCGGTGATTGTGGAACGCATTTCGGAGTCTCGGGTTGCATGTTGCATGTGGATTGCATTGCTAACTCGGCTGCCTTATTTCAATTTTGATTGCCCAATAGGTCTGTGATCTTAGAATTTCGACTACGATTGCAATTATAACCGATATCGTTAGTTTCCACGCCCACTCAACTCCGCCGGATGAGCGGATGGATGACCTTTTGGCTCTCGCAACATAAACAATATTCGATTTCAAGTCCTCAACCCGTCATGCATTCAATTCAGCTGCAACAATCGCTGCTGCTGCGCAGCTGCTCTGCTGCTGTTGTTGTCAGTTTGCAATTATGCAAACTGTAGCAGCAACAAGCAACAACAAGCCATGCCGGGTGACTATAAAAGCGCCGGGCAACTGGCAGCCATCAACAAACCTCGCCTGGCGCCCAACTCATCAAGTCAACTAGTAATTCAGCAAAAACTACAGCAGCAACATGAAGTTCTTGGTAAGCAGCAGCAACAGAAAGGATTAAATCCGGTCAAGAATAACTTCGAGTGAAACCCTTTTTTTTAAGTGACTATTTACATAACTTAAAAGAGTGATTTTTTTTTCAAATCCATTTCTTGCTGAAATAATTTCGAAACAGTGTCATATCGCTAATGCGAAGTTTTCAGTAATTTGCAAAAATATTTATAAAACAATACAAGTATAGAAAGATATCAACATGAAGAACTTTTAAGCTATTGCTAACTGAATCCCATTTTACCTTTAAACCAAATTAAAACCCAAACTTTTTTCTTTGTTCAGTGTGTGTTTGTCATCCTGGCCATCTTTATGGTGGGCACTTGGGCAGCAGTTTCGGAGCCAGCTCATGAAACCCTGGAACATGAGCCGTCCGCCGTGGATGAGAAGAAGACGGAGAAGAGGGGCATCTATGGATTTGGCCACGGATATGGAGCCTACGGCGGATACGGTGGTTACGGACATGGACACTATGGCGGCTATGGATTGGCCAGTCCCTATTACGGTGGCTACGGATACGTTCATGCGGCGCCCTACTACGGCGGTCACCACGGTTACTATCCGTATCACCACGGCCACTACGGCTTCTATTAGGAACACCACCTATCCATGATCATTATCCACACAATTTTTTTTCTCGATCGCTTCATGCTCATCACTGCACTATCATACATATATATATATTTCTTTTCGTGAAACATTCAGCACAGAATAAATGTCCAGCAAATAGCTCATGTCTTTGACTTTCACGGAGCTGGAAAGCCATGAAATGTATAAAAATATATATGATATCTTATGAAATGTAGTACAAAACTCATTTGAGAACTTTTTTTAAAGAACAAATGAGTGGTTTTTCTGTCTGTAAACTATGAATATATATATATGTATTTGTATCTAATGGGCATAAATTATCGAAATATATAGTAACGCATAAATAACAAAAATCAGAAGATTGTCTTGCAAGGGTTCATTGTACTTATAAACACAATGAAAGGCAAAAAAAAAAACGGCCATGCGAATTTCAAACTATAAGCAAGTGAGACTGAATTTTGAAAAAAATTGGAAAAAATACCTTTTTTGAAAAAGTCGTTAAACTTGTCTGCCAAACCCTCAGCAGAAGTTAAAAAGTGACCGTGTTATACAATAGTCTCTGTTATAATTTTGACACAGTATGACCACTAGCCTACTTGAATAACTGTTCAGCTATTCACGCTTAATATTTGTTTTAAAAGATGCTAAAACGCGATCTACAGAAAATTACGTTGAAGCTGTCCGATCTTAAGGACTACGAGATCGCCCGGCAGAAGAACAAGCTAAAGGGGGCACCACGTCCGAGGTTGTCCCAGGATGCCATAACCGGAGATGACGCCTCCACTTCGGGAACAACAGCCAGCTGCAGTTCCAAAACGGGCACGGCAACAGAATCTGCATCAGGATCAGGGTCGGGATCGGGATCGGGTTCTGGATCCGGATCAGGATCTGGATCCGCTTCATATCTTACGGGACTAGGCTACCGATCGGAGACACCCTCTTCTGCATCATATACCACGTCGACGACCCCGACTCCAGCCACACAGGAGGAACTATTGAGACCCTCCTCTGCCGTTACAGCCACCACCACCACGGGTACTACCAATTCGGGATCAACGGATGATGTTAGCGTTGCTGCCGTAGTGGATGATACGGATACCATTGACGAAATCAGCGATGACAACTGGGTGGATCTGAATGCAGACACCAACGACACCATTGATACCCACGAGGAGGAGGATGAGGAAGATGGGGCCAGAGGAGGAATCTAGAAGTGCAGACCTAAAGTCACCTAACGCAGCTGCAAGTGAAGACCCCCATTCCGTGCATCATCGCATTTCGTATACGTAACCAATTATAATAACCTATTGCATGCTCCTCCTACGTAAGAATGTATTTAACTTTTTACGCTGCTTCCACAAGCGCATTTATTCATTTGCGTTAAGATTCAAAACAAACCATTTATTAAATCCTATTAAAAACTTTATTTAAACGGAAAATCCTCATACAAAATGGGGCTTATGGGATAACATAATTAGTTGCATATACAAAAGGTTCTGTTGAGTTCCACGAAGCAGACATTTTAATTGCCACTGACGTATGTATGGCCTTCTAATTAGGCGGAAATACGTTCGGATTACAGCGTCCAGTTGGTGATGAGTTGAATACGGAGTTCCTAATTGAGCTGCTTTGCAGGGAGCTTAAAATCCGGGAGGTTAATTTATGAAGAGCCTCTGGGCGATTCAACAAGTACCTAATGTCCACCAGCAACAAGTGGCCATGGACTGAGCATATGGGTGGGTAAATCTCCAGCTGTGATACTGAAATCCTAAACACATGTTATCCGTGTTTCAGGTGGTGTATGCAACGTGACTTGGGCAGCAAACTTATAGGATGGGTTGGCCCCCAATGTCGTTACCCACACGGAAAGCTCCCCGAAAAAAGCTAAAAAGCTGTCGGCGCTGCATTTCAAAATCATCAAACGTAAAGCTCTGTTTTGAGTCCAGCGGCAAGCTGGCGAATATACCGAGTTGAGTTCAACTCAATCCCGTCCGGTTCGGCTCGGCAGTCCGGACAACGGTTAACGGACAGCACAGCGGATGGCAGCCCATCCGCTAATTGCGGGTCGCTGGATTCCACGGCCAACCGATTGCCAATTAATTTCTCGACAAAGTTCGATTTTCGACCGCTCCTATCTTGGCTATTGCCTTTTGTGGTATAAGTGCCTCTATCCATATCCGAGTCTGTATCGGTATCGGTATCCGTGACTCAAGGATCGACCGGTCGCAGCACGTGCCACGTGCCGGTTTAACGAAAAGTGCAAGGGTAAGTGGCCAAGTGCCAAGAATTACTTGTCCAGACATAATAAATACTCCTTAATTCGACACCAAAGGATTAGGTTAATTTGATAATCATAATATTTCTGAAAAATATATAGAACCATAAAAAGGTGTAATTCCATTATATTGTCCGAAGGCACCCATGTTCTTTGCTATACTATAGCTAACCACGTCTTGAATCTGACGATAAGAGTAACGATTTAGTAAAAATTAAAAACCTGTAAATGCATCAGCAAACCTTTAACCTTTAGCCTTTGTTTACCATAGTTTTTTTTTTGCTACACATGTACATATTGGTAAATGGCGGCGAAATGCAAAATGGCATAATTCTCTTCGACCCAAAAATGTAGTCCTTTTGGGTATAGTGTTTCCATAATCCTAGTGCCACAACTAGTAGTAAAAAGAGGGCCGTCTTTGCCATCTATGCATATGCATAACACATTGTGGCCGGGTGAGAACGTGACGCCGGGGGGCAAACTCAGGTGCATTGATATAACCACCTGTCACATACACATTCGCGGCACGTGCAGCGCATCCTCGTTGAGAAGAGGGAAAGTAGTGGGGGAACCCCGGAAGGATGTGAAAGTGAAAGTGAGATACAGTGACAACAGGCAGGAAGATAGCTTATGAAACTTTTACGGATACTCTGCGCAATGAGACAGTTTCACTATACCACGCGCTGACTTCTTTGATCGCTTCTAATATACATAAGATATATACTTACATGTAGGTACAGTCCCGCATACCTGGATTCCCACACCGATGTTTTGAGTGTAAACTCTGATGTTTTCGCTCGAGAGCGCATGCCTTTCATTAGTCCGTGCATAATTAGCGAGAACTCACACGGGAATGCCACTATCGAGGTCGCAATATTAGCACTAAAATTGTGGCTCAATCTTTACTAAAATTATTTCTAGGATTTGCGATGATTTTCTTCTTATTAAATTCTCGTTCCTGAGAAATGTCTCCAAAATTTTGACAAAGTTTATTACTTACAAAAAGGATCCTGCTTCGAAATAACCTTTAGTTAAAATACATTTTTTAAAGCTCCTTAGTTCAGTTAGTTTTCCTATAATTTAATCAAACAAACTATGCTAGCCAAATGGTCGGTGCTATCAACTTAAGCCCCTGCGAACAGAGGGCTTTATGGGCTCAGAGTGTTGCATTGCTTGTTTGCTAGTGTGTGTCTGTGCATATCTGATTGTTGCGACCAGAAGGTGATGGCCAGCAGGACGAAGGGGAGGAGGAGGAGGAGGAGGAGGAGCAGCAGCAGGCGAAGGCCCACACTCAACAGGTGGCTGTGAAGAGTCCTGCCCCTTGGATCGACTTTCGTCCTGCCTAACGTTGCAATATTAATGCGGCCCAGCGCTTCTGACGAGTGCATGTTAAATAGAAGGCGGCGGCCGAGCAAACGACCCGCCCAGATACTATATATCCTGGGCTTTTGGCTCGTCCTTGCCCCTCTTGGGCCGCCCCTTGGCCGAATTGGCGCGGCCTTTGCTCTTGGCATTTGCCTTTTTAACCAGTTCTTATAGTTGGCTTTTGGGCTGTGGCAGGGAAAATGGCAATGCGGCATGTTTCGTGAAAAGTGGAAAAAGTGAAATAACAAAATGGCCGATGCAGACAATTTGCTGCTGAATGCCGAATGTCAATCTTGTTTTGTCAGCTAATTTGCATGAATATTATCCAGCTGGCACATTATGCCATTGACTTGTGCTTTCCCTGGCAGCTCAATTTTCCGGCTTTTCGCCTGTTTGACATTGACGTGCAACGAAGATTCCAGCGTTTCCTTGGCCATCAGCTGCAATTAAATCAATAGTTGGTACTAGGCTAGCAGCCTGGCCGCAAATCGTCGATAAAGGCCACTCAACATATATATAAAAATCATTTTTAATAAGCCAGACCTATAGGTTAGGTGATCAGATTGAATAATGGTAAATCTTTGATATTAGAAGTATAAAAGTTTTTTTTTTTTTGACCTACTGAGACCGAAAAGTGTATGTAATAACCTCATATTTTGCATTGGAATGTACTGCACGCTGGCGCCAGTTGGGAATCGAGTTCCGTTTCGGATTGGGAAAAGGCAAGTGAATGCACCTATTAACATAGACTAAGCAAAAGGTGTTTGACACCGATAAGACGCGACCGAGATGGGATCATTGTACACGGATCCGTGCTTTGGGGGATATAACATAACTAGCGCCATGGAATATTTTTACACACTTCGAGAGAGTGTCAGAGATTCGAACTAGAAGACTCAGCCTGGTTTTTATTTGGCTATGGATCGGTGAGCTATTGACCGAGATTTGTACATATATTCTGAGGCTTATCGTCAAGTCGGATCGTTGTCGTTGTCTTGGGTACACAACAGCAATCAACAGCAATCCGTATTTTCGGGCACTCCGTGTTAGTCGTAATCTGCAAAGTAGTCAACAATGAAAGCAACAACAGCCAGTGGACGTCGGCGGTGAAGGAAAGGACTGGAAGTAGTTGGAACCATAGTCGAGTTTTCATTCGTATAAATAGCGAAATGGGTTTAAAAATAAACAGATCAACACCATCGACGTCTGCGATCTCAGGAGCGGTCTTAGAAACATCCACTGCGCAGGGACGTTAGTTTGCCGGAAATGTATTGACCAATGCTGGATAACAGGGATTTCTTCTTGATCTGTGACGAAGACGTAATCGTGGACAAGGCTTCCCAACCATAGGCAATGGAGGTTCCGACGGCTATCTGGGACATCACATAGATGGTGTGCAGTACGGAAAAGGTCAAGAGGAGCTTCATCAACGAGCGCAGTGATCGATATCTCAAAGAATGCTGATTTTTCGTGGAGAGAACTGTGTCGGGCCTTACGTATAGAGATGTGTATGATTCCAGAACACTTTGCACTTCTAACTGGGGCTTATTTTCATTTATAGTCTGACTACTGAGGGTCACAAGAAGCTTTCCGCTGTGTATACTGCGCCTCAGTTCAACTTTCTTGGTCTCCAGCAAATCGTAATAGAAGCTCGGAGGCGGTGTTTCATCCTCCAGCATTGGCAGATCCAAAGAGATAATCAGCTTGAATAGTTGGACAGGATCGCTCCGAACACGGAAGTTGTCGAGCATGCCGAACTCCATTTTTAAGAAATATATTATTTATTGTCTGAAGGACAAAAGATTATATAGTCTACAAGTTTTCGAAAAAAATAGTGGATCGAACATACGAGCTCCGGCTTGACTTTATCTGATACTTGGCACCTGGGTAAACTTAATTTCTAAAAAGATTGATCTTCCAGTGCCTACTTGGGCGCCAGTTCGCTCCTTGCAGCAAGTTGAGCCTGCAGTAACGCTCCATTTCAACTGCCCCGGACTCCACTATCTTATCATTTGAAAATGGGGCGTGGAATGGCCACCTTCGGACGCGCTATGCGGAATTGATTCCCAATCCCGTTCCCGTTCCTGTTCTAAAATAGTCCCCTTAGCAGCGAGGCCGTTATCAACGGCCTGGCATAATCGGTTATCAATATTGTCGCATTACGACAATCATAAATGACCCAAGGGAAAAGGGGTTTGGGAGCGCAGGAGGTAAGCAGGCGTTTATAAATATAGGATCACGGGTTGGCCAAGCAATTCGTCTTGGGTGGCCAACCTGTGACCGACTGCCTTCAGTCTAGTCTTGGGGTCTTTGCGTGTATATTTTTAGCATTAAAAAGTATTATTTGCTCAGCAAATTATGCGATCAGTGCGAAGCGCGTTCGAGTCAGATTTCCAATGTTGATCAATGGACACCATGGTTGATATGACTCTTCACGCACAGTGTTACACCGTGTAGGGAATCCCGTGAGTAAGGGAAAGTTTGGTATTTCGCTCCACTTAGTTCGTGTAGGGTAATACCATTTAATGTTTCCAAGCACCTTGGTTTTCACAACTTTTAAAATATAAAAATCAGCATGAACAGCATGAAGAAGAATGAATGAATCGAATACAAACTGAATTATTAAATAAGTATAAAAGATCTTTTTATGGAAATTGGATTGGTTCTGTTCCACTGTTACTTCTCCTACAGGTACAATTTGAAACATGCTTCAAGTTGATTTTTTTTTAAATTGACCGAAGATGGGCTCACTCTTAAATCATAATCATATTTTGTATATATTATTAAGACTAAACAGGTCTCTAGGGAAAAATAGTAATATTGAGGTAACTTTGGAATAAATGTAATGTAAAGCTATGCAAAACTATATTGAAAGAAGTTCATTTAAAGGAAGCTTGGAATATTAAATAACTATTTCTATATAGAGTATTTTTCTGCCCTGCTTGCTTCAAATTTGTTATGATTGTATTTTCTTGTTATGGCCGTTGTGATTTCGTTTTACGCACAGTTCAACTCGAGCAAATTTGTTAATTAATATTTAACACTCTGCCCAGAAAGCCATAAGCATTCGAGACCCCCTCCCAGGTCCACCGCCCGCCAGAAAACCCCGTGTTATTTGCCTGTGGACAACATTTGGAAGCACAAAAAACCTGTACAAAAAATTATAAACTGATAAGGGTTCTATAATTCAAAGCGGATTGACTCCGATCACTAGGTAACGCTCTCCCTTCCAAAATTCTCCATATAATACTCTCCATATGTGCTCTTTTCCAGCGGTGCTGACCACTGATAAGCGACCAAGAGCCGGACGAAAAGAGAGAGCGCGGTGCGAGAAAGCCGGAGAGGAGAGTGTTTTTCAGTGTTTGCTTTTTCTTTGCCGCCGTTCCTTCTTCGGTCTGCTCGGCGTTTTGCTCTTACACAGTTCGCATTTAATTTTATTTGGTCGCCTGCTAACGGCGACATCGGTTGCGTCTCGCCGAAAAAAAAGTATAATTGTCACGCTCCCGGAATTTAGGAATAAATAAAAACATTGAATCAATCAAATAGAAGAACAATCAGTGACAAGCTTTAGTCCGTGTTTAAACCGTTTTAGTTAACATTTAGTGTGACCAAAAAGGACATATGTGGCACGGTCTTATTTGGTGTGACCAGCTATTAAGGACCCTGTGAGCTGAGCGCCATAATTAAAGTGCGATCCGATCGAAGTCAATTCATTCAGTTTTATTGAACACTCAGCGCCCCGAGCGTTCCATAATCTCAACGATTGGACAATTGCAACTGTAACGCAAAGAACAAAAATTGTCAACAAAGTCGTAAAAATATTCGCACACTTTGGCAATAAATAAAGTAAGACACAAGGAAACAAAGCAGAAGAGTGCGGGCAGTCACAAAATAATTACCAAATAGGAGACGCACTTAATACACAATCGGAAAGGTAAGTCGACTGGATCAGATAAGGCGGGACTAACTGTAGTATTACGTGCTCCATGTCGTAATTCCCATATCTGATCGGATCATCCCCCGTGTTTACCCTCACAAGCAAAACCCAATCGCCCTGGAGACGGAGAAAAAGAAACAAGAAAATCCATCGAATATCATGAATGCACTTTTCGACGAACTATTTTTAAACGGATTTGTTTCTTTTTCGGTTTCTTTCTATTATTTTTATTTAGTGTGCCTATAGACATAGATCGTGGGAGAGAAATACAGAAAGTGTCTTCGTTACCCTTCCCCCTTATTCGCTTAACAGGTGGCCGTGATCGATACTGATATCGACTAAATCCGAAGGTTTAAGGCCATGTTGACAAGATCGTTGAGAAATTGATTGATCGGGATCAGTGGTAAATAGAGAGATTAAACAGAGGTGTACATATGTACATACATAAATATTAAGGGAGTATCAGGGGGAGCAATTTAGAGTAAAAGGTTGTTAATAAGCAAATGATTTATTTAGAATGCAAGCTTTTGAGAAAGTTAAACTTAAAAAGATGGTAATAAAATAATCGAAGTTAATGAAATTTACTAGGCAACCAAAATCAAAAAGGAGAAAATGCAAGAAAAGCTCCCAGTTTTCTCCCCCTGGCAACCCAACTGCAAGCGCGTTCCTCGTTTTCCCTGGAATGTATACAATGCAATCTATACGTAGCCCGTTCAATCCGGTTAGTGGGTCAGTATCTTACCCTGACCAGGTTCAACAGCCTGGTCAGGTGCATCTGATTAATGGGAGATTGCGGGGGATCGGGGATTCCGACTGGGAAGTGAACACAAAGTAAGTCCAAGGCCAAGGCAATTAAAAATCCGTGACCGCAAAGCTAAAATTCATTTAGTGTCAAGCAAAGTGAATTAAATTCATAATAAACAGTGCGACTAACCGACGGAGAGCTTTTCCAGCTGAGATGCAGTTTAAACCGGACAAGGATAATCGAACCATAAATCTGAAAAGACAAAGGCTGTTGGGGACATAATCAAGCCATTCTAATTATACCTATAATTAAAGAGCTAAGAACTGGAATCGGAAAATATATGCTGGGGGTGAATCCCTCGCATTCCTAGCATGTCACATTTTCACAGTTTTCTCTATCATCAGCTTTGGTATCGCTTCTTTTATTTGGCAAGTCGCATTCAGTTGTTTTGCTGTTGGTGGTTCAATGACACTTGCCTAGCCATCAATGCTTGCTAGCTGCAATCTTACCAGGGAAAACAAAAACAATAACAGAAACAGAAACCAAAACAATAAAAATGTCCCTACACCAAAAAAAAAATTCGACTAATCTGTGGATTATTTCGACAGTTTAATACTTTAATTGAGATATTGCAAACCGTAAATTGTATACTTAAAATTAATCAAATAACTAGTAAAATAAGTAACTGAATTGTTTAGTTTTAATATGATAATTTCTTTTAGAAAACATCGAAATTATTTTCAGTGCACTCACGTAATCGAACAGTTCGTGTTGTTCTTGCTTTTTTTTTCTTTCTTTTACCTCTGCTGATATTGCATTTTGCTTACTGCGCACATTTTGACACATTTTTGGGACTATCACTCGGCTTTCGCACTCATAATGCAGATGGGTCAAGGGCAAAGTCTCCTCGCGGTGCCCTCCATTCGCTGGCTGGGTGACTGGGTGCATCCAGTCTGAGTGCTATCGCTTTTTGAGGAGGGGCATTGGTGTCGTTGCCAGGCGAAAGTGCAAGATAAACAACTGAAGGGGGACACATATACATATAGTAGAATTTAGCAGTAATTGTCCGATTAAACGATCCAGTTAGCAACTGGTTCATAGATTACTTTTAAGAGTTCAATACGGAAAAAAGACTGGGAAGAATTCATAAGGAGATCAGTCTCACAACTTTCTCATACTGCTCCTTTATTTAGTTGTCTTCAAGGCTTAAGTCCCTTAACTGACGAGCTTATACTTTGTGTATCAGATGAGTTGGGGTCAAGTGGGCGGATATTTAATGATAAATTTCGTGTAGAACGTAATTTCTTTTAGTCAACGCCGCCAACGTTGCGTATGCGCAATCTCTTTGTCGGCGATTAGTAGATTTTTTTGTTTTTAAGCGTAACGCCTGAAAGTCATGGTCAACTATGATATTGCCGAATCTCTTGGGGTTCTAGAGGTAAAAGTTGGCGGCTCTCATCTAGCGTTTGATTTGATTTTATTTTGTTTTAATTGCCACTGATTGCACAAAAGAGCGACACCGACGGATGAATCATGCCATATGAGTTGGAGATGCGCTTCCTGTTGACTTAGTGCGGGTATATACTATGTGCCATATGCCACTTTGTTACGCCCCCCTCCCGGTCGACCACGATTCGATTGTTCGCCTCTAATCAATTTTAGGTTCAGCTCTAGCTTTTGTTCATGCCTGGCTTTCATTGCAATGTGTGAGCATATCAAGTACTTGCTGATACGGCTTTCGAAATAGTGAAGCAGCATTTGTTTTTGCTCAGTCTTCTTTATCACGTCACAATTATCTGCGGCATTGTTGCAACTTTTGCGCTTTGTTTTCACTTCACAAAAACGCAGCCATAACAACGGCGATTCAGCGGCAGCATTTGCTGGAGATAAATGTGCATATACTCGTATGTGGTCTATATATTCTATATTCGATATTCCGTATCTTTTTGTGTGCTGCAGCTGAAGAGGCGAGAACAAAACAAAACAATCAGCACAATAAACGAAAGTAATTCGCACCTTGGCCAATGATTAGAGTTGTCTGAAGTGGCTAAAAGTCTCCGGGAATTAATGAAATTTTTGCTAAAAACCTATGGTATTAAAAACAAACAAATGAAATTTATGACGGGTCAAGGCTAATACGCTAAGGAGCTGTAAGTGTTCATAACTTTTAAGCCGCATAAACGAAAGACTTTCCGTGCTGATTGCTGGGGGTCCAAATGGCAAACCGTTGAGCTCCGATCTTCTATAGTCGGTTGTTTTTCTGAACTGATAAGGCACGCCCAAGTGCCGTAATACATATATACTTTAGTATATTAATCCCTATCCCTCCGGTTACCGCCCCTTTCGCCCATTTCGGATTTTTGTTTATACGATCGCCGGACAATGGAATTGTAAGTGAAATCTGCCAAATAACGGTGATAATAGAGAGTTTGCTAATGAGGAGGGGGCGGTCTGGGTGCTCGGGTCAAGAGGTGACTGAGAGTCTGATAACCGCTTTGATTTGGTTTGCTTGCCTTTGGCACATCATTAAAATATTTATTAAAAGCTTTTAAATTTGATTTAATTAAACATAAATAAGTAATAATAATCTCAATAATAACCCGAAAAGATGAAACTTAATTTCGAAATGTTAAATGTGACATTTCGATAAATAAGTTACTAATTAATTTTTGAAGAAAATATAAATTTCCACAATGTATATTTTTAGACTTGAAAAGTGCGCAGATATTTCGTATTATTCTGTAATTTGTAATCTCTCCAAAAATAATACATTTGTTGTCGTATATAGAAACAAATCTGTTTAGCTGTTTTTAGGAGGTTCAATGAATTCTGATAATCGGGGCAGACGCAATAGCAACAACAACCCCCGAGGCACAACGACAACATCCTCTTCATCACGTGTTTTCCCAATTTTAAAGCTGGGCGAGGGGCACATGACTTTCCTGACAAGAAAAGTGACTTGTTTCTAATTGCACATCCAATCTCTCTCGTTTTAGTTGGCGCAACATGAGCGGCTGGCTTTAAGTGGAATATCCAGCAGCAGGAGCAGCAGAACCAGCAGCAGGTGCCACCAGGGGGGAGAGGAGAGCTACAGTCGGGTCAAGGTCCATTCGGCAACCGGAGCAATAAGCCTAGAGCGATACGAAAAACATGGTTCACGGACCGCCAACTCGCAGAAAATCCCAGCAACAGAATGAGACCTGTGATATGGATCTCGAGCGACAGCCCACTCCGCCGGACGGTGGATGGGGATGGGTGGTGGTCTTCGGCTCCTTCATGATACATATAGTCAGTAAGTTAAAGTCAATTAGTAGAATACAGGAGCTTCTACAGGGGAAATAGAGCAATCATCAAGATTATCATTAGTTCATCCTTCGAAACGAACGCAGGGTATTCAGCAGGCGATTTCAAGATTGGCAATGGAAGTGCCTCCACCGTTTTGAGTTTCAATTAAGCCACGGTTGTGCCCTTCGGGTTTTCACTGGTGAAGGACTTGATCAACTGGTGACTCCGTCCAGTAGTTATGCCTCTGGCACCTTTACGGCTGCAATAAATCAAGCCCACCAGCCTTGGACTGACCCGGCAACCGAAGTGGAAGGGAATAAAAGAATTTGAGTATTTCATGGATTTTGGGGGATCGTAAATATTTAAGTCACTCTAATCGCCGCAAATCAGGGTGTTCAGCCGGGATAGATTGGGAGCTGAAATAATCGACAAGGTCCAAACATAATACGCTGCATAGCCTTGCTGATTTACGAGGAGAATAGGGTAGTGGAGCTGCGAGCTGGAGTACAGCCGCCACTTGAGCCGTACAACTATCAATTGGATGATAATTGTGGGCAAGTGTCCAGTCCGTCGATACCTAGCCGATAATCTTATCGCCGTTTTGGCTGTAATTACCTAGCCACGGAAATAGTTACCGATTGCTGGTCCGGGGGCTACAGTAGAGTGGTGAGGGATACTGATAAAATTGGGAGCCGTAATTAATTGCCAACTAAACTGATTTACGGCCCTGTCAAAGAGCCAAACGCTTGGTAACCAGTTTGATCGAACGAAATCCACTTTTGGTGGGGTTTAAGACTTTTGGGACCTACTTTACGGCATCTTCTAATGTCTGTATCTAATCTTTTTCCACAGCCGATGGCATGACATACTCCTTTGGCATGTTTTACAATGAGTTCCTGGAATACTTCAACGAGGGCAAAGGTTACACGGCATGGATTGCTTCTATAATGGTGGGCGTAACATTCTCATCCGGTAAGTTAACTCTTTGGATATTTAATGAATCGATTAAAAAAACTATATATACTTGCAGGACCGATCAGTTCATCGTTCGTGAATAGATATGGATGTCGAGCAGTTACCATTGCAGGTGCCATTTTGGCTGCCGGTTGCATCATCGTCAGCATATTCGCCCAGAATGTCCTAACGCTGATTATTACGATCGGATTTGGAACGGGCTTGGGTTTCGGGCTTATCTATTTGCCGGCCATTGTGAGTGTTACTCAGTACTTTGAGGCCCGAAGATCTCTGGCCACAGGAATCGCTGTTTGCGGGTCCGGATTGGGCACCTTTATCTTTGCTCCTCTAACAGAGTATCTGATTGGAAGTTTCGGATGGCGTGGAGCAATGTTGATTATGGGTGGAATCGTGCTAAACTGTATCATCTTTGGGGCAATGTTTCGGCCACTGGAGCTGGAGGCACCTCCAAACACACCACCAAACACGCCGAGCACTCCCAAGTTGGGCAAGAAGTCGGCTATCATCGATCAGAATACCACGCCGGCGGAACTGGAGCCCCTGAAGGTTCCACCCAAGGATCAGTACCTGCAGCTTCCACAGCGCACAGATACTCCGGTATCAGGCGGCGCTCTCTGCCGATCCAACAGTGTCGGTCACAACCTTAAGCCCAGTTTGGTGAGTCTAGCATACAAAGGGTCCTCCTTCTTTTTGGAATTTAATTACTAATTTGTATATTAAAGAACAATAACTCGAATGGCGCCATCAATGGGCAGGGACCCACTTTGGTGACCCCACCGCAGGCGGTGGTGAAGAGCACTAGCAACGATGACATTGCCCGCAAATGCCACAGCCAGTTGCAGCTAACTCCTTTGAGGGATGCTCATCGCGAAAAGAGTGCCAGTGGGACCATGTATCGGCCTGATGCCCTCTATCAGGTGTGCCTCCCTATCCCGATGTCCATGTAATTTTGAAACTAATAGTATTGCATCTTTTTATCCAGGGTTCCCTTCACAATCTGCCTGACTATGTGAGCTCCAGAAACGACCTCAACCGCTCCATGTCCGGATCCGGCGTTATCAAGCGGTACGGATCCCTTCGCCAGAACAACAGTGTATCACAGAGTCAGGTGAGCTCTTTAACCTGTTCATAAAAAATTCGAAATATTTAGAACGTTATATAGTAGAAGAAACATCATTTAGTTAGTTAGCTTAGGACTCACTTTGTTATTGGGTTCCTTAAACTGGTTTCCAAATTTGCAGTTTGAATTTCTTCAGAATAACTTTTTCACTTCGGAATTCATGTAAATGTTAAAGTAAGTTGGTTTAAAAATATAAATAGGTTTTTATCGATCACTTGGTATAAAATTAATAAGTCCATCCGAAGAACCTAAAAGTGTATTGCTTCGGTTTAAGCTTTCGGTCAGAGAACCACAGCTTAGTGTGGCGACAGTCATTTGACAAATAACAGCGCAGCTCTACGAAGAATGATTTAATCTGGTCGATTCGAGAGACTTCTGTGATGGGACACTCAATACTTTTGTGGTCATGGTGAATGATTCCAAAAAAGATAACGACCAGCACTGCAAGGAAGCAGTTTAACAGGAACCAATGTACCGATCCAGGCCGTAGAACTTTTAGAACCGAGCGATAAATATGCTGCCATTTAGGGAAATTGGAATTTGTGTTATTTTTATCCTCAAGAACCCTGATCAGGCCTTCCTCCGGGCGATCCATCTCTTCTTCCATATCACTAAAATCCGCCATAATTTATCAACACAACAAAATATATTTTTAATGAACTGACTTCAAATTCGACACGCCTTAGATTACCAAAAAAAAAAAATGAAACTATGATGTAACAAAATAAAAGTAATATTATGAATATTATCTAAAGAAGCTGCGTCAAAAATCTCGCCCAGATCCAGAGCACGAGTTTGTAGAGCAGAAATATGCGGAACAACCGGTAGAGGATAACCTTGCTGAAAGGATTTTATATAAAGACAATTATATCTCAAAAGAAGAGGTAGTTCTCACGTCCTTAGGATGAAAACGGAGCGTTTCAGGGTTTTTGGATCTTCCCGAAGTAAATGCGTTCGGATACTAAAGAGCATTTCCCCGCAGGATTTAATAACCAGGCCATGGATATCCGGATGGTGGAAGGCATCTAAATTAAAAGCGGTGCTGGAATAAAAAAGGGTTTGAGAGGAATATCCGACTCCCCGCGATGTTTCCCATTTACCCCTTATTCTCCTTGTACAATATCTCCATGTCAGTTACCCCGGGACTGTCGTAGTTGTTGAACATGAAGGGCTGCATCACCTCCAGCGTTTGGTATGCCTTACGAACCGCACTCATCAGTACTGGCTTCTGTCCAAAGATTCTCAGGAGCAGATCGATGATCATGGCGGGCAAAATCTGTTTAGTGAAGACGAGGAACTGATAGACCCATCGCCTGTCTGTGTAGTGACAACCTGGTATCATCAGGTTCTTTTCGAAGGCAACATCTTTCCACAGGTCCAGCGTATCCATCTGCTCGGCAATCTGAGTAAAAGTGTGCGGCACGTGGGTGCAGGAGGAGGATAGGTAAACAGGTAGCTCGGCTGGAGGACCCTGCTTATAGATCTCGTAACCCCGCTTTGTGTAGCACAACATACTCTTGATGCCAATGTCTTGCGGCGTGATGTCCAGACGAATGTCCCTGCCCAGGTAAACGGTCTTCAGGATTCCAGCGCCCACTAATGCGAACAGTCCCATGGCTCCCATCAAAGAGGGTGAAAAACCAGGCGATGGGTCGTCCACCGCAAAAAGAACTAGAAGATTATTCTTTATAAATCTGCGTTTAAGATACATTTAGGAACCTTTGAATACCTATGGATGGACGGTACACTATTACCGGCAAGCGATGGCGGTATTCATTCACCAAGGATTCAGCCAGGTTTTTAGTGAAGGTATACGTGTTGGGGAAGCCCACAATCAACCTGGGACAAGAAGTCATGGGAGAACCAAACAATAGAACATTATATAGAATCCTTTAAATGGAATCCTGATAAAAATACAGATCGGTAGCCTTGTATATTCTTCTCTGGTTTCCCGTTTCCCTGTTTCCCCGTTTTCTACTTACTTTCTTGTGAGGGCATTGAGCATCCCATCGTCTGGGACTTCATCGAGCAGACGTAGACACTGTTGCCAGTCCATCGGCGAGGAGTAGTACTGCAAGTATCAAAGTCACAGAGTCAGAAACAGAAGCAAGACAAGGCTATCTTGAAACACCAACCAACCCACCTTAGGCTCCACCCGCTTCAAATAGGGATTACTGTAGAAGGTGGATACGTGGACGAAGGCCCTCAAATTGGGCAGAGTCTCTGCGAACTTGAGAGCCTCAAAGGTGCCACCTACATTCAGCCGTAAAGCCACACGGAGTGGCTCATCAAAACGCACGGTAGCCGCACAGTGGTACACCAGGGAAACCTTATTCATACGCTGCATCATCGTTGGATGGATGCCCAGTCCTGGCAGGGAGACATCTCCAGGCACCGCCACTATTTTATCTAGCTCATGTGGCTTCTCGACGGCCAGCACATGGAAAACAGTGGCCTGGCGTAGTCGGAGGAGCCTCTGCTCTGCCGTTAGTTGCTTTCGAGGACGCAGGAGTATATATATGCGTCGTACATTGCAGGACCGCAGTAGCTTTTCGATTAGCGCCTTGCCTACCACTCCCGATCCGCCCGTCACGAATATCTCGGTGTCTTCGAAGAACTCCTCCATGTCCACTGTATGGTGTACTGTGAATCACTGACCAGTGCTCACACAACACTGGAAAGCGGCTCCGGTGGTCAATCCGCTTAACTGAACGATCACGCATATTCATTACGCTGTAATTTGGTTAACATAAGCTTCCCCATTAAATTTCCATGCTAATTTCGCGCCCAATTCGACTGGGGTGTCATGGCAAGAAGTTGACGAGTTGACAATCCCAAAACTTTCTGGTCAAAAATACTTGGCTAAATCTGTTGACCGTTCTGCAATTCTTTCTTGCCTAGCTAGATAGTGTAGTTAGTAAATTATAGAGGAGTAGAGTCCATTATTGTGAGATCTGCTAATCCACTTTAACATTTTCAGGAGGAAACCAAATGCTGTGGCTGCATCACGTGTTCCAAGGAGACCCGCGACACGTTCGCCGAGATGATGAATTTCTCGCTGCTGAAGGACATGATATTCCTGATCTTTTCCGTGTCCAATTTTTGTACGAGCATAGGCTTCAATATTCCGTATCTCTATGTGGCGGCATATGCGGAGACCTTGGAAATTTCCAAGAAAGAGGCCAGCCATTTGTTAGCCACGATTGGCGTGGCCAACACAGTGGGCCGTATAATCCTGGGTTACATATCGGACAAGCCGTGGGTTAACCGCCTGCTGGTCTACAATGTCTGCCTCACCGCCTGCGGAATTGGTGAGTTTGTAGTTCCTCATTAGTCCAACCTAAGGGTCTAACCTTGTCCTGATTTTCCATTTGTTTAGCCACTTCCATGGTGTCGCTCTGCCATGACTACCAATCCCTGTCCTTCTACTGCATTGTTTTTGGCTTCACAATCGGTGCCTATGTAGGTCTGACATCGGTCATCCTGGTGGACCTGCTGGGGCTCGACAAGCTGACCAATGCCTTCGGGCTGCTGCTGCTCTTCCAGGGTATTGCCAGCTTTATTGGTCCACCCATCGGAGGTAAGTCGAAAGTTTTTAATTAGGTGTTGCAAATTGATAACGATCTTTGATTGGTTTGCTCCGCAGGCTGGATGTACGATTTGACGGACTCGTATGCGCCTGCCTTCCTGATGGCCGGACTTATGATCGCCATTAGTGGATTAGTGATGTTCATTATTCCGCCGCTCCAACGACACCAGGCCGCCAAATTGGAGCAAAAGCACCATGTTGAACACCTAGCCCTAAGTTAGTAATCCACCCACTTCATCCTCCGCCCCTTGTTTTTTGTTCATTTCTATTTTTTTTTGTTTTTTTTCTATTGTAACTATAAATCTAGAGATATACTGATGCACACGACACTTGGTTAGATTAAGTCCTAGACCTAGGCCAGACATTTATGTGCGAGTGTATGCCACAGCTAGAGCATATCTGATTATTTATGTATAGAAACCTTTCCCTGGCCCCTCATTCCTCGCCCCACGCCCTACATCCCATTCCCATAAAAACCTTCATTGCAAATGCATGCAAATGTATACCTATATATTATGTACATCAATAACAAAGTGTACTAGAAAATCTATTGTTATTCTATTATGACTGTATGCCTGTGCGTGTGTGTGTCTGTGTATATGCCATTAAAGAAAGCTTTTGTACAACAACAAACGACAAGACTGTTTGTTTGGAAGCCGTAAGAGGTGGATTTGTTAGGAAGAAGACCAGCCTATGCTTAATACGAAAATCTTTTAAGCTGAATGGTAACAATTTTAATCTTTAAAGATCCATAGATTTTCCGATGGACATTGACATGATGATTTTTTGGCATACTTACGATTCACGATTCAATATATACTAAATAATAAATGTATTTTTGCTCACTCAATTTGTTAGGGTTTATCGCTTGTTTATGTGCCGTACACGCCATATAGATAATGCTCAGTGCCTTTCGACAAGAGATTGTTAGATAGTATGCCTTGCCAAAATAATCTCATAAAAGAAATACCCAGAATAATGAGACATTTCAGAATTTGTATCACAGCAATTTTCAACTTGTTGGTTAATCGCAGATCGGCGATCTTCGTGGCTGGTTGGCTTTTCATATTTATTGCCTAAGGGACAGAGGCGTTCCCGAGTAGGGGTGTGCCTACCATTTAAAAAACGAATTTGTTAAATAGACATAGTTCAGTGTTTATTGTTTTCCTTAAGTGACTAAGAATAAAATAGCAACAAAAGGGCATTGAGCCCAAAAACAGTCATTCTTTGACAAAAGCACTCACTCAATCACACTCAAAAAAAATAGTTATTCACAAGTTCAGGGGAGGATCTCCCTCCTACTGAATTTCCCCAGTGATCAGCTTCTTTAGGGTGCACTCCCCGGCTCCCAGCTTGTGGAGTATGGCCAAAACCTCCTCGCGATAGCGATCCATGTGGCCCATCTCCTCCGGCGTGTATTCCTCCCGGTCGAACCGCGTCATTCGCCAGATGACGTTCAGCTTGGCCTCGATCAACACATAGTTCGAGGATGGACAGAATCGCGGACACAGATCGTTGATGAAGTGGATCATGTCCTGTACACTGCACGAGTTAATCCGATTGTTTATGGTGTTCAAGGCGAAGTCCTGGTACTTGGCCATCTTCGAGTGCGGGAATACGTTCTCGCATGTGATGCACCGCCAATCCGGCTGCAATGTACGGGTCTGGACGGGGATCACCAGACCCCGACAGCCCTGCTCCCGGCAAAAAAGCGCCGACAAATAAGTTCCGTTCTCCTACAAGAAGAATAGTTAAAAGATCAGTGGATTATCGGGCGGATGGTGAGAAAATGTTGGGTATCAAAGATATGTCTGGTTCAATGTCCGCCTCTGTCCATTCACGGCGTTCAGTTCATTAAACTTTTAATCGGAATCGAAATTAGCATTCGGTGTGTCATGCTCATGGTAATTTGAGGGCTGTGTATGTGTGTCAGTAGCATTAAAATTGGATCAATGGACCTCTAATATATGCTTTGGAATCTTAAAATTAAACTGATTTCTTGGTACTTAAAAAGTAGATATTGTATACCAATTCTTTAAATTTGTAGACGAATCGCAAAGCCTTATTTCTATTTTCATAAAACCACCTTGCCTTCGAGCTTTAATTCAACTTTGATAAGGACATTTTCCATCAGGTAGCCATAAAAACTGATTAAACGGTCAAGAGAGTTTTGCGTGGTTGGCATATTTTGCCCCCTTTTGGCGCCACTGGGCCCTGGTTGATGCAAATCATAGAACTAATTTAATTAGGGAACGCATTTGTGTCAGGTGGCCTGGCCAGCGGCCACTGCCAACGCCAGAGGCCATTATTCAACATATCCCAGAGCGGCAAAAGAGCGGCCACATAAATAGATATGGCCGGATATGTGGATCGTATATATACCGCACACAACCCTACACACCCATAGTTTTAGAGCGTCGTTGACATCGACGTTGGCCAAGAAATTTCGTCGAAATTTAAGTGAAATGTTTTTCAAATTTCAATAATTGCTTTTTGTTTTGGGGCCGAAAGATTGTGATGCTCTTAAGGCTTTTTTCGGGATGGAGTTGTCTATCTGGCGGATACTCTGGCCTTAAATAAAAAAGTACCTTTGTGTTATTTAAATATTCATCTTATATTACATTTTTCTGATATAATATTTGAAGAACCTGGATTTCGGGATTAGTATCTGTTACACATGATCGACGATGCTCAAGAACTTTAAAGGCCTGATATTGCAAATTCATTGTAATGTCTGGTCTTCAGCTAGAATATATAATTAAACTCAAAAGCTCTTAATAAAAATGTTTTATTAGAGCGTTATTCGTTAAATTTAGAACTCAAAATGTAGATCCCATCAAAGCTCTTACCGAAAATACCAACAAGCAGCTTTACTATAGGGTAGCTATAAATTACTAAATTACTGGGTAAAAGAGGTCAAAGTAAAGATATTCAACTTCTATCAGAGATGATACTTTATCTGGGTGTTCTGACATAAAAAGTTATATATACAGGATTTCGCATAGAGAAATACTTAAGAAGTTTTAAGTTAAAGTTATAGCTAAGCTAAATCAAAAAGTGAAGAAGGAGTTAAGTTGACGACAAGAAAACGGGAAGAAGATTTTTTCCTAGCAATAATATCACGAGACCGCGTTTTCCAATAATCCGTACTCACAGTATTGTCGTGGCACCGGGCGCAGTCGCAAGCGAAATGCTTGGTCATCTTAAGGAAGATGTTCCGGGTGAGATTGCCCCAAAGGATTTTTGTGTAGGTGGTGGTAATCTCGCCACCCTTGGGAATATCCCTCGCTGCTCGCACCACTGCCAATCGCCCGTTCTCGAAGTAGTGACTCGCATTTGGGGTGCACTCATGGTTCATGATCGCCGTCAGCGGAAACAGACCCCTCAGGAGCGTCTCGTGACCACCAGAGCGGCAGGGAGCCTCAAAGGCATTCGTGTTCAGCACACCCACAATCCGGAAGAGCTGGTCCATGAACACCCGATCCGTGGTGGGAAAGTTTCGAAAGCACTGGGCAGCCTTGATGATCTCTCGCCGGTAAGCCCGCTCGGCATTCGCCTGCATGGCGTCCACCAAATGCCGTTGTTCCTTTCCCAAATGAAAGACCCTAACTGCAGTGAGGATTCGCAAAGACAGGGGATTCACCTGCTCCAGCTCCGCATCGACATCCTTTGGCTGCCAGCGACGAAAATGCTCGCACTCTGCCTGGTGCTCCTCTGAATCTGAACAGGATTCACAAACAGGCAAGGTGCAGCGATGTCGGCAAAGAAATCCAGTTTGGGGTAAGGTTTCATGGCAGCAGATGCAACTGCTAAGCTGGCCCTTCCTGGCCGTTGGTCCGGTGACCAAGGCTCGTTCTTGGAATATTAGCTCGCCGGCGGCAATGTCTCTGGTGGCGAACACCCCGCGTCCAGCCACTTTAGAGGAACTGATGGTCCAGTTGGGCTGCTCTTGGCGCAAATCTCCCAAGTGGGCGTCTATCAGCTGGGCCAACTGCTCGGGCGTGGTATTGCGACAGGGGGCCATATGGGCACCCAGGGCGGCCAGGGTGGTGTCTCCTCCTCCTCCGCGAGGGGATTGGGGGGGACTGGACATGGCAACTTTGATGGGAAGACGGACGGAACTGCGGCGAACCAACGCGACGCGCAACAATTCAGCGATTGAAGATGTCTCCGCGCAGCTGGGCGGTCTATGCGGGAATAGCAGCGATATACCGACAGCGACGACAGCAGCAACATGAGCAGCAGCAGCAGCAACACCAGGCACAACAGCAACACCCAGCACAACAGCAACAACTGACTGCTGACAGTGGAACCAACCCACCAAAGCAGCGACGCTTATGACGTGGACACGCCGACGCCCTCGGAGAGCATTAGACACAACTAAAAAAACACAAATTAGAGGCATCTACCAGGGCAAAAGGGGGTGGGGAATGGGAGCAGGGGCACAACAACAGCAACAGCAACAGGGGCAAGGGGACAACAACGACAACAGTCAAATATGATTTTTTCCACGGCACACGCACACTAAAAACACACACTCGACGAAATGTTCCCATTTACGAAAACCAAAATTACCATTTTGTCATATGAAAATCTTGAAGAAATAAAAAATATTCAACATTCAAAATAATATTTATATTTAAATTGAAAGCTATATTATGGCCAAAAAATTCCTTTTTCATTTTAGCCAGGAAAATTGTATATTTTGATTTGAAAATTAACAACATTGAATTGATTTTAAAATCGGGAACTTCGAGCTACTTGGTGAGCCACTGGGAAATAGAGACATTTGGCTGGGACGACGCAAAGCGGATTTTGCTTTTGACTCTTATTCAATTTGTGCTTGTGTTGTTGTTGTTGCTGTTGTTGTCGCTGCTGTGGTTGCTATTGTTGCATTCAATTGGATTCGCCAGTGGGTGGTTATACGGGGGCTGGGACGACCAGAAGCGGGTAAAGAGAAACAACATTGATGCAGCCATCAGCCATCAGCCATCAGCCATTCAGTCATCCAAGAACACTTCCCTCTGTCAATTTGTTCGTCAAACACCTCAGCGTGGCCGCCACCTTCTCCGCATGCTCATTCCCTCCCTCCTTCGTCTGCTCTGCGGTTGGTTATGGATGCCATAAAGTGAAGCGAAGCCATAGTAGCATTACCCATACCCCATAACCCATCCCCAATCGTTTTCTGTTGGCGCCACCCTACGGCAATCTAAGCAGCTGGAAAAATTATTTGCGGAGATGCAGCGACACTGATACCAGGCGTGTTTGTCTCCCACGCCATTGCACTGGACAAAAATATTGGTTAAAAATTCCTTAGGGTCCTTTAACAAGTCTTTCCTTTTCTAATAAATAAATAAATCTTAACTGTTTCTTAAGGTAGATTGAATTAATTATAAATTATAAAACATTTAAATATTAAATTATTTATTTTCTAACGAAATGTTTCTTTTTGAGTTTCAGTGCACCCAACTTTCCATGGTTTCAACTACATATAGCAGTGCGTGTGGCAGAGACATAAATTAAGACATCGCTGGCCAAGGAGTTGCGTGTTTCAGGGACAAATAGAACAGGGACAACAGCCGCAAAAAACGAGGTGAGCGCCGTGGCACGTGACCAGGTGGGGACATAGATGTAAATCATGGAGGGGACACTCTCCACCTGTTCATTTTCCGAAGCGAATGTCACGCATTGTCACATGTCCTGGGGTGAAGTGGGACTGTCCTGCCACGACTTTTCCTCTGCGGACTTACGTTAATCATTTGTAAACTTTTACGACACTCGTTTTCTCTTTCACTACTAAATAGTTCTCATAACGCGCTAGTCTAGTGAAAAGCAATCAGCTGGTCTTCATATCAAATTACCAAAGGGTTGGGGTTTTCTTTTCTAGAGAGACAAAATCACAATTCTGTTTATCCATAACTCAGCCTACACTGGACCAAATATGGAATTTCATACCTTGTTGAGCTTATTTATTTATTCTTATAAAATCTGCATTTAAGGTTGAAAATTTAATTTTTTGCCAATTTTCGAACAAAAGATACCCCTCATTAAAATAGAAAATGTTGTCAGTCCCGATTTCCCTAAAAAAATGTTATTGCTTTGCCCATGACTAAGCCAATAATGTATATCTTCTTGTAGATCTGCATTCAAAGTTGGAAAGGTAAAATTTTTGCCATTTTTCGAAAAAAATAGATGATGGTATCCCAAATCAGAAAATGAAGTGCTCCCAATACGTCGCTGGGTCTGTGATCTGGCACCGGAGACGTCGTCCTCTTCGTTGGATTTGATCTTCCAGTGGCGGTAACTGATGTATGTTTTTATATGTAAGAATCCAATATGCGAAATCGATTTAATAAAAATATTAAAAAAACTAATATTGGCATTTTAATCTGCGAATTAGAATAAAGTTAGGAGTTTTAAAAAATCTTAGCATACTTTTCGGAAAGGGATTAAAATTTCTCCACAAGTTTTGACGAAAACTGTTTTCTGCTGCCAACGACCAAAACCTTCAATCCATATACCTACATTTAACATAATTGTTCTGCTTTTTTGGTGCGAGCTCTGACATAATTGCTAAAAAATCAAAAAATCTATTTCAGACAGAAATTTGCAATATTATTTTCGGGTTTTTAGCTCTAGCTCGGGCAAAACAAGTCGCACAGCCAACAGAATGACTGTTTTATGCAGCTTACAACCAAAACTGTAAACCCCTATACCTAGCTAACTACCGACTCTTAACACCCCTATACTTGCTTTTATCATTATTGTTCTTATTTTTTGGTGCGAGCTCTGTTTTCAGGGCGGAAAACTGATGAAACCGATTTTTAACAGAAATTTGCAATATTATTTTCGGCTTTTTAGCTCTAGCTCGGGCAAAACAAGTCGCACAGCCAAAAGAACGACTGTTATGTGCTGCTAACGACCAATACTAACCACCCCTATCACTCGATTTTCGATTTTGGGAAAATCAATTTTGGCCCAAATTTCGCATTTTTGATAAGGGGTACCATCATCAAAATTTTCAAAAATGGGCCAAAAATGAAGTTTCGCAGAATTGAATGCAAACCAATTGGGAATCATAGCAATCAAGTTACGAGCCCTACAAGGTATTACATTCCTCATTTGGACCATTTTTGGCTCTGCTATGCTCAAAAAACTGATTTTTTTTTGTGCCCAAAAGTATGTTACGTCTTTTAGCAGCAGAGATTCCGGTTTTGTTGCCGTTTCTTAGCTCTGATTTTGTCAACACAAGCCGCATGGCTAAAACAATGACTGTTTTATACAGCTAACTACCGACTCTTAACACCCCTGTACTTGCCTTTATCATTATTGTTCTTATTTTTTGGTGCGAGCTCTGTTTTAAGGGCGGAAAACTTATGAAACCGATTTTTAACAGAAATTTGCAATATTATTTTCGGGTTTTTAGCTATAGCTCGGGCAAAACAAGTCGCACAGCCAAAAGAACGACTATTTTATGCAGCTAACAACCAAAGCTGTAAACCCCTATACCTTCTTTTACCAATAGAGTTCTGATTTCGTTGGGGCGAGTGCTGATTTAATGGCTAAAAAGTCAAAAAACCGATTTTCTACAGCATAGATTCCGGTTTTCTTGCTGTTTCTTAGCTCTAACATTGTCAAAACAAGCCGCACAGCCGAAAGAACGACTGTTTTATGCAGCTAAAAACCAAAACTGTAAACTCCATACTTGCTTTTATCATTATTGTTCTTATTTTTTGGTGCTAGCTCTGTTTTAAGGGCGGAAAACTGATGAAACCGATTTTTAACAGAAATTTGCAATATTATTTTCGGGTTTTTAGCTCTAGCTTCGGCAAAACAAGTCGCACATCCGAAAGAACGACTATTTTATGCAGCTAACAACCAAAACTGTAAACCCCTGTACCTACTTTTACCAGTAGTGTTCTGATTTCGTTGGGGCGAGTGCTGATTTAATGGCTAAAAAGTCAAAGAACCGATTTTCTACAGCATAGATTCCGGTTTTGTTGCCGTTTCTTAGCTCTAACTTTGTCAAAACAAGCCACATGGCTAAAACAATGACTGTTTTATGCAGCTAACAACAAAAACTGTAAACCCCTATACCTTCTTTTACCAATAGAGTTCTGATTTCGTTGGGGCGAGTGCTGATTTAATGGCTAAAAAGTCAAATAACCGATTTTCTACAGCATAGATTCCGGTTTTGTTGCCGTTTCATAGCTCTGACTTTGTCAAAACAAGCCGCATGGCTAAAACAATGACTGTTTTATGCAGCTAACTACCGACTCTTAACACCCCTATACTTGCTTTTATCGTTATTGTTCTTATTTTTTGGCGCGAGCTCTGTTTTAAGGGCGGAAAACTGATAAAACCGATTTTTAACAGAAATTTGCAATATTATTTTCGGGTTTTTAGCTCTAGCTCGGGCAAAACAAGTCGCACAGCCAAAAGAACGACTGTTTTGTGCTGCTAACGACCAATACTAACCACCCCTATCACTCGATTTTCGATTTTGGGAAAATCAATTTTGGCCCAAATTTCGCATTTTTGATAAGGGGTACCATCATCAATATTTTCAAAAATGGGCCAAAAATGAAGTTTCCCAGATTTGAATGCAAACCAATTGGGAATCATAGCAATCAAGTTACGAGTCCTACAAGGTATTACATTCTTCATTCGGACCATTTTTGGCTCTGCTATGCCCAAAAAACTAATTTTTTTTTGTGCCCAAAAGTATGTTACGTCTTTTAGCAGCAGAGATTCCGGTTTTGTTGCCGTTTCTTAGCTCTGACTTTGTCAAAACAAGTCGCACAGCCAAAAGAACGACTGTTTTATGCAGCTAACAACCAAAACTGTAAACCCCTATACCTACTTTTACCAGTAGTGTTCTGATTTCGTTGGGGCGAGTGCTGATTTAATGGCTAAAAAGTCAAAAAACCGATTTTCTACAGCATAGATTCCGGTTTTCTTGCCGTTTCTTAGCTCTAACTTTGTCAAAACAAGCCGCATGGCTAAAACAATGACTGTTTTATGCAGCTAACTACCGACTCTTAACACCCCTATACTTGCATTTATCATTAATGTTCTTATTTTTTGGCGCGAGCTCTGTTTAAGGGCGGAAAACTGATAAAACCGATTTTTAACAGAAATTTGCAATATTATTTTCGGGTTTTTAGCTCTAGCTCGGGCAAAACAAGTCGCACAGCCAAAAGAACGGCTGTTTTGTGCTGCTAACGACCAATACTAACCACCCCTATCACTCGATTTTCGATTTTGGGAAAATCAATTTTGGCCCAAATTTCGCATTTTTGATAAGGGGTACCATCATCAATATTTTCAAAAATGGGCCAAAAATTAAGTTTCCCAGATTTGAATGCAAACCAATTGGGAATCATAGCAATCAAGTTACGAGCCCTACAAGTTATTACATTCCTCATTTGGACAATTTTTGGCTCTGCTATGCCCAAAAAACTGATTTTTAAAAGAAATGTGCAACGTTATTCTTGGTTTTTTAGCTCTAGCTCGGGCAAAACAAGTCGCACAGCCAAAAGAACGACTGTTTTGTGCTGCTAACAACCAATACTAACCACCCCTATCACCCGATTTTCGATTTTGGGAAAATCAATTTTGGCCCAAATTTCGCATTTTTGATAAGGGGTACCATCATCAAAATTTTCAAAAATTGGCCAAAAATGAAGTTTCCCAGATTTGAATGCAACCCAATTGGGAATCATAGCAATCAAGTTACAAGCCCTACGAGGTATTACATTCCTCATTTGGACCAATTTTGGCTCTGCTATGCCCAAAAAACTGATTTTTTTGTGCCCAAAAGTATGTTACGTCTTTTAGCAGCATAGATTCCGGTTTTCTTGCGGTTTCTTAGCTCTGACTTTGTCAAAACAAGCCGCATGGCTAAAACAATGACTGTTTTATGCAGCTAACTACCGACTCTTAACACCCCTATACTTGCTTTTATCATTAATGTTCTTATTTTTTGGCGCGAGCTCTGTTTTAAGGGCGGAAAACTGATAAAACCGATTTTTAACAGAAATTTGCAATATTATTTTCGGGTTTTTAGCTCTAGCTCGGGCAAAACAAGTCGCACAGCCAAAAGAACGACTGTTTTGTGCTGCTAACGACCAATACTAACCACCCCTATCACTCGATTTTCGATTTTGGGAAAATCAATTTTGGCCCAAATTTCGCATTTTTGATAAGGGGTACCATCATCAAAATTTTCAAAAATGGGCGAAAAATTAAGTTTCCCAGATTTGAATGCAAACCAATTGGGAATCATAGCAATCTAGTTACGAGTCCTACAAGGTATTACATTCTTCATTTGGACCATTTTTGGCTCTGCTATGCCCAAAAAACTGATTTTTTTTGTGCCCAAAAGTATGTTACGTCTTTTAGCAGCAGAGATTCCGGTTTTGTTGCCGTTTCTTAGCTCTGACTTTGTCAAAACAATTCGCACAGCCGAAAGAACGACTGTTTTATGTAGCTAACAACCAAAACTGTAAACCCCTATACCTACTTTTATCAGAAGTGTTCTGATTTCGTTAGGGCGAGTGCTGATTTAATGGCTAAAAAGTCAAAAAACCGATTTTCTACAGCATAGATTCCGGTTTTCTTGCCGTTTCTTAGCTCTAACTTTGTCAAAACAAGCCACATGGCTAAAACAATGACTGTTTTATACAGCTAACTACCGACTCTTAACACCCCTATACTTGCTGTTATCTTTATTGTTCTTATTTTTTGGTCCGAGCTCTGTTTTAAGGGCGGAAAACTGATAAAACCGATTTTTAACAGAAATTTGCAATATTATTTTCGGGTTTTTAGCTCTAGCTCGGGCAAAACAAGTCGCACAGCCAAAAGAACGACTGTTTTGTGCTGCTAACAACCAATACTAACCACCCCTATCACCCGATTTTCGATTTTGGGAAAATCAATTTTGGCCCAAATTTCGCATTTTTGATAAGGGGTACCATCATCAAAATTTTCAAAAATTGGCCAAAAATGAAGTTTCCCAGATTTGAATGCAACCCAATTGGGAATCATAGCAATCAAGTTACAAGCCCTACGAGGTATTACATTCCTCATTTGGACCAATTTTGGCTCTGCTATGCCCAAAAAACTGATTTTTTTGTGCCCAAAAGTATGTTACGTCTTTTAGCAGCATAGATTCCGGTTTTCTTGCGGTTTCTTAGCTCTGACTTTGTCAAAACAAGCCGCATGGCTAAAACAATGACTGTTTTATGCAGCTAACTACCGACTCTTAACACCCCTATACTTGCTTTTATCATTAATGTTCTTATTTTTTGGCGCGAGCTCTGTTTTAAGGGCGGAAAACTGATAAAACCGATTTTTAACAGAAATTTGCAATATTATTTTCGGGTTTTTAGCTCTAGCTCGGGCAAAACAAGTCGCACAGCCAAAAGAACGACTGTT